TGAAATTGGCCTGGGCCTGGGCTCGGACTTGGACTTGGACTTGAAATTTTGAACTTGGAGCTGGCCCTGGCCTCTCCTTCGGCCTCCCCCTCTCAAGGCTACACAATGTCACTACTGACCGGTCACTGTGCTCAATCTCGCGTAGCTAGGGGGTCTTTGTCCGACAATACCATGACGTGACACGGCATGCTGCAGCATTACATTGATGTTCATCCAGATTGGAGCGAGGATGCGTTAGCCTCCACTGACCGTCTACCGAGTGGATTTACCCCGACTTTTACGTCAAATACCGGGGTTGAAGGGGTAGGAACTGGAGCAATCTTATGCGATGGTAAGATGCAGTCGGCCTGCCGCCTGCAACCGTTTCAACCTCCCCAAGCAGTGTACATGCAGGCAACATGTGAAAGTCGGGGTGTGGTGCGGGACTGCATCGATGGCTCGAACACTATATGCACGCTGGAGCGACAGACTCCCCGGAGAAGCATCACTAAGAGGGGGGATGAGGAGGGGGAAGTGGCCCACTGGACCCAATCAGAGGAGGGAATTGGTGCCCCAGACAGATCCCTGGCGAGACGTGGGCCCTGGGCTGGGGGGGCGAGCAGACCTTCTCAGAGGAGGGTGTGAGACCTTGTGTGAGGCGAGCCGTGCAGGCCTGTCACACGACCCTTTTTTTGTGGATAGCCCACCTGGCCGCGGTGACACTCTCTCGCTCCAGAGGTATGCAGGTGTGTGATTTCTGTCAATGCTGGGCCCCAGGGGTATCCATTCGACACCAGATTTTGTCTGGGAGCGCAGGGCAGAAATGGTGTTCAGTTCAAGCCTGATCGGCTGGCGGGAACGAGGCGGAGGCCGGGCGAGGAGCTGCATTTCGGGTGCAGCTGGAATGAGCTAGGCCAGTCCACCCCCGGTGCTGCTAAACACGGCAAAGGGAACACGCATGGTAGGCGAGTTGAGTGGGAGGCCCATTTCACCCTCGGCACTAGCCCCGTCGTGCAGCAGGCAAGCATGGAGAGGCACGCTGCAGACCGGACTGGCGCTTAGGCCTGCACCTCAGCTGTGAGCTGGGCTAGCGAGCGAACAAGCGGGGGGCTCCGCGAAGGAAGCAACCGACCTGATACTACGGCGTACCTAGTGCACAATGTACAGCCATTATTATAGTAGTGACTGGTGAAGGCTGGGAGATCGTGCGGGATCAACCCCCATCGATATCCTTCCCAGGACGGGATTGCCGATGGATCGGGTGACGAAATGCCACCCGGATGCAATCGACTATCGCGTCGAGTTTCCTTTGCCTGCCCAGCTTCCCTCCCCTGCGCCTCATCTAGATGGACATTCGACGCAGGAAACGGCGAGACAGCAATCGTGTGAGCATGCCGGCTCGCTAGCTAGCTTTTGAGCAGCGAATGACTATCGGTAGGACCAGTTGTGGCCACAAGCGCGGAGGCTGAACCTGGAAGTGGGACGCAGTGGATGCTACACAAACCTTGGTTCTCGAGCGACCAAGCCCTTGTCCCCTTAGGGCGGTCGGGGAATCGTACATATTTACATCATGCCCAGATGTCAGGCGAGTTCCAAGGCAAATCTATTTGCGAATATCCCGCCCTCCAAAGCAGACGATCCCGGCTGGACCCAGTCTAGTACAGAGCACCCTGTCAGGACTCGACTTGGCTTTGAACCCGGGGAGAAAATAGACATAAAGGACCCCTTGCCTTGACCTCTGGAGTGTGCGCACGGCAATCAAAGTGACGTGTTTCGTTTCGTTCTTGTCTGCTGCCCGTCTCCGTCGACGTCTCACTCGCAACAGACCGCATTTTGTTTTCCGGCGTCCCCCATTGTCTCTCTCTCTCCTGTGAACTGCACGCGACCTGGACTCAATTGGGGAGGGCCCAGCCCATGATGTGATTGCGGCAAGAGTCTTACCAGGAGCGAATCAACCCGTCCATCGGCCGCACAACCCACTCCCACTCCGGCGCTGCAGCATTCCGATCCTCGCCCGAAGCGTCAACCCTCTCTGCCTGTGTCAATAGCGACTCGCTGCGCAACCAACCCGCGGCCGCAATTGGGCTGCAAAATTCGAGCAAAGTTCGGGACTTTGGTCTTTGACAGCCCATACCAGCACCCGGTTCCCAGTATCGTATCCCAGTCCCAAGCCCGGGCCGGCCCTAACAGCTGCTGCACCTACCGTCTTCGCAGCAGGCCCGCACAATCGCGTGCAGCACCGGATTTACCACCGCCTACCTGCTGAACCTAGCGCCACCAGCCACCCACTACGGAGCCCGTCCTCCAGCACCCTCCAGCACCCAAAGACCCATATTCCGTCTGGCCAGGGGCTTTACCTTACTTACAATTCAATTGCCTCGACCTTCCGATCGTCGCCCCCCTCGACAAGACGAGTCAAGATCCCTCGGTCCACTTCGCTTTCCCCTTTGGATCACCGGACCTTGGGCCTGGTCACGCAGCTGCTCAAATCTCGTCGCAGCAACCTAATGGTCGACCTGATCGTCCCCTTTAACAATTAAACCTTGCCCCCCATATCTGCCTTCTCCCGCATAACTGTCTCACTCTCCCTCCTGCGAAAACGCGCCCGGCACTAGCATTATAAGCTTGGGCTTGTCTTGATTGTCTTCAGCGGAGCCCATTGTGTCGCATCGCTTGCGGCTCGATTCCGAATCGCCCCAGTTTAGCGTTCAGGTCCTTTGAGTATTGGCGACCGAAGATATACTCAACTGTGCCGCTTTCTCAATTCCCCCAATTACTGCTCTAACCGATTAACTCGACCGATTGATTGTTTGGCTGTTGGGTTCGCTTACGGTTGATGCAACCTGCGCCGCCGCAAGACCCGACGTCATGATCTTTTCCGACTTCTACAAGGGTCCGCGCTCGCCGCTGGCGAAGCTGCGCCCACACCTCCACTTAGCACCACCACAAAATAATACCCAGCCGCCTCCCGTGGTCCTCTCGCCGAGCACCATGGACGCAACCGCCCCCGAATGGACGCGCGAGGAGTACTCGGACCTCCTGAGCAAGGACAAGACCAAGGTGAAGGAGGCCGTCAAGCGGTATCTGGCCGACCAGGTCCGCACCGACTGGGATTTCACGTGGCCGCTGTCGCCTGAGCCCGCCAATATCGATGAGATCGTGAAGCCCTTGTCGCCCCCTGCGTCTGAGAAATCAGGGGCTGCGGACCACGAGGTTGCGGACGAAAAACCGGACGTCAAGGGGCTCGATGGCGCGAATGACGTGCCGGATGAGGTCGACGACGATGCAGGATACCAGGCTGATGATGGTGACGAGGATGATGATATACGGGCCGCCCCTCACGTTGACGATGGGGCGTCGATCTACAGCTTCATATCTGAGGACCCTCTACATTACAAAACTCTCGAAGAGTGGGACTCGGATGCCCCCAACGACGAGTTCTCGCCTTTGGAGGAAGTCAGCCCTGAGCGTCTGGCCCACGAACAAAATATGACGGAAGCTGAGAGGCAAGCCGAGAAGCGACGAGCCTTGCGGCAAGAGATGGAGTGGAACGAGGGTCTTGCTTGCTTCGAAGCCAGACGCAATGCTTGGACAGAGGCCAGAACCGTGCGGTTACGACGAAAACCCGGTGTCGTTTCGCCCGTCAGCCCGACCCGCTCCCCTCGCCGCTTCTTTTTCCGCAGGTCCATGTCGAGCACCCCATCTACACCATCGCAGAGTGTCCCGCCTGTGAGCGCAATTTCTGTGTCTATGTCCGAGGTGACTCCAGAAGTGGATGAGTCACAAAAGTCGCCAGATAGGGATTCGACCTCAAACATTTCGCAAGAATCGGGTGTTTCGTCATATCCGGTGGCGACCATTGTGCCACTTGCGTCGCCAATCCTGCCCCCTGGCAACACTCTGCGGGCCTCGATCCATCCCAGCCATTATCTACAGCTTTACGATAAGCTCATTCTCAGCAGCCTGACCCCCTCCTGCCCTGTCAACCTCTCGGATATGATAAGAGCCTGCGTGGCTGGCTGGAAACGAGACGGCGAGTGGCCTCCGAGACCAACCATCCCTCTTGAGCCTACGTTTGCCCCCGTGATGGCGACGAAGAAGAAGAGAGCTTCTTTCGTGGGGCAAAACGATAGCGGGTTTGCCGGGCGTCGTATGAGTTTCACTGGGCTGCTGTCCCGCGACAAGGATGGCGAGTCTCGGAACGGGAAGGGCGTGCGACAAAGTATCCAGAGGGCGCTTGGCATCCATCCCTCTCTTCCACATGACGCACCCGTGACAGTTGAAAAGGCTCAATAGTTGATGGGGTCTCGTTTGTAATTCCAACATCACACAGAAAGCGAAGCGAGTGTATATGAACTCTTACGAGATATGATATAAGTTGGGAGCAATATGAAATTAACCGGTTTTAAGGGGTGGCGTCTATATTTCTAGATGAGGCAACATTTAGCATGAATACCCTTTCCTGCTCATCTTGGCGCGTTGTTGTTGTTGTTGCTGTCGTTTTATTGTCATCGAGGGGAAACTAGGCTTTATATTCGAATCATTGCATTGCTGGGTAACAAGTTCAGATATGGGGCAGGCTTTATACGGAGAGGAAATTTAGTTCTTACGCTGATACCCACCTTTCCTTGATTGGTTTGCCGTCCTCGTTGGTTTGTTTTTTTCTGGGCTAAACTCCTGTGTTGTTTGGGATCATTTATCATCGTCGGTGGCGTTTTTCTTTTCTATCTTGGCACTTATTATCATTTAGGTATCATGATGAAGTATTAGCATGGAGCAGAACGAATGGAGATAATATTTCGAAGTCATTGGCCTTGCATTGTGTGACGCGATAGAGGTGGGAGTTAAATGAGAGTGGTGGCTAAGACATCCTTTAATGTCACTAGGTATCTTTCCCTGAATCTTGTATTTTATCATGGTGATAGTAAGATGCCACAACCGAACTCAAGACTAACTTTGTTTCTTTTTTCACTGATTATTCTAGATTACTTTCTGTCTTACTGGGTGCAATTCCACGGCCCTCAATGCCCTTCTAGTGCTCTGAGAAAAGACCTGCTCTCGTTCCCTTGGACGACCTTGGCCAGGGGGATCGTGTACGCGCCGGGCTGCGAGCTCTGGGTGTGCTGGATGTACGACCTCGCCACGTTGAGCCAGCTGGCCCTCTCGGCGCGGCTGGCGCGCTGACCCTCCCAGACCCAGATTGCCGACCCGGCGTCGTCGACGAGGAAGACGTCGTTGCCGTCCAGGTCGTCCGCCGACAGGGAGGGGCCCTGCCTGACGACCTCGAAGGAGAGGGCGCCCGAGGCGTCGCTGAGGCGGAAGAGCTTCTTGTCCTGGCCTGCTGCTGACGGCGGCGACCTGCGGGAGACGGGGCGGGAGTTTCTCAGGCCGGATTTAGGTGCCTCGTCGTCGTCGCTGCCGAGCAGGCTAAGGACGCGGCTAGCCCTAGACTCGGTCTGGGAGACGACCTCGACGTCGGCGTGCTTGGCCTGCGTCATGTCGTGGGCGACCTGGGACGCCTTGGCCTTCTCGAAGGGGCTGGAGTCCTTGCCCTGCCAGACCCAGATCTTGTCGCCGGCGTCGAGGACGAAGACGTCGCCGTCGTCGAGGCTGCGCCAGGTGGGCTCCACCTCGTGGACGATTACGCCGTCGGCGCCGCCCGAGGGGTTGCTGAACACGCGGAGGAGGGTCTTGGTCTCTGCTTTCTTGGATCCTTCCTCCTCGTCCTCGACGTGTCGGAAGCCGGTGCTGACGCCCCCTGAGAGGATGGAGATGCGGGGGAACAGGGCGAGGAAGTCGTCCGAGGGCGAGCGCTGGAGCTCGCGGTGCTGCGTGGCGGCACCCCGGAGGAACTCGTCCAGCTCGACAGTCTTGTAGGCGGCGGTGCCGGCCTCATCCTGGGTGGTGTGGGCGCCGAGCCAGAAGAAGATATCGTGGACGAGCTTCTCCTGGGTGCTGCCGACCTTGACGGAGTGCAGGACGATGTAGCTGTCGCCCGAGTGGAACCTGCCGTGCTTCTCCCGGGGCCAGGGGACGACCTGGAAGTCCTCGATGCGCCAGACGTAGAGGCCCGGGGACCGGCCGACCTGGCCGTCGTTCCAGGCCGGCTCGGTGGCCGCCGAGTTGTACTTGACGCGGTGGTCGATGTCGGAGCCGATGAGCTCGACGTTGCTGTCCTCGATGTCGTACTCTTTGAGGTGGACTAGGCCTGCGTTGGGAGCCATTGGTGCGGGAGGATGCCTTGATTGAGGGGTGTAGATGATGGGGGATTGTATTGTAGCGTTGGCTTGGGATGTTCTGGGTGCTGTGATGAGTTGCGCTCGAACCAGTTCGACTGTGAGGGAGGTGATCATCGAGGCTTACGCCATACCACAGCTTGGGTGGGGCATATGGCAGCACCTCAAACAATGGCTGTTGTGTTAGTAGTGAACCAGTTGCAAGACTCGGTGAATGGCTGATACGCGAGAGAGCATTGGACAATCATTCACCCCTTCACATGAGTAATACGAACAGGGAAAGAGAAGATACAGTCTGTTTGATTGATGAATGCGGGGTTCGTGATTCATTTCTCGTGGCATTGGTATTAGATATCTCATGTCATCTACCAATGCTATTAACGACGCTTGCCACCATGACAGCGACCTCCCGGTCCAGGTTCACCTGCGTCTTCTCCTTGTCCTTGATCGTAGAGAGAGCGGGTGGTGTCAGGCAGCCCTTGATGACTGCATGCCGGATGTGCTCACCCAAATTGACCTTGTTGCTTTTCAGGTTCCTGGCCACCACACCGCCACGGTTCATAATTTCTTGAACCCGCCCGCTTAAGCTGCTCGCCATTGTCCGCCAGTAATAGGAGGGTAGCGAGCCTGTCTCGAGATGGGAGAGCAAGGACTGGAGGAGGGATGGCTGTTTTAACTCCAACGTCTTGGGTAGTAGGGGATGGGCGGGCGCTTTGGTAGCCTCGAGGATGATTTCGAGCGCTACAATATTCTGGCACTTGGCGGAGACCTCGACCAGGGACTTTTCCAAGGTAGGGAGCTGCCCTAGCGACCTTGCCAGAGTCGCCGTGCCTGTCTGGAGGGCGAGGCGGATGTAGGCCTCGAGCGCCTGGAGGAGGAGGCGCGGCTTCCACTTTTCAAGGTCGATGCCGACAGTAGGGGAGAGGAGATACAGCGTGATCATGGCGCAGACCATGCGCGAGCGGGCTTCGTCGCCCTGGGCAAAGGTCATGGAGGTGGGCATGGAGAATTCGCGAATCGTTCGCTCGGCCGACTCGCGGACATTGCGCTCGGCGGGGGCAATAACCGTGTCTTGCAGGCTGCGGATCGCATCCACACGAGACAGCCCGTGACCTTCTTCGCCAGGAGCCTTCTTGTCCAGGACCTCCCTCAGCTGGAGGATGGTGTGGGAGCATCGCACCATGGCTGTGTAGTCGGCGTCTTTGCCGGATCTCCCAAGCTCCGAGTATTGGACCTCGAGCTGCCTACCGAGCTGGAGGCACCTGCCCACGGCCCTCCCTAGTCGGAGGGTCTCCCAGAGACGAAGGGCCACCTGACGCACCTCATCGGCCTCGGCATGCTTGTCAATGACTTCCTTCTCGAGCTGCCTATAGCTATCATTGAGGCTCTTGATCTGGTTGTCGAGCTCGGAGAGGATCCGGCGACTGGAACTGGTCTGTTCCTGTGTATATTTCAACAGAGGGACGGCCGACCGCGAGGTGAGGAGGTCGATTCGGGAGTCGACCTCTTGTGCATCGAAGAGGACTCGGGACAACGGTGTGGACAGATCGAGGGGAGAATCGTTTGGATTGTTGGTTGAGACGACGAGGGTATTCGCAAACGCCGCAGCATTGAAGTCGGGCGCAATGAAGGTCTCGTAGTCGATGTAGGACGACGAGTCCTCGTCCTGGTGGTCCGCCATGGTGTCGCGGCAGATTGAGGAGCTATCTCGAGCATCCGATTTAATTTAGGCCACGCACCAGATGCCCACCTGCACTTGCACCCTGCAGCTCGTGAGACCGGGATTTGGCGGCATGTAGGGTAGGCTGACCGGACGCGGTACACGGTGCTACCTCGCCTTTCTCGCTTTAGTGGCGACTGGGGCGAGCGAGGAAAACGGGCCAACAGCGGCGTTGCTGGAATTGCACCTCTGCGATTGGCTGCGAACCCCGGGTCCCACTAAAGGCATTGGAGGTCACTACCAAATGCCAATGCGCCGGATGCGCGATTTGGGAGCGATAATTTGCACTAATATCTCGTCGCCCCAGAATTCGAGTCACACACAGCCAATCAAGACGGCAATGTATCAGTCTGTGCCGCTACGTCAGAGGAAATCTCCCCAGCAATGGGCGACCGGCATGACTTGCAGGCAGACACTCCAGACCCTCTTCACGGAAATCCCGGATGTTTTCTGGCCTGGGATTGCGCTTCTGAAAGCCGATGTCCAGATAATAAACCGCAGCCCTCAGCTCGGTTCCCACCCTCTTCTTTCCTCTGCAACACAGTTTCCCTCTTGTCAAGTGTCTGCAGGGAATCTGGGTTCCGTTCGCCATCAGCATTGGCTTTTGTTTTTGTTGGACTTCTTTTTGGCTTCTTCAGCCTGCTCGTCGCAACCGATCGAGAGCACTCGCCAATGTTTTCTCGAGGTCTTGAAGAGTTAATCGAGTCGACTTAAGCCCTTCGACTTCTCGTTCTCGCGGCAGATTTCCATATCGCATACATTCGGTACAGCGACTGGCTTGAAAACGCCCTCCGACAGAAATCCATCAAAAACAAATCGCCCATCCATCATGGCGGCGTTTCTATTTGGACGATCAACCGATCTCCCCTGGCCCCAGGGTGACAGTGGCAACAGCTCCGACACGATCCTCAGCGGTGTTCATTTTAACCTCTCGACCCTTCAATTCTTCAACTATACGCTTTACGGCAATGAAACGCTCTCCAATGGCTCCAGCTGTTATATGAATACCCCAAAACTCATCGCTGACTACCTCTACGAAAACGGTTCCTTCGTCAATTCGACGACATGTTACAAGGCTATCGATCCGATCGGGACACGCGGTATTACGGGTATCGCGATGTGCGCTGCCTTTGGTGTCGCTCTCGTTCTCTCCCTTACGACTCTAGCTAAGCATGGCAAACTGTATATTCCCAAGGACTCAAGGTTTTACCCTATTGGTAGGAGATGGCAATGGTATTGGGCCTTCTTCGTATGCGGTTGCGCTTTTGCTGGTCTCATTCTCAATGTTGACGTGGACCGCTACCGTGTTCAGGAATTGCCCATTATCGTCACCACCTTCTTCTACTACCTGATGTCCCTCGGAACTGTCTGTGTGGTCTGGGAAGCTGTTCGTCACTGGGGAAGTTGGTTGGAGCGGCAATACGTGGATCCCAACCCATTCATTCTCCCTGATGACGACCGACGCTCCAAAATCGAGTTTTATCTACCGCTCTGGTTTTACTTGATTGCCTGGATGGTATGTTCCCGATGCCACTTCTCTAGACTGTTGATTGTTGACTTTACTGACCTTGCCGTTCTAGAATTTCTTCATGGTCATACCCCGAAACTGGACATTTGCGTACAAGCAAAATGACCCTGAGCAGATGGCAACCGAGGCTGAGCCTGCCGCTACTGGCCCCCGATTCAAGGCCGCCGCCTTTTTACTCTTCGTCTGCTGGCTTACCACCTGTTTCTCCATGTGGCACTCCATCAAGCACTACAAGCCCCGCAACCGTGGATTCTTCAACCGATCTATTGGGCTTGTTCGGGCTATTCCTCTCCGTTTCCTGTTGATCCTCCCACTCTGCTTGGGTGTTGTTGGATATCAAGCCTTGATCTCTTTCCAGTTCCAATACTCAGTGGTCAAGGCCGATGGACCCGTGCCCATTATCTACGGCTGGGGTTATGGCTGCCCGCTATTGATTCTATTTATCCAAATTCTTTACGGCTGGGCCAGTCCTAACGAGGACAAGGAGCTGATCAGGCTGCGCAGAGAGCGCGGACAAGCTTCTGACCGTGAATTGGGCATTACAAGAAAGCCTGCTTGGTGGAGTCGCGTCCGAGGTGATCACATTGTTGGATCCTTCCGTGATAGACTTCTCAAGAACGTCCAGGAAATTGGACCCACCCAAGGAACTGGCCGCAGAGAAGAGGGGGAGATGGAGAGGCACATCCGAGAAAACATGCGGGACGAAGCTAGGGATGAAGATGGTGACATTGAGCTGCCCAATCTTCGCAAGAATGAATACAACCCCCGCGAGGACAGGGCGGGCGTTAGCAACATTAGGCGAAAATCTGCCGTTGGTCCTGATGGCGAAGAGCGATTGGACCGCGCGACGACCGATCGCGTAATCAACCTTGCGTCCAACATCCTTTTCCCAAATCCCGAGGAAGTCGAAAAGAGAGACCGCGAGGCTGAGCTCGAGCGAGCCCGTCGTATTGCCTACCTCCAGGAGGACGGCCCTGCGCCACCATCATACTCGGAGCAGCAGAGATCAAGGAGGACAAGCAACGGAACGCTCAACTCCGTTAACGCTCCTCCAACCCAGGTCCGAAGCATGTTAGATCTCTAGAGAAACTTCACCTGAGGACGTGTTGAGTGTGTACGCATGTATGTGATGCGCCAGGACAAATGAGACATGATTATCACGCATCCTGGGACTGTTAGTTTCTTGGCGGTTGTACTTGGTTCATGCACTTAGAGAGAGTAAGACTTGGAAAATCCAGTTCCTCGGTCACTTTTGGGTTGGTAACGGCGCGGAAGACAACGTTTTGTATACGATCAATCATTTTCGGTTAAGTGTGCAATATTTCGGTATAACTTCATAATAGCTATAGACCTTTGCATTTGCTTGCTTCTGATTTTCGACATGTGTAAAAGTGACATCGTCTTTCGGTTGTGCACTCTTTATTTACAAACCACCACCAGCTAAGTCACTGCGGACAGAGCTTTCATTCATGATATTGATACTTTGTCAACTCAATTGCATGTTTATTCGTTACTTAAATAGGTACTTGTGATGTTCATATACAATTGCCTTAAAACCGGCCTCTGCGCAAGAACTTGTTGGGGATATCTATATACTTTGCGCGGAGATACTCGCAAACATTCTTCCCCAAGGTATCATACTCGCTTGTAGAGTTGAATCCACGGTCAAGGTGGTCCCGGAGGAGGAAGTGCACAGCTCGGATACCCGGGATCTCGAACCGCTCGATCTTCTTCCCCTTGTTGCTGCCTTCCAGCAGCTGGTTGATCTTGTCGATGGTGAGGACGCTTCGAAGCCAGTCCCACTCGTCGTCGTGGCGCACGTAGAAACCCACGTTGGCGTCAGACGCCTTGTCGCCAGATCGACCACCGACGACCCAGCCGAGAGGTCCGCGGGTGGTGGGACCGAAGGTTGCGAGGTCGACGGGGTCTTTGGTCTCGTACGACTTCTGGTCGCGGGGGTAGTCGGGGCGGACGTTCTTCTGGACGGGGATGTCGATGGATTTCCCGAGGAACGGCAGCTCGACCTGGTGCTTGACCTCGGCCTGGGGGAGGAGGGTCACGTAGTACTCGTAGAAGGGCTTGCCCTCGCTCTGGCGCTGGTCGTTGCCGAGCGATGCGCCGGGGCAGCTCTGGAGGAAGTTCTCCATGCACCAGCGGTTGAATCCGGGCACGTCGAGTGTGAACTTGTCGACGAGCGCCTTCTTCTTGGTCTGGACGAAGATTCGGAAGTCCACGGTAGATACTTCCTGGTTTCGGGGGTTTTCTGGGCTGTATCCGTTGAGGGTGAATTTGAGGCAGGTGAGGTCTTTGATGGCGTCGCCGATGGAGTGTCGGATCTGCCTCTCTGTCCACTCAGCCTTCTCTTCCAGGTCTAATCCGACCAGGTAGTAATGGAATTCGGCCTGGTAACCTCCGAAAGCTGTGAGACCGACCTTGGTCGTCGATGGGGCAGGATGGCCCTTGACGCCGCTCACCCGCACTCGATCTTTGCCAATGTCCTCCATGACAATTCCTTCCAGATTGGCGGTGACATCGGAGCCGTAGTATAATGGGCCTTGAATCTCATATAGAAGCTGGGAGGACACTGTCCCAACCGACACCTCTCCGCCAGTGTTTGCTTCCTTGGTAATGACGCTCGTCCCATCGCATTCAACTTCAGCAATGGGGAAACCGATGTTTGCGCAGCTGTCCATCAGTCTCTTGAATCCAGAGTAATAACCACCGCAGACATATGAAGAGCATTCGATAAGATGGCCGGTGACCAATGCACCTGCAATCTGGTCGAGATCCGTCTCACGGTCCCATCCGTGCCACCACATAGCCGCACCGATTGTAGGAGCAGCGTCAGCCACTCTGCCGGCGATGACGATGTCGCAACCCTGGCGTAGAGCCTCGGCGATGCCAGCACCACCAAGATAACATCTACAAACTGGTTAGCTATCTGCTCGTTGTGTTTCAAAGGCTGCTCTTGGGGCAACTTACTGAGCGCAAATAATTTCATGGCCCCATTCCTTGAGAGGCTTGCCGTTCATCAAGCTAGGGAACACTTCGCCATTGTCGAAGAGTCTCTTGACGGTATCCGTCACCTCGTCTCCGCTGACCCAGCCAACCTTGAGGTCGAGCCCTTGCTTCTTAACCTCTTCTTCAACAAGCTTGGCTAGTAACTCGGTGTCGCTAGCTCCAGCGTTGACTGCCACCTTGATGCTCTTAGACTTGAGATATGGGAGGGCAGGAGCAAGGTTGTCCATGAAGGTTGGGTCGAAGAGGCCTACGGGCTCTTCTTTCAGAGCTCCCGACTGCTTGAGAGTTTCATTCTCGGCCTTTTGGGCACCATGCAAGGTCATTGTGCATTCCGAGAGCCAGTCTCCGATGATGCAGTCAATGTCGCAGTTCTTCGCCAAGTCACCAATCGCTCGCTGGCGGTCGGAGAAACCGCCAGAAGATCCGGCGATCCGGATTGGGCGTTTTGCTGAAGTCATTGTGAATAGGTGAGGATGTGTGTGGTGATGGGGGAGGGAGGGAGATTGGTAGAGCGGCTAGAGCAACACCTTGATACTGAGATGGGAACTTCGAATCTCCAATCCTTCCAAGCCAGAGGCCTAGTTTATATACACGGCCATCAATTGGATCTACAGACTCCGGAAAGCCATCATCCGGAGGCACTGGCTACAAACTCACATCTAACCTCCCAAGCGATGCCGCAGGACACACCGGCAACCCCAGTTCTCCACCCGTCCCCAAAGCAGTGCGGGGAGATTCATGGAGCGCGAGATCATTCCCATACGAAATGTGGTGGGACACGATTCCGGCATCTCGGGAGAGGAAAGCCCAGAAGCTTCAGGTTTCCAGTGTTAGGGGCGGATAATCATAGCCAAAGGACTCATGACCGGTTGCTAGTCAGAAACGGAGGGCGTCCGGGAGTTCATTTTCCTGGTGGGGGCGTGAGGCTCACTCTAACGGCCTTCGTTTTGGGGTAATCAGTAGGAGATGACAAATTCACCAGGGTTCGTCTCTTTTTCGATCTTTAGGATGTGTCAAGCTGAAAATTGCCGCTCACTAAGATCATGGGAAACCTTTTTGCAGGTCATAGTATGTGTGATCCTAGAAGTTGTGGTAGGCAGGCTCTGTTCCCCACCACTGGTTTACAAGATAAGATGATTATCATTTCTGTATGCTAGGCCAGGAATTGGCAATAAGCTCGTTCAGGGACCATTATTCCGAATCTCATTTTTTATTCTTCTCCCTCAGCCCAAACAGTTCAACACTTTAAATCTTGCCTGCTCTAATCACCGACGTAGGCCGTACCTTGGGTACCCTAACCGCCGCAATGATGTACACTTCCCAATGGTTTAGCCTCAACACTTATCACCAGATGCCCTTGACCTAAAATTTATTGAGAACGATCTCCTCGAAATTGAAACGGTTACCTAACTGAATGATATTTGAGAGAGTGCCTGGTTTCGAACCTCGTAGCTTACCTCTAGGGTAGGTGAGGGAAGAGCCCTTGATGCCTAGACATGATGACGTCAGCATCCGAACTACCAGACGGCCGCTTTTGCCTCCATCGACGGAGTCCGTTGACACGATTTAATCAACAGAAGGTCGCCGTCCAATTGCTGCTTGGCTCAAACCTGTCACAATATGTCTACGAACAACAGCCAAGCATCGCAGGCTCTTGGGGCGAGAGCCCTCGGTTCGCCGGCCTATTGGACTCAGTTTCGCCTTGTCAACTACCTTCATAGAGCTGGTGTGGCGGCCTCATATCCAATTCGGGGAATCTGGTACTTTTCACGCAGCAGAGAGTTCTGGCCGCTTTTCTTCGGACGACTGTTGCCCCTCTCTGTGATTTCCTTTCTTGTATACTTTATTCTCTTCGCTTTTGCGTTTCTGCCACAGTTTGCGTTTCTGGCAATTTTCCACGGATGGGGTGCCTGGGTCAGCGCAGTGGTGCTGGTTTTGGGAGAGGGACTGGTCATTATTCAAGGCCTTTTTGAAGGATTTTTTGTGGACGAGTGCCGTGTGGATGTATTTGATGTAAGACTGATTTCCTGACGGTTTCTCGCGAGAGAACGCAAGCTCACAGCTTCTTTAGGCTACCCTCATTAAACTTGGTTGGATAAATTTACTACGCCCACATCGATTACTATTTGATGACGCTCCAACAGCCGTCAAGATGCTGGGAAAGCCCACAAGTTCTGCAATCTACACGCCATGGAGTGTGATTCAGATCGTCGAGCTGATCGTTTTCCTCCCCCTCAACCTGGTCCCATGGGTCGGCACTCCCGCCTTCATTATTATTACTGGGACAAGGCTCGGAAAGCTGGCGCATTATCGCTGGTTCCAGCTCAAGGGGTTTTCTAAGCAAGAGGCCAAGAGGGAAGCTAGGACCGTGCTGTGGGAGGACGTTTGGTTTGGAACAGTGGCTATGATCTTGGAGCTGATCCCCATCCTCTCCTTCTTCTTTCTTCTCACTACGACGACAGGTGCAGCCATTTGGACAGCAGAGATGGAAAAGAAAAGAGAAGCCGCGAGCGCTGGCCCTACACAACCGGAAGCTATAGACGAGGATCAGCCACCCGCGTATTCTGACATCGTATGAGAACAATTGGGAGCTACGGAGGAGGCACAAGGTGCCTTGCATACTTTCCCTGCTCAAGTAGCACGCGGCCTAGAGCCTCTTGAATGTGAATACAAGATGGATTCGAGAATCTGGCAACATAGCATGCCTTTCTCATTTGTTTGAGTTCAACTGCTGCATTTCGTGCCGTTCTACCACCAGCCGCACCTCTTCTCCCTGCTCATCTACCTACCTACCTACCTACCTACCTACCCACAACGTACACCCTGATCGTTTTCCTCACATAGCATACGCCACGGAAGGTGGGGGCCTGGGTACTTGCGTACATTGTTCACCGCGGGGGACCTAGAAGGGCACCTCTCTGTGAGAGTTGCTCCTGCCTCGTCCTCGAGCCGGACCGAATCTAAGCCACGAAGACCCGCTTGGGTTTCTCCACGGACGAAAATCAGACCATTCTTTGAGTGCCGGCTGCATCCGAATACAGAGAGGCTTGCGATATCTGTAGGTGAGGAAGGTACGCACCGGTTCTCCAGCTACGTGTAGTGGAGTCGTCTGCCGAGGACTCTGGACGGCAACGAGTCTCAGCAGCTCGGGTCAGGTACGAGTTTGGTTCAAAAACGGGTTAACCAGTTCAGAGAGTCAATGCAGTACTTGTGACAGGCATTCATTACTACAGGTAGTTTGTTATGACTACTAGGAACTTGGTAACCCAACATTAGCTGCATCGTGATATCACCTTCTCTCGCAGGAAACAGATAGGCGCAAGAGGATGCTGACCTCCATTTCTTATCATACTCGCGGGACCCAATCTCCAGCTCGCTTCTACTCTCGCACTCAAGGAAGTTGAGTGATTTGCCGCTCCTGCAAATCTCGTGGCCGCCCAAGACGCACAGAGATGCACTGGGGGCGCACCTTCCCAGTCACGATAGATGCCTGAGGATGGCCTTGCGTGGCGGCTCTCGGCTCCCAATCAATCGAGAGGTCCGCCTCACTTTTGGGATTTGTGAAAGATGGGAAGGAACGACGAGCTCGTGGGCGGAGCAAAGTGATGGCAGCCACTGGGAATAAAACACTGGCCTGGGTTGTCGACCAGATTCCTCTTCTTCCTCCACCCTCATCCTCCACAATCTTTTCGCATTTCTTGCACTTCATCCTGTCTCTCACGCCTTTTTACCCTCATTCTTCTTTAAATTTCATCAGACATCTACATACTCTCGTTCGGTCACTGCACAACACCGCCTTTGGAGTCTATGGTCACTCTCTTCCATAGTACTCAGCACAACATGCGCTCCAAATCCTCGATCGGGGCCTTTGTTGCCGCCAGTTTCTTGGGTCAATCCTTTGCCCAAGCTCCCGAATATGGGTAAGAAAAAGTTGCTCTACTCTCTCTGGTGTTCGATGATGCTAATAATCTCCTAGAGACAGTGGTGGCAGTCCCGCCCAGGGCTCAGAGCTTAATACATACGGTGGCTCATCAGCTACTTCAACATGTGGCGCTGAGAAAACTACCACTGTTTTCGTCACAGTTCCTACTGGTTCTGGAAACCCTTCAGAGAGCCAGAGCGGTGATCAAAACCCTGATCATTCAGAGCACACCGTGACGCGAATTCTTCAATCTACTGTATTCGTATCTGATGGAATCCCTCATTCAAGTTCTGGTCCCTTTCTCTCTGCCGGTCCCCCTTCTCAATCTACCCTCTCATCTGCACCCAGCATAAGCGGCTCTGGTATCAAACCCTTCACTACTATTACCATTGACATCTGGGGCACCGGGTCTGATCCTGCGCATGGCTCTAATACGCCTGGCACCGGGTCTGCCACTGATTTTCAACCCACTGCTTCCACACAAGGGGACTCCGTTACTTCTACTTCTCCTGGGTCGACATCACAAACTGATTCTGTCACCAACCCCTGGTCCACGGTAACTGTCGTTGGTAGCGGAGCTACTCACCGGACTTCACTCTCTACACAAGATAGTGAAGGCGTTTCGACTCTCTCAAACACAGATGCAGCACAGACTTCTGTCCCCACAGCCTATGACAGTTCTTATACTGGAACTGAGAATCCTGCACCCACCGTGGTTACTGATACAGACGTGTATTGGACAATTGGTGCAGATGGACCGACCCAGGTTACCGTACTCTCCTCATACACTCTCACTACGGATGAACCTTCCATCTCAGCACCAGAGGCCTCCACAACCGGTGATGCTCTACCAGGAGGAGGGGTCACTGTCACTGGCGCTGACGGAAAGCCTACTGTGATAATTAATGCGAGCACCATTTCTGAAGGTGATGGCCCTGAACCAACAGCCACTGAGAGCTCCATTCCGCTACCGGATAACACTCTCCCTGGAGCAAAGACCACCGTCACTGGTGCTGATGGAAAGCCTACTGTGATCATCAATGTCAGCGCCATTTCTGAAGGCAACGGCCCAGAGCCAACGGCCGCCGAAAGCTCCCTTCCGCTACCTGGTAACACTCTCCCTGGAGGAAAGATCACCGTCACTGGTTCCGATGGAAAGCCTACAGTGATCATCAATGGAGGCGACACCTCTGGAGCTGGCCCAACACAAACAGCCGCCCAACCCTCTTCTATCCTTGACAACAACCTTCCAGGAGGAAGAATCACTGTAACTGGTGCTGACGGAAAGCCTACTGTCATCATCAATGGAGGCGATTCTGGAGCTGTGGGCCCAACACCAACAGCCACTCAACCCTCTGACAACAACCTCCCAGGAGGAAGGATCACTGTAACTGGTGCTGATGGAGAGCCTACCGTGATCATCAATGGAGGTGGCATCTCTGGTGGTGTTGAACCAGAACCTACACCCGCCCAAACTTTAACGGTGCCTGGAAATGCTCTACCAGGAGGAAGGGCCACTATCACTGGCACCGATGGTAACCCCACGGTCATCATCAATGGAGGTAGCATCTCTGGGGATGGCGCTGCAACCCAAACAGCCCCGCAGAGCTCGATCTTGACCCCAGGTAACAATCTCCCAGGCGGAAGAGTCACCATCACTGGAACCGATGGGAAGCCTACTGTAGTGATCGATGCAGGCCACATCTCTGGAGGAGATGGAACTCCGCCAACAGCCTCACAAAGCGCTCCAACAATTCCTTCATCTCAAGTTTATGGCTCTGGTGACTCTGGATACTCTTACCCATTCCCAGGAGGTCCCTCCTCGGCTGTGATCACCGGAAGCATCCCCAAAACCACGTTCACTGTCATCGGAACAGATGGTCTGCCTACCGTTGTTGAAGCCACTTTCGCAACCCCAGGTAATGCCCCGTCAACTGGTATCTTGCCCTTCCCTACCAATCCTCCTTTACCTGGTTCAGCCTCTGGAATTAGTGGTGGGATCCCCACCTATTCCCCTTCCTCAGCCATTGGCAATGGAGACATCCCTCAGACTACATTCACTGTCATCGGCACAGATGGCCTTCCTACCATCGTCACATCACCTTTTGATGTTCCAGGAACAGGCTCTTTGCCTTACCCAACTAATGCCCCCATTCCCGGGTGGCCAGCATCTGGGTTTCCTGGGTGGCCTTCTGCAAATCTGCCTCCCGCTGGTCCTCAAAGTGGAATCACAACACAGTTCACCTTTACCTACATTGGCGGAAATGGGCTGCCGACTCAGGTCGAGTCTACCGTTGTTCTCTCTCCAACGGACCAAGCTTCCAATGGCGCAATTCCAACCATCCCGGTTCCGCGACCAGGATCGTCAGTTGGCTTCCCTAGCAGCGGAGGCGTGACAACTTGTTATAGTTACACCGTACTCGGACCCAATGGGTTGCCTACTGTTGTTGAATCGACGGTCGTAATTCCTACTGCAGTCCCGGTGACGACTCCGCCACTTGGATTACCGACTCAATTGCCATCTGGCCAAGGAGCTCCTCAGGGCTTCCCCACGGTTGATGAGATCACCTCTACTTTCAGTTACACGTTCACAGGAATTGATGGACGCCCCACCGTGCTGGAAACCACTATCGTTGCAACACCAACCAACCTAGTACCGGGATTTCCTGGTGGTGTGCCAGGGCCCGTGATCACCCAAGGGGCATTTGATAGCGGTATTCCAGGATCTCCTTCAACCACCTGTACCACACTCACTTTTATCGGACCTGACGGGATTCCAACAGTAACAGAATCAACATGGACGATTGCTGCTCCAATCCAAACCACCTCTGCTGTAGGTGGCGCTCCTGGAGCCCCAGGCCCTCTTTCAACTCTTGGCTGGCCTTGGCCAGCAACTGGAGCTTTGCCATCTGCACTTCCTTCTGGCTTCCCTTCAGGTTTCCCCTCAGGATACCCCTCAGGATACCCTTCAGGCTTCCCCACTGGGTTACCATCAGGCTTCCCCTCCGGTTTCCCCTCAGGATACCCTTCAGGTTATCCCTCAGGTTACCCCTCAGGTTTTCCCACTATTTTGCCATCAGGTTTTCCCACTGGTTTGCCGTCAGGTTTCCCCTCGGGTTACCCTTCAGGTTTCCCCTCTGGTTTGCCATCGGGTTATCCTTCCGGCTTCCCTTCTATTCCCAACGGCCAAGGAGCTCCTAGCACCACTTGCACTAGTTACACCGTCTTGGGACCTGATGGGCTCCCTACGGTTGTCGAAACAACTTGGACGGCACCTGCTGGCTTCCCTCAAGCAACAGGCAATTCTCCCAATCCTTTCCCATGGAATGTGCCTGTTATCACACCTGGCGCTCCCGGAAACCCTCAACAAACTGGCCCTTTTGGTGTGCAGCCCACTCTTGCTAGCACAACATACACCCAGCTTGGTGCTGATGGACGGCCCACGGTCGTTGAGACAACTTGGACGGAGCTTGGCCCTCTTGGTGTGCAGCCTACTCTTGCTAGCACAACATACACCCAGCTTGGTGCCGATGGACGGCCCACTGTCGTCGAGACAACCTGGACGGAGCTTGGCCCTATTGCCACTGGTATTCCTCAAGGCCCGGGCGGCTCTGGAGCCCCCTTCCCATGGAATTTACCTGGTATCACTCCTGGTGCTCCTGGATACCCCCAGCAGACTGGACCGTTTGGTACAGGGGCTTCTACCACTTGCACGACATTCACCCAGTTAGGTGCTGACGGCTTGCCAACTGTTGTCGATGTGACCTGGACTGTTCCAGCCCCTGCACAAACTACTATCGGAGCACCTTCTGTTGTCTCATCAGTTGCTGGCCTTCCCCAGGGCACATCTCCACCCGAGCCTGAGATCTCAGCAGTCACAACTTCGTTTACCGTTGTAAACATTGGTCCGAATGGTCTACCGACTCCTGTTGTTCAAACTGTTGTACTCACACCTGCTCCTGTTCCCACGGCTACTGGTGCTGGAATTCCCTTTCCTCTGCCCTCCGGTCCAGTCATTGATACAGCGCAAATCCAAACGCCTAGTTTAAGCGCTTATGGGCCAGAGCTTTCGGGATTTCCCACTATTGGTGTACCCTTCCCACCAAACTTACCCTCTATCTTCAGCAACGGCCTTCCCCCTCTCATCACGGGCCCTTTGAGTGGCATTTTGACTGGCCCAGGTGCAGGAACTCCCACACCTGTTTCCAATCCTTTCGATCAGTCATCGAATCTTGGAATTCCAGGATTCCCACTCACTCCTGGAGCTACCCCTCCGGCATACGGAAGTGATCTGAATGATGGTGCTGTTCGTCCCGGCCCATCAGGTCCTTTGCCCACGGATGCAACTCTTTGGCCCTCTGCAGTTGCCTATAACACCCCATCTGCGGCCTCCCCAGCTCTCAGTCTGCCATGCACAACCTTAAAAACCAGTACTTGGGTTAATGTTATCCCGGAGCAGACGACAACGTATACGCTCAACTATCCATTCACAACACTGGCTGCTGTTACTTCTCCAGTTAAACTTAGGGGTTTCAGAAACATTGTTCGACGACAACTGAGGTAAGTTGATTTTTCTGTTGCAGACTGTAGATCTCAAGCTCATCACCGAACAGTTCCGCAGGAATTGATTCTCAATGGTCTAATTCAACCACACCAATCTCAACGCCGTCTGCAACATCTCCAGTGTTACAGAGCCCAACACTATGCTCCTCCGGGGGGAATATTGGCAACTATACTCTTGATGTAAGTTTGTTTCACAGCTGAGGAGAAAGCGATTCATAAACTAACTTCTCCTAGTTTGATGACATCGAAGCCGGTCCATTGTACAATCCTGCGGGCGACTTCTGGTTCTCCCAGGGATTTTCCGTCGTCCCCCCTTCTTCCCAGACGGGCGCCTACTCTCCTTCTTCTGGTGGTCAGCTCATCGAATTCGTCCCTCCTTCGTCATTGGGATCAATTGGCAGTGGATCCAGCGATACAGCCGAGATTGGTGTTGGCCCCAACTTTGCAATCCCTTGTTACAAATTCAACATTTACGGTCTTAATCTAGGATGTGCAGCTCAGAGTAATGAGCAATGGTGCGAATTTGAGATCGCCGCATACGCATATGATGAAAATTCCAGAAGCGAACAATCCTTGTCATGGTCGGAGACTAAACGCGTCCCAGCTTGCCCCAACTATCCAACTGGTGTCTGCAGTTTGACATCTGTTGATTTAGATGGGTATTCGAACGTCACATCTGTTTTGATTAGTCTTCGAGTTGGGTTGGAGTCACGCACCTGGTGGGCTGACGATCTTCGTGTTGGCTGGACAGACAATAGCTGCGAAGCTGCCAGCTGTCGCGCTGATTCTTCATTTGTTGCCCAAAAGAGATCTACACAGAACTCTCTTCGTCGCAGACTCTGGGAACTTGCGTCTCCAAAGCACAGGCGTTCTCTTGGCAGATTCGGTGGGAATGCTACGCATTGATGGTGTCGGAACTGAAAAGATCAATGGGTGAATGGACTTTATGGGCTTATGTGCTCATTTACAATTGTCGTGGGAGTTGAATTTGTTTTCGATTGACAAATATCTGATCTTGATTTCTTGGGAGCCGAGGTAATAGTTGATGAACGGGAACTGGGCGTAATACTAGATGAGTTATGAACTACGTCTGTCACATAGCCAGAGAGGCTGCATAATTATTTGCGAATAAACGCCATGGGTTGAACGCGCTTTCTTTCTGACTGATGATATTGGTGATTTAAATGATGGCAACCAAGCTTATCGTAGCTATTTGCAATTGAAACTCTAGGTTTGTAGTTGTGGAAGGGTTCACTTAACCCCGTCTCCAGATGGGCTGGATGCTCAGCTTCATCAGATATGGACCAGGGCAAAGCAGGGCCCGAGATCGCATCGCGACATTGATCATGTGTCAATGGCTTCACCAACAGCCAGAAGACCTACCCAAAAGGCGGTTTACGCCGCCACTTGCCTCCGGGAATAACAATCCGATCAGAGGAACGGATCTCCACATTGACGGCAAAAATCACCCCCGAACTCCACATTGATGATAAATGAGTCCCAATACCGACTTGTTTGGCCTGTTAGCCGATATCGGGTCCGGCGGTTCGGTCCAATGTGCCAGCCAGTTAATGAAGGTCAATTATTCCCGACAGGGTCACCAGGATGTGGTGTTTGGGCCCGCTTTGGCTCGGGTGTGTTTGTTGGAGGCGCCGAGACGGGGGATCTCCTCCTTACCCTCCTGGGATGATTTGAAATCCCGAAAAGCAGGCAATCTCAAGACTCTACAGTTGCCCTGGGGTATCAGACCATGACTGGGGAGAGGGTGAGCAAGCCATATTCAACTACAACTACATCGATGAGTTAGTTGGAGTTGATAGGTTTGAACCATTGGCCGACCTGGCGTTTTCAAGATACAGTTTAGAGAAAATGGACTCGGAACATTCCGAAAAACACTGCCAACCTGAGGCTCTTGATCAAGGCATTCAAGTTGATGATGAGAAACGGGCCCAACCAACCAACGGCAGCAGTTGCAGCAGCACAGGTTCCGAGGACGCCAAAAACAAGACCGAAGCGGGTGCCATCGATGAATTAGAAAACATCGCCGAGGTCTGTGAGGGCGAGCCCGAGGGAAATGATAGCCCGGGAGTCGTTAGCTGTGTTCTCAGCCGCATAACATCAAGATCTACGACTATAGATCCGGGGCCACCGCCAGATGGTGGTTGGACGGCATGGTCTCAGTGTACGTGATTGCAAGCCCTTCTTGTTGTTGCTGTGTTGTTTTGTTTGCTAACGCTCCTCGGGGCATAGGCATTGCTGTACACTTCATCATATCCAACAGCTGGGGGTTCATCAACTCGTTTGGTACGTGGCAGTCTTACTATGTCACTCTCCTCCCCGAAAGAACAGCGTTTGAAATATCCATGATTGGGTCTTTGACGGTATTCCTGCTCTTCTTCATCGGCACTTTCACCGGACGCCTCACGGACGCCGGCTACTTCCGCCAGTGCTATGTGATAGGGAGTATTTTCCAGATTGGGGGTATTGTCTGCACCTCGTTCTGCACCAAGTACTGGCAGTTCATCCTCGCCCAGGGCATCTGTATTGGAATCGGGAACGGCTTCCTTTTCTGCCCTTCCCTCGCGCTGGTGTCGACGTATTTCCTCAAGAGGCGGGCTATTGCCATTGGGATCACAGCCGCCGGCGGAGTAACTGGCGGAGTCATATTCCCGGTCATGGCAAGACAGCTGCTGCCCAAGATTGGATTCCCCTGGACCATTCGGGCTATTGCGCTGGTTCAATTAGTGTGCCTCGCCATTTCAAACATCCTTGCCAAACCGAGGATCAAGCCCAGGAGACAGGGGCCGATCATCGAGATACAGGCCTTCAAGGAGCTCGAGTATACATCGTATGCCGTAGCCGCCTTTCTGGTAAGCAACTGTCTACCTTCATTCCCCTGACTGGCTTCTCCCGCGAAGATGAGAGCTGTTGTGATCGAAGGAATCCAGGGAAAACTAATCAACCCGCGGTGGGAAACAAATAGTTCTTCTGGGGGGTATACTTCGCCTTCTACTACCTCGCCGCCTTCTCCCGCGACGGCCTCCCGGACCCCGTATCCTTCACCGAGAGCCTCAACCTCCTCCTCGTCCTCAACGGCGTGGGCATGATCGGCCGCCTGGCGCCAAACTACTTCGCCGACCGCGTCGGCGCCGTCAACATCTTCATCCCCGTGTGCGCCACGGCCTCCCTCCTCGTCTTCTGCTGGATGGCCGTGAACACCGTGCCGGGGCTCTACGCCTGGAGCGTCTTCTACGGCGTCTTCTCCGCGGGCGTGCAGAGCCTCTTCCCCGCCGCGCTGAGCTTCCTCAACAGCGACCTGCGCAAGCTGGGCGTGCGCATGGGCATGGTCTTCACCATCGTCTCCTTCGCCGTGCTCACGGGCCCGCCCATCGCGGGGGCCATCATCGACCGCACGGGCGGGTACAGGGCCGCGCAGGCCTTCTCGGGCTCGTCGCTCGCCCTGGGCGCCGTGTTCCTGTTCGTGTCCAAGGTGGTGCGGATGCGCAAGCTGGGTCAGGGGTGGACGGGCAAGGTGTGAACGAGGTTGGCTCTCCCTCCTTATTCGTTTTAGTTTAGTCGTGGCGAAAACTTACCTTGAGTTTCTCTCCTTTTTTATTCGCAATGTCATCTTGGATCAGATACAGGAGAGTTTACCCAAAGAGGCGCCATGATGCTCAAGTGAAGGAGTTGACAGTCCAGCGAACCGTCAGATCAAAGATGGTAGAGTGAGTGGGCAATTTGGAAAAGGAGATGTGGGAGTAGCAGAGCATTTACTATATTTCCAAAAAAAAATTCAGCATTTTTCATTTGAGAAAGCCAAGAAAATGTCTCATTGATATTGAATGCATGTGGATTGATGGCGATTTTTAACACAATTTGCCAATGCCCCCAAGTGGAGGCTCGTGCTTGATGGATCTAGATCTATCCATGCAGATGTCGTGATATCACTGGATAGAGAGCACGTCATCGGGTTCGCTTGCCTCGGATACTGGCGATACAATTGCCATTCTCAACCGAGGCCAGGGTACCTTGGCTGTGCTTAGCAGAAACATGGAGACATTAGTTGCTACTCAGCCTTGAAGATTTTGAGTCTGATGCTTATTTAACTGATGCCTTGCGAGTGTGAAATAGAACGGCTGTCTATCATCAATCATCCGCTCACGAAGCAACAAATTGGTCACACCGTGGAGAAGCAAAGATGAATACTAAAAATCAAATCATTTAATGGGACTTGGGGAATCTAAATGCCGTAACCCGAGCTCGTTTCATGGACATAACCGTGAGCTTACATACAAAATAATCGTCGACTTTTTCTTCTTTAGGCCTTTCTTCCACAGCCAAATAACAACCGTATGCAGAAAATTAGAGACCTGTGATTTGTATCCCCAGACAACCTAAAACCAAGCACTCCGACGCACTATAAACCAGCCGACCTCCTGGACCAATCAATTGGGGCCTCCGAAAATCCTCCTAGAACCGCACGATCCTGGGGATCTCTCTGCTCCAGTTCGATACATAATCAAGCAACGCTTCGCTTCTTGGCATGCATGGACTCCGCACGATGCGTGTCATAAGTTACATTACAACCTGATCACAAAAGTTAGTCTTGATTCGGAAAGAAGTAAGTGGGAGAGACTTACGCAATCTCCTTCCTGCTTTCCTTGGGGAATACCCATATCCTCGAATGTTGCCGGCCCTTTGCTTGGAGCAGTGGCGGCCTTGGCTGGCTTGGGAGGAGCGCTTTGTGCAGAAGGCGCAGGGCTTGGCTTGCTCTCGGGCCTCTGCATCTGCATTTGTCCTGGCGGTGCCGTGCCTGATCTTCCAGGCACTGGACCACTAGCCCCAGGATGACCCATGGGAGGGCGGCCAGGATCGTTCGGGGGTCTCTGGTACCGCGGGTCTTGTTGTTGTGGTTGAGGGTATCCGGCGCCGGGGTGGCCGCCTTGCTGGCGGGAGTAGCGTGGATCTCCCTGAGGAGGTGCTGCGGAGGGAGGGCGGTGATCGTAAGGAGGATTTCCCATTGGGGGGCCTTGCTTTGGCACTCTACCTTGGTTCTGGTTGGGGTAGGGAGCAGCACTGTTGGGGCGCATCTGAGGGTTGGGGCCGGTAGGACTGTGTGGTCCTCCTGGCCCTGGACTATTTTGTCTGAATGCTCCAGGACCGGCAGAAACCACCCGGCCTCGAGGGTCGGGATACGAACCAGGGGCAGGGTGAAGGTTGTTCATGGACTGGCTGCCATGCATCATTGGCCGTTGGCCAGGACCACCAGGACCACCAGGGCCACCGGGGCCACCGGGGGGGCCATAGGGAGGACCCTGAGGAGGACCCTGAGGAGGGCCTTGAGGCTTGATGCCAAATGCTGGACCTGGACCTGGACCTGGGCGACCGCCATTGTAGCCCTGCGGAGGGCCTCGAAGATCGTCCTCGGGGTATGGCGCTGGGCCCTTGGGTGGCCCTCCGTGAATAGGAAGATTCCTCTCATCCTCGGGATAGGGGGCAGTCGACTGCCGGGTGGGACCAGAGCCATTGTCAACACGAACTCCAAAGGCGGGTCTGTCGCCACCGGGGATACCGCTCGTATCGATAATCGACGCCCTCGAGGGATCGGGGAAGTTGACGTGCTCGACTACTGTCGGTCGTGCTCCTGGAGAAGCATGTGACGCGGGCAGTGGCAGGCCAGGCGCAGCATCGTTGGCTGGAGTTTGGGGTGCACTCTCGCTTACGGTCGGCATTTGTTGAGGCTGCTTGAAGCGATCAGGTCGCTTGCCTCGTTGTGATCCATGCTGGGACTTGATCCTGGTAAGTGTTGTGGTTTCGTGGTCTTGCTTCGAGAGAGTCTTGTCCTGGTTTAGAGACTCAAGGCGTCCGAGAGCGTCCTTGTTTCCGTGGTCAGCTGCAAGCTGATACCAATTCCGTGCCTCATTGAGGTTCTTCTCAACAAAGATACCGATTTCGTGATAGTAACCCATGGCAAACTCGCCGGTGGGAAGTTTAGCATCGGACGCTTGTTGAGCGTACTTGAAGGCGAGCTCCTCGTTCTTCTTGAAGACGCCCTCGTAGCCAAACAAGAACCACCTGCTCACTCCAAGGGCCGCCTCAGCATTACCTTGGTTGGCAGAGAGGCCATAGTAGTGGATGGAGTAGGAGGGATTAAATTCGCAGCCAAGCTGGCACAGCTCATAAGCCTGGCCCATTTTGTGTTGTGCTTTGGCGAAACCCAGGTAGGCTGCCTTTTCAATGTACATCATGGAGGTCTGGGGGCTGTTTGGCAGCATCGAATCCGGGATATAGATGTCGGGGAGCTCTCGACCAATGAGCATGCCGTAGACGAAGGCGCCCTGAGGGGAGTCCTCGTCAGCATTGTCGGCAGCTGCTCTGATGCGGTCCAGGCCAGTCTGGTAGTCCTTGGCCTCACCGAGCTGGCCCAGAAGACTCATCATGCCCAGACGGTAGAGGGAAGCTGAATCCTGCTGAGCCATCCCCCGGTAGTAATGCTCCTTGGCCTTTGATGTGTCGTTGGACTGCTCGAAGAGCATACCGATGCGGTACTCTGAGCGTGGGTGGCCCAGCTCTGCAGCCCGTCTGTAGCCATTGTAGGCTTCTCTGCGGTCGACGCGGTTGCCGAATTTTCCAAACTCGATCCATTTCGATCGGATGTAGAGGGCCTGGGGGTGTTCCTGCTCGGCAAGGTATGTGATGATGTTGAGAGCATCAACCCTCAGCTCATGCTCGGTGCGGGGTGTCGAAGGTCGGGGGTTGTCCCGGTTTTCACGGGCTGCGGCCTCTGAAACAATCTCAACCCAGTTGAGGACGTCTCGAGCCCATGTGATTTGCATCGACACATTCTGGGAGCCAAGGACGTGCTTGCGAGCCTTCCAGAGGATGTCCTCCTTTTCTTCGTCAGAGGGGGGGATGGTGTCGCCTTTGACCTTGGGGAAGGGGGAGAAGGAAGGGCCCAGAGATCCCGCGTTGTCAGGCAGATCCATGATGCCGGTGTATGCTCTGATGCCGCCTGGTTCTGTTTGGCTCTGTGGGGGAGCGGCGGCGGACGTGGTGTTGGTGCTCTTTCCGCCGTATGTTTGTGGCTGGGATGCCACAGGTGGCTGCTGGGGCTGATGTGGTTGTTTTGGTGGTCGTTGCGGTGGTTGCTGTGACTGCTGCTGTTGGGGTTGGGAGCCCTCTTGCGATTGCCCGATGAAGGTCGAGAGGGAAGGGTCTCGGGCGTGGCGCGCTTTCGAATCGCCGGTGGTGGTCTTGGGTTCTTCTCTGGCTTCAAGTTCCATGCGCTGAAGGTCGTCTTGCATGTTCTGGGGGACCTGGGGGGTCACTCTGTGCGCAGGAAGAACAGAATCCGTCAGCAAGGGACGCCCCACCACAGTATCATTTCCAGTGAGAGCCGCGTGCGGGCGTGTGTGGAGAGCAAGACATGGATTGCTTGCGAGCAACTCCCGACGGCCAACCGGTCGCTTTTACGAGGCAGGAGAAACGGGGGCAGGGAGACAGGGAGCGGCAAGGAGATTTAAACCAAACAGCGAGAGGAAGACATACCTTTGGGGCGAGGGAGCTACAACCTCAGGCATGGAATAGTCGTCCCATCCGCCAGGGACAAAAGTAGCACCCAGCTCGGGTGCACGTTGGTGAGCCATATCGGTTGGTGGATGCGGGGCTTGGCCGTCTGCACAAGGGAGAAAAGGAGTCGAAGAGTCAGCAATGTGGCTTGGAAGGCAAAGCAGCGGGCAGGTAATAACAGAGCCCAGCAACAACGGCTGCTCGTATTATCGGCACAGTCCAATCAGTCTGAGCGGCGCACGTTACTCTCCAGGTGGGAGTGGGCTTGGATTTGGAGGGGGTGCTGACAGCAGCCAGACCGACGGCCAGGGCCAGTCAGTGTGTAAGGCAGGTAAGATGATGCGATTGATTTGATGTGATGCAGGCAGCCCAGCGCGGTGCTGCAGCTGGAGCGGGAGCGTTCAGGCGCTGGCCAGGGCACGGCTTAGGTGCTGCTCCAGCGGGCCGGGAGGAGGGGAGGGGAGGGGTCCATAGGCGGCCGGCCAGCTAGCGCCCAGGGCACAGCAGCGCACGGCAGCAGCCACCACAGCGACTGGCCGCGATGCCCCTCCAGCTGAACCGAGACCGAAGACACAATGACAGCGAGGCGCTTGCCCCTTGCGCGCCCGCCCACGAAAGGCTTCCGCAGGCAGCGCGCAGGCCATTGATGCCCAGGCCCGCGCGTCGGAGAGAGAAGGGGGGTGTCGGGCTGGTGGGTAAGGCCATGCATCAGGGCTCCTCGCTCACTTGAGCACGCACCGCACGGTATTAGTCAAGACAGCGCTGGTGGATGACGATACCAAGCACTCAGCACGCCCCTTCGGTGGGAGCCGCTAACTTCTAGGTAGGCAGGTGCTCCGTAGAAAACCAAGCAGCGAAATGTACAGTGCAGCAAATGCACATACGTACCAATGAGCAGGCAGTTCCAGCACGACAAGGGTAGGCTGTCTCGCAAGAGCCGAACGTCGTAACGTGGTAGGTGAGGTGTAGCGGTCGATGGAAAGGCCCAGAAGTGGTAATGCGAAGATCCTATCTGAGGGACCGGATGCTGTCATACACCTTCTCGAGGTGTGGCTGGTGTGGTGCAGCAAGACGCGCAGGATAATAAGAAACGTGGGGACGGGGTAGGTAAGGAAACGTCTAGTGCGTAGGACTTTCGTCACGCAGGCACAGCAGGGTGCTTTCTAACTTCGGCAGTCTGGCCAACACTGGCTCTGCAGGCGGTGCTGCACTAGACAAGGAGGTAGGGGTGACAGAAGCAAAAGAACGCGAAAGAGATTGCGTCCTCTTTGCTTCTCTGCACCAAGGTATGTAATTATAGTAAAGCCCGCTCGTTGCTAACGAAGCTGGCAGGCAGCACACTGGTGCTGGGGGGTGGGTTGGGCCCGGCATCTTCCACATGCCAGCAGGAGATGACCGTTAGAGAAAGGCAAAGCCGGGAGACGTCCACGAAGTGCTGCGCCATCGCCCTAACGCGTGCGATAATGCGTCGTCTTGTGGCTTGGAAGACCGGCCTTTCCAATCAAGACAGCCGAAGGCCAGAATCCCAGCAATAATGGATGTAGGTAGCGAGCCCCGCTCGGTGTGTTCGTCTCGACTAAGCACCAGTGACGTGCTATTTTAGAATTTGGGTCTTTCCTCCAGAGGGCCACGGCCGGCCTGGAGTGGGTGCGTGTTGTGCATGGATAAGATGATGTACGAAACCCGAGCCGCTGCGATGTGATGGCGAAAGAGGGAACAGGGAGCAGAAAGGGTGGTTAGAAAGAGGGGAAGAAGGAAATTATGAAACTCGTCGCTTCTGTGACACTCACCTAGTGCTTGATAAAGCTCTGTTGTGTCCCTGCGACCAGTTTGGCCTCTGAGGTGAAGATGTCCAGACCGTAAAGACTTCGGCCAAACCGCTGTGCTCTGGGTGACTCAATTGATGTCGCTGCACAGATCAGCTCGGTAGCTAGCAGTAGGCCGAAGGCTTATTAGTGGGGCCGTTGAAGGTGCGCCGTTTGACGCCCCAAAGCGGATGTCCTGGAGGAGGAATATGTACAGTTGGTAATAAGTGGGTGGAAGATTGATCAAGATTGGAAACAAGAGGCGGACAGCAGGCGAAGATAAATCTTTCGCGCCGATGTGCAGCGTAAACGAGTGGCCACCCGTTAATCGATAATAATAGCGCGTACAGCCCAACACGATGCCAAAGGCTCGACGGGCGTCGTGGGCATCTGCTCCCACCTCTCTCGTGTGCTCTGCTCTGCCTGGGCCGCTGGTTAGTAGGGGACCAGCCCAATCTAGGGCCCAGCTGGGGTTGGCTGCACTGCCCAGAAGTCTCCGAATCAGCCTAATTACGGGGTGTCCCCGTTTGCAGTAATTTCCAATGCACAGCGATCCTACTCATTACCAGCGAACGATGGATCCCGAATTGCTGATCTGGGCCACCATGAGCTGGACCCTTATATTCACACGTATCATCATCATCGCGGCATGGATGGGACAACAAATACGATCAAGTACGCGCTGCTTTCAGTTACGTCTATCTTTAATAGAAAGCACCTATAGCCAACGGGCAATTAGGGCAGAAAGGTCCAGAGCTCCCTCCAATAATCCAAATCCGCACCTTTGCCATGGTTTTAATGGCATAGTGCTTCGAAATAGGATTCCCATTGCAACGCACAGGGGTTTAAAACCGCCCTTGCAGTATACCTACCAGCTTCCCAACTTTGATATCTAACCCCCACGACTTCATGGTTAATAGGTAGGCATAAGCATACCCGAGGTCCAAGTGCTAAAACAGGTTCTTGAAAAAAGAACAGCTGGCGAAATGACCTTCCAAGTTTGCCTCCTCCTAAGTGCATACCGAATCAGCCCCAGCTGGCTCTCAGACTGCAGGAGCTGGAATTTTAGTGCCAGCCCAAACATCAGATGACTTTCTAGCTCGCTCCAGTCCGACTACAGGTGTGTCTCGAACGAGCATAGGTTGTCAATGGGCACTCACGGGCAATCGAATTTGAATTTGACAGACGAACAATGCCGAATGCTGACATCTTACATGACATGTAAACGAGCGACGGATATTCTTTCTATAATCTGACAAGGAATGCCCATTCTAACAACAAGCAATACGAATTTAGAGACAATTAGTGTGCATAATTATGTCATATTTCAAAGGGAATGATCTTGTTTATTGGTTGATTGAGCCGCAAACATGCGAAGCTGCCAAAATGAAGCCCCGCACTGGCGCACTCAGACCAGATCTGATCTTGGCTCGGCCCGGAGCAACGATACTCCTAAATCCTAGGCGAGAGCAACTGCGTCAGCAACCTCCAGCCTAGCACAAGCTACATCACACAGGTCTATCACGAAAGCAGACCCATGACCATTCCGCAACCCGCTATCCCAACAACCACCATTTGAACAGCATAGCAGCGTTCCCGACCGCTTGCACCTCTACAACCCGCATCCCATCCCCGACCTCATCCAATCCTCCAAGAACCCCCTCTCATACCGCCAACGGCGCCATCTCAGCCGTCACAATGGCCGAACGAAGCCTCACCCAGGTCCTGACCCAGCTCAAAAAGTCACCCTCGATGCCCTACGCCGACGCAAACGCCCTCCTCTCCAAGGCCAAGCTAGCCCTCCTCAGCCTCAAGGCCCTCACCCCCTCCGCATCCACCCCCCAGACCGTCCTCGCCCTCGCCCGCGAGACCTACGAGCAGGGCGCCCTCTTCGCCATCCGCGCCCGCAACCCGGACGCCTTCACCCGCTACGTCCAGCAGCTCCAGCCCTACTACGAGCTCCCCTCCGCGCGGCTGAGCCCCAACGTCGCCGAGCGGAACAAGGTCACGGGGCTCAGCCTGCTCCTCCTCCTCACCCAGGGCCGCTACGCCGAGTTCCACTCCGAGCTCGAGAGCCTCGCCAACCGCGAGGGCGGCGGCGGCGACGTCGAGGGAGACCGGTACCTGGGATACCCCATCCGCCTGGAGCGGTGGCTGATGGAGGGCAGCTATGACCGGGTGTGGAGGGCCATGAAGAGCAGCGAGGTGCCGTGTGACGAGTACAGCGTTTTCTCAGAGGTATGCTTAACCAACACCTGCCCCTTCCTCTTCAAAACCTCAAATATCCTGCAAGGCTGTCGCGAAGAAATCATGTTTTTGCATACTGACTCACGACTACAGATCCTTAAGAATCAGATCCGCTCCGAGATCGCCAGCAGCAGCGAGCGCGCCTACCCCAGTCTCCCCATCAGCTCCACGAAATCTCTCCTCTTCCTCGACTCCGAGGGCGACGTCATCTCCTTCGCGAGGCATCGCGGCTGGGCTGTCAAGGACGGCCACATCTACTTCCCCGATAGCTCCGAGGGCGGTGAGGAGGGATCCCAGAAGGAGGTCAGCCAGATGGTGATAGAGAATGCGCTCGGCTACGCCCGCGAGCTGGAGACGATCGTGTAAATAAAAATAGAAAAAGAAACAAACAGGCCTGATGGTTCGGGGGGGGGGATGAGATAAACGGGCAGCTTATGATTATTGTAAACAACCTCTAATTCGGAAAGCTGGGATAGATCAAATATTAGATACTTCACAAGCCATCTTGCGACGAAATGTTCTGAACCAATATCCCGGGTAATGTTTCCAGAAGATGTAATAAATGGACACAATTTTTTGAGCTCTCTCACTTGAAAACCGCAAGGTCGAGAAACTACAACTTCTAAACCCTAAAATTTTGATTTTCAACATATGGCTGGTCTCCCCCCTAGCCCATGTTGCATCGTTGAAAAGTTCCGATCCACGAATTATCTAGCCATGGCGTAACTCCTTTATCGTCATCATTACAGCTCTACGCAAACAACTTCAAACCACTGCCGTGCTTGCCAATCTCGCAAACCTCGCAAACCCTACACACCGTACCCCTGAACTTGGAATGATACTTGGATCCGTCGAATGAGCATTCCTCAAAGGAGGTGCCGCTGTAGATGGGAGTGTGGCTGGCTGCGCAGATCTCGAACTCAGCGAACTGATCAAACTCAATGTCAATTGAGTCGTTGGGGTTGCGCTCGCACTGAGCCTTCGTCTTCTTGGCCTGCAGACATTTTGTTAGTTAAATTGACACTACATAGACGTGGGATGGAAATTTCAACTTACGTTTTCGACGATTTTGCTAGCTCCGCCGTTGGCAATGATGCGGTTGGCAAAGCTGAGCGCTGAGTTGTAGTTCTTGTTCTTCACTGCGAACTGCATGGCGTTCAGCAACGCCAGCTGGCGGTGAGGAACCTCAATCTTGGGGATAGTGAAGTATGCGCCAAGCTCGAGACTTCGTCTGAGCTTTTCAGGGTCCTTGGCCAGGGCATCGGGTCCACCCAGTTGTCTTCTGGCAAGCTCGATGCTCATTGCAACGACGTACTCGCTAGCAGATGTGATAAGCTTCTTAGCTTCAGAGACCTCATCTTCATTTGACACAGCATTGACAAGGATAGCGTGCAAGATTCCCTTGAAGTATCCAATACCGTCTTCAAGTCTGTTGGCTTTCATCGAGTCATAACCCTTCTGAAGGTCATTCGAGGCCAGGTGTTCCAGGTCACGGGGAATAAGTGGGAGAACCTGTCGGGGGTCGGTTTCATCCAAAGTTCGTCGAATATAGTTAACGAGAGGAGGAAGGCCGGTGGATGCGGGAAGGAAGGACCTCGAAGCTTGGAAGATCTCCAAAAATCGTGGCTTGAGAGGTGCAAAGTTGACAGCACCAACCTGTCGGTTGAGAAGTAGCATTGCAGTCTCAAAGGAGCCGCCAGCAATGTGATCGGCAGCCAAGGGAGAGTTACGGGCCCAGAGATCAGCTTCGCTGCTGCCTGCTCCTCCAGCTTCCGAGCTCTCAACATTGACAAAGTCGCTCTCAACCTCAGGAACATCATCATCACCCATGTCCCAACCAGTAGCATCTTCTTCTTCATCCTCGATGAGGCCATTTCGCTTGCTTGACTCGTCAACATCCATTGCGTCATCCAACAAATTAGTTGCAGTGTTATCCTCAAGAGAGAGGCCTTCAACTTGGCCAAGCAAGGCCTTCTCGAAGAACGATTGAGATCCGGCCTTTGTGGGCCAGTTGCTCTTGAAAGTTGGTACTACGGGCTGAGCAGGAGTCAATGGCTTGCCAAGGGTGGGTAGGGTAATTTGGTCTTCAGTCAGGCCAGTTGCCTCAAGAATTGCCTCGCACTCTTCCTCGAGACCATGAGATTTCGCTGTCATATATGCGAGAGGGTCTGTGTTCGGTTAGTATTTTCTTCAAATCTTTCCTTCACAAGAGCCCGTAATACTTACAGAGATCGATCTCCTTGAACATTTGAATGCGGTCCTCAACCTCGCCCAGATAGAGAGCGTTTTGGAAGCGCGATGTGAAGTCTCCACGGTGCTCAGCAATCTTACCCATCCGGGCCAGCTTAGAATGGTCACCCGTCGTCAAGTAAAGGAAAGAAAGCTTGTCGAACTGCTTGAGCTTTTGATAGCTCATCTCAACGATCTGGTGGTTTCCATGTGCGAGAGCCTCTGCGCCAAGCCTAGACCAGAACTTGGGTCGTTCAAGCTCCTTGGCCATTTCTACAGCAACATCGATATTTCCGCACTCAATTGCAAGATCGAATCGAGTCGTGGGATCCTGAACAAACTGTAGGGCAACTTCGGGGTAGCCCTTCTTCTGGAGGTATGAAATAATTGATTGACCGACGAGGCTCGAGTTTTGAATGATGTGGAGCATCTCCTCGTAGTTTCGCTTGACAAGAGCAAGCTTGAAGCGGTATTCGGTAGGATCAATCTGGAGGATACGAGGCTTGGCAGAGCGATCCAGGCAATAGACATTGCGACCCTTCACACGAACCAGGTAGACGGTCTGGTCCAGGGTACGAACGATGCCGTTGTCTCCATTCAATAGAGTATATTTGACATGGTTCAGGGTGGAGTAGAGGAGAACGCCAGCGTCGTCCCAGGTGGCACTCTTGATACGGATGGTCTCATGTAGACTGCTAACCTGCTCAAGAGTTTTGGTGACAATGGTCACATTATGCTTGCTGAGGAAAGCAGCATAGAGTCCATCGTTTGACCAGATGACATACTTAACACCAGTAACGGCGAGTTCAGCAGTGGTCTTCTTCTGTTGGATATCGTACAGATGGACAGCAGTAGGGGTGATAATGAGAAGATTGCCTGTGCCACCAAAGTAGATATCGGTGGTGCCAGAAGGAGGCTTGAAAGAGCGAGTGATGTTGTTAGACAAGTCCTTGATGTCAATAACCTGGGTATTAGAGTTGAGCACAGCGAATCGGTTTCTAGCAACGAAAATAGCCGAAGTACCAGAACCACGCTTGGACTCGGTTGGCTCAATAGCACCGGATCCATCCTTGGGCAAGCTCAAGAGTTCATATGAACCACCATCGACAGGCGAGGCCACCAAAACTGACCTCTCGGCAGGGTTATATGAAAGCGTGCGAGGAGTCACCCAGGGGCTGCCCAGCTTCTTCAAGGAGAGGAGGGTGGGGCTCTCCACATTCTTCTGGAAGTCGTAGGCCTTCACAGTCTTCTCTTTGGTGACGTAGAACAGCTGGTTCTGGTGAATTGCTGAGGCTGGACGTTCTCGCTCGAGCTTGAAGACCATGACACCGTTATCATGGCCGGCGGCGAACAGGTTGATCTCAGGATGCGCGGCAATCACCCAGAATCGATCGCTCTCTCTCTTAAATGACTGTACTGCAGTACGTTTGTTGAGATCCCATACTCGAATCGTCTTATCCTCGCCTGCAGAGAGGATCAAGTCCTGGTGGGGATGGAACAAACAGCCCTCAGCATTCTGAAAGTGCCCTCTGCAAGTGTCAACCTCCCATGCCTTGGTCTCGCTCATGCGCCACAGCTTGACGAGGCGGTCGTCACCGGCGGACACGATAAGGGGCATGGTGGGATGGAATGCAACCCAGTTCACACCACGATCATGACCTTCCAACACAAATTTTACTACCGCATCGGTGTTTCCAAACATGTCGGTCTGGTTCTGGTTGCCTCGTCCCATTTGCTCATCGAAGCTCATAGATGTCGGTGCGGAATGCTTCTTGCGGAGTCCGGAGATATCCCAAACACGGACGGATTGATCGAGGGAAGCGGAGACAACAAGATCTTCCTTGGGGTGGAATTGAGCACACATGGCGTAGTGGTTGTGGCCCGTCATTGTGCAGACTATAAATGTTAGTCGATGATGAACCTTGTGTTCTCCTGGAGCTCGGGTCCAACATACTCAGGGATCGATTTTGCCAGTTCCATATCCGAATCGTCTGGTCATCAGAAGCGGACAGAATCCAGGGAAGTTCGTCGTGGAAGAAAACGGTTCGGATGTAGTCAAGATGGCCGTTGAGGGTGAACAAGCAGCGTCTCGTCTGGTAAGACCAGACCTTGATCTTGTAATCGTCGCCACCAGATACGAACAGGGGCTGTGTCTTATGAAAGTCGATTCCACGGACTGGTCCATCGTGCTCCTCGAATCGGTCGATCAGGGTACCCATACGGTAGTCCCAAAGCTGGATGGTGGATGAATGAAGCGATACAAGAATCCATGGTCTGAAGGAGGGGGCAAGGGTCAGCTCCAAGTACATTCATACAGCTCCAACAAAGTCACATACCGCTTAGGATGGAAGGCAATGCCTTTTGCTCTCGAGGACTTGGACTCAAACTGCAAAAGGAGGTTAGTCGGAGAGCTATAGGTATAGCAGGCAGCTCAGCGTACCTTGGTCAACATTCCAGGGGAGGACTGCATTTTGGCGGGGAGGTGAAGCCGCAGCTTCGAGCATCAAAGGGAACAAGCGGCGCAAATCCAAAAACGAGGGGGTTTGCTACGCCGACCAAGCCGCCGTGTGTGAAGGAGGTTGAGAATTGGCGAGCAAGGCTGCCTTGAATACGTCGTCAGATGCAGGCGGGCCGACTCTGAATAAGTCAATTGCGCATCGTGTCCATCTTCAATTGTGGGAATCGCAGGAGACCGGCCACCTGGCAGGCACAAGGAACCGCATCATAGTTCAGCCGAAGCGTCCACCCAATCTCACCGCCCAGCCAGCAGCCGTTCGCTCGACCCCACCATCAGCGGCCCCCCTTTTGTTGCTAGGGCGGGCGGAGAGCTCCTGCCAGGTGTTGTTAACATAACGGGTGGCACGTCCCTGCCGCACGTCACAAACCGCCATTCCTCATTGGGGCACCGGCCTCTAAGTGCTAGCTGTCCAGATGCAGGACCCTGCTTGTGTCTTTGTCGAGAACCGGCCAGACATCGTAGCCTCGTAGCTTTGATTATTCTCGGATCTGTCCAAACGTCGAGTTCCCTCTCGTATGAATGCGCGATTCCTAGAGCAACGGCAACCGACTGCGGCCGGGTGAAGTGCTAACAGAACCAGCTGCTCTGGCCGGAGCTTGCTGGAGCCTGGATCCCGTTTCCCACCTTGCTATTCCCTACCGATTGCATTGGCCAGGTCAATTCGAGATTCCCTGCATGACGTCTAGTTTTCGCACTATGTTGCGTTTCGCCCAATTGCCATGGAGTCTCTTCGGAGTTCTCATCGCCGCCCTTCAGGCAAATGCGACCCCGAGTGTGAATATTGGCATGAGGGCATCGTTTCCCGCCGGGCCATATCTGCTTGAGCTGCTGTAAGGCCCTCCACAAAACTCAATTGGTTCAAGGTCGAATAGGCAGGCATCTAACCCTCTTTCCAAACAGTGAGACCTCTGCTGGGGAAAATGCAACCGCCTACTTTCCATTGCTCGACCGAATCGCGAGCGGCCATTTCGCTACACAATCCACTGAGGCTGAACTCTATGCGTCATTCCTTGATGTGCTGCGGGACGAGGGTCATATTAGTTCGCCCGAGGCTCTATCCACGTTCAATCTTGCCTTATCGTTGCGAACGGCCGCGCCTCGAGTCGAGGCTCATTATCAATACTACGACACTGCCGTTGAGCCCAAGTCCGAAGCAAAGGACAAATGCTCCACCTGGGTCTTAATTGACACCGAGGTGTACTGTGATTCTTCTTTGGAACATTCCACAGGAAACGTGCTTTCTATTGACAGTATAGAGCTGCCTTTTGACCGAGCAACTGGCAATGGGAAAGATGCGATCCTTTACGCCGACCCTGCCTCTCCAGCGTTTGGGAAGTTCCACAACGCTCTGTCTGATGGCGTTCGCCAAGGGAAATATAGATACAAGCTACGCTATCGAAGGGGTGAAGGCCAAGCTTCATCCCATCTGCCAGTTGGCGGCTACGGTGTTGAGCTTGCCTTGAAGCGAACTGATTATGTCGTAATTGATGACCGCGAGGCTGAGCAGGCCGCATCTCAACAGCCCCTCAAGGCTGAGATTGCTCTGGATGACGAAGAAGAGGTCGCTGACTTGAAACCCTTGTCTACGTCTGAATTAGCTTCGCTGGGTTTGAAGGCCGCAAGCTTCATTCTCCAAAGTGACTCGCCATTTGACAGCCTAGTCAAAGTCACTCAGGATTTACCAAAGTTTTCAGCCTCCATTGCAGGATACGAAATCTCCGAGAAATTCATCAAAGAGTATGAACAGAATAGTGCTCCCAATGGTCTCAACTATCTGTGGATGAACGGTGTACAACTGATCAGTCGCCAAGTGGAACCATTTACCTTGATCGACATGGTTCGCCGCGAGCGAAAACTTCTGAGCAGTGTTCTGGACCTTGGATTCGATGGGATACAAGCTGTATCATTGCTTGGGCACACCCAGGTTGCAGAAGCGAAAGCTGCGGATGGCGCGACGAGATACGACTGGACCGATCGACCAGAAAATGGAAAGGCGATCATGTGGTTGAACGACATAGAGAACGACGAATTGTATGCTTCATACCCCAGAGGCCTTCAATCGGTGAGTCAAAATCAACAAGGAAGCATCATTTATGTTAGCAAGCACTAACTGAACATGGCCAGCTACTACAACGCACTTATCCTGGGCAAATTCCCCAAGTCAGGGAGAATATTTTTCACCTAATCTTGCCTCTAGATTTGACGAATACTGCAGATCTAGATACATGTCTTCAAATGATTGGCCTCATTCAGCGCGGTATTCCTATCAGGTTTGGACTAGTACCATTGGCATCATCCGCCGAGTCCTTGTCTCAGGCCAAGTTGGGCTATTACCTATTGGAAAATTATAGTCTCGACGCTTTCCTCAACTACTTTAAGACAATCCGTGCCGAGTCTATCGCCGGCGCTGACGAGAAGCTGCTTAACGCGGTAGTCAAGGATGCCAATCTCAAAGCTGGAGCAGCTCCTAAATCCTGGGCCGAAATTTTCGAGGCCGACCCATATTCAGAAAATGTGAAAGAAGCTCAGAACTGGTCCAAACGTCTCGGTACCAATTCTGATGCCCGCAGCGTGTTTGTGAATGGCGCTGCAATGGCACGGGAAAAGAATTGGATGCAAGCAGTGAGCTCAAGGCTGGCTGAAGATCTCCAGGACCTCCAAATGTCGGTTTACCGAGGATTGATGGGTCCTTACGAATGGGCTCCTGATTTCTTTCTTCAAGGCGCAGCATCCGGACGCAACACGTACATTACACCTGAGGACGCCTCTACAATTCACATCTTAGATGTGAGCAAAATCTACAGTGACCTGAATGGATTGTTCGATAAAGCTCCGGTGATTGAGCATTTCCCCGAATCTACAAAGGATACTTGGGCTGTTCTCACCGTTGTTGCTGATCTAACATCGAGGAGCGGTCGTGAACTCTTGCTCTCATCATTGGCGTTTAGGCGTAACAACCCTGGTATCCGCCTCGAAATCATACATAATCCTGGTACGGGAGTGGATGGATCGCAAACCAATAGCAATCTCAAGCGAAACGAGGACAAGCTTTTGGATATCGAAACCATTGACAGCCTGGCTGCTTTGCTTCAGGCAACGGATCTGGAAGCGGATGAAACCTACAATGCCCATCTTTCGCAACTACTTTCGGCGACCAATGCTCAGCGAGGTTCCCAGTTTCTGCTTTTGAATGGTCGTGTAGTGGGACCTATCTCACCTGACGACTCATTTGATGAAAGTGACTTCCAACAGCTGGTTGAGTTTGAGCAGAGATCTCGGATTCTACCCGTCTCTGCGGCCCTAGAAGACTTGGGCCTCAGCGAGAAGCTCACGGATCCGATCTCAGCGGCCAAGGTCACTTCCGTAACAGCGCTATCAACCATTTTCGATCTTCCAGAGGGTATTTTTGAGTCTACGCCAAGTATTAGAACGACCCTCTATGACAAGTGGAGTTCAACACACACTGCTATTGAGGTCGGTGACCCTAAAACAGCCAGCGTTCACATCGCAGGTCTGCTTAATCCCCTCAGTGAGGAAGGTCAAAAGTGGGCTCCAGTCCTAAAGGTTCTTTCAGAGATTGATGGAGTCTATGTGAAACTCTTCCTGAACCCGAAGGAGAAGATCTCAGAGCTTCCAGTGAAGCGCTTCTACCGCTACGTGCTCGAGTCGAAGCCGTCTTTTGACCAGGACGGCAAGGTCAAGTCTCCCAATGCTACATTCAAAGGTCTCCCGTCGGAAGCCCTCCTCACTATCGGAATGGATGTTCCTCCAGCCTGGCTTGTGGCCCCCAAAGCCTCGGTCCATGACCTTGATAATATTAAACTCAGCTCTATCAAGAATGATGTTGAAGCTTTATATGAGCTTGAGAACATTCTGATTGAGGGACATTCCCGCGAGGGGCGAGGCTCTCCACCTAAAGGAGCCCAGCTGGTACTCTCGACTGAAAAGGATCCGCTATTGACTGACACGATCATCATGGCCAACCTGGGCTACTTCCAGTTCAAAGCCAACCCCGGTTTCTATAACATCCAGCTAAAGCAGGGAAGAAGTGCCGAAATTTACACCATCGAGAGTGTTGGTGCTATGGGCCATGAGCCAGTGCCAGGGGATGAAGGCACGCACGTGACGCTGATGGATTTCCAAGGGACTACTCTCTATCCCCGCCTCAAGCGGCAGCCAGGCATGGAACAGGCAGATGTCCTTCGTGAAGATGACGATGATTCCGATAGCTCCATTGTAGCCAAAGGTTTGAAGTTTGCTGGAAGCCTATTCGGCGGGTCCAAAGGCAAGGCTCTATCAACTGAAGCGCATGCTGAGATCAATATCTTCTCCGTTGCCAGCGGCCACCTCTATGAACGTATGTTGAACATCATGATGGTCTCGGTCATGCGCAACACCAAGCACACCGTCAAGTTTTGGTTCATTGAGCAGTTCTTATCACCATCGTTCAAGGACTTCATCCCCCATCTCGCCAAGGAGTACGGCTTCAAATATGAGATGGTCACTTATAAGTGGCCACACTGGCTTCGACAACAGAAGGAAAAGCAACGAGAGATTTGGGGCTACAAGATTCTCTTCCTCGATGTTTTGTTCCCTCTGTCCCTTGACAAGGTTATTTTCGTTGACGCGGACCAGGTCGTTCGCACTGACATGATGGACCTTGTCAACCACGATCTTGAGGGTGCGCCTTACGGTTTCACACCCATGTGTGACTCCCGCACCGAGATGGAAGGCTTCCGCTTCTGGAAGCAGGGCTATTGGGAGAATTTCCTTCGAGGTCGTCCCTATCATATCTCAGCTCTCTATGTTGTCGATCTCCGCCGCTTCCGCGAGATGGCTGCCGGTGACCGCCTCCGACAACAATACCACACACTCTCAGCAGATCCGAACAGTCTCTCGAATCTGGATCAGGATCTCCCCAACAACATGCAGTTCCAAATCCCCATTCACAGCCTCCCACAAGAGTGGCTCTGGTGCGAAACCTGGTGCAGCGACGAGAGTCTCAGCCAGGCACGCACAATTGACCTCTGCAATAACCCGGAGACAAAGGAACCAAAGCTTGATCGGGCCAGAAGGCAGGTCCCTGAGTGGACCGTCTACGATGATGAGATCGCAGCCGTGGACCGACGTCGGAGAGCTTCTGCGGGACAAGAGGACAGCCAAGCGAGTACCAAGAGTGGTCAATCTGGAGACGGCAACGCTCATAAGATTGACGAGTTATAAACTAGAGAATTGTATCATCATATAGTAGGCCGTGAAGCTATTAGTTTTAGATTTGTTCGTTTGTCTATGCCATTTTGACTATTCGTATATTAAAATCATACAATCTAGAGCTAGAAGTCCCATGAAGAACTACCTAGTTATCGGAATGATTCAAGATAGTTGTGTTTAAAGTTTATTCTATGCTAAGAAAAGATTCCTACATCAACTCCATATCTGAAGGCCCCAAAAGTTAATTATCCTGCCATGAGTTATGGCGCCATCTAGAGTTCGACGTCAGCTTATATCTTTAGAAATGCGCCAGTCCCTATGTCTCCTAAGCCTCAGTGAAACCTTAGATGTTTGACTAAACGGATCTAAAGTGGCAGCGAAACTATACAGGGCAACAACCACATTGTTGAGGGTCCACCAGGGGCTCAAGTTGGGGATAGTGCAAGAGGAGAAGACACAGAGGAAAGAAGACCTAGCAAATACATTCTCATTTAACAAGCCCAACCCCAGCGCGATGTTTCAAATCGTTTATATACACATCAATCTAAATCAGCATCTTCTTGTACTTGATGCCTCCGTCCCTGCCGTATCTTCACTAACACGCCCAAGTGTCTCTACCACCACCCTTGAAGGAAAACATTTGCAAGATGCTTTCCATCGTAAACCAATAGGCATTCCCCGTGATATCATAATGTAGTCGGGCTTCCGGAGCCTCCATGAAAGATGACAAAGAGTAAGGTCTTGTGATATCCCCACCAGCATGCGCAAAGTGACACTTGGCTGTGAACACGACGGTGATTTTGGGAACCATCTCACAAGGCCAATGAATTCCGATATTAATCCCAGCCTTGGTAAGTCACAACTATTGCCATAGAAATCATGGCCAGGTAGTCGGCACTTTGGATGAGGTTCGGCCTTAAACCTCAGTCATAGAATATAAAATTCATAGTTGTTGTGTATTCTATTCCTAGCGTCCAGAAGTTCATGGTCAAGCTGCATTAGCGAGCTTAGATTGATCAAGATCGAGAAAAAATTGGAAGTAAGCGTGTGGCACCCAGGTATGTGTAAAGTGCATAATGTTCCATGTAAAAGAAAACCGTAACCTCCAAACGCCTCGTCTATGTTGTATGTGATACTGTTCCGTCTAATAAGGATGTAAATTTATTGCCCAATGTATTGGCAAGAGAACCTGACATCAGCTGCTAGGTTCTCGCTATCAAGAGAAGTGTCTTGCTGCCTCAGTCACGTAACTGATGGAAGTTCTCAGGGAGAAGAAGAAAGTCATGCCATCAGAAATCCGGTGGGTATCATAATGCCGATAGAAACAAGACAAGGAAACTCATAGTTTTCCCGGTAACACCGTCGTCAACCGAAGACAAAGAAAGAAAACATTGAGAGGCCTGGAGCCATCTGCTCAAATCTGCAGATTGGACTCGCGTTCTTCTCTAATTGAGGTCATTGCCGTCCCGGAAGTGTTCCCTGATAAGGAGGAATGACTTGGTGGGGGCATAGTTGTCGAAAGGGGCATGCTACTGCCGGCTGAGGACGCTCCACTCGGCGTGCTCTGCTCACTGATCGCGGGTGCTGATTTTCCCGTTTTCCTGTCTCCATCCGAAGCTCGCGGGTTGGGCGTCTCAGCTGACATTTGTCTGTGCAAAGGAGAAGTCTGAAGGGGCGAAGGGGATTTCTTGCTGTTGGACTCGCCGGTCTCCTTAGAGCCACGAGCCGAGTGTCTCGATGAAACACGGCCAACCTGCAAATAAAGTTAGTTAATTCATGTAGTATCCCGCAGTATCTCAAGACCGTACCTGTTTAGCCCAACGCAGACCACAACTATTGCACAGATCTCTCTGGCCGCTGGGTCCTCTTCGCCACTCTGGGGTATTCCTAGTGTGGCAATTGGCACAGTCTCGGACCACATTGCCAGCCCCCTTTCTTCTCTTTCGTTTCTTCTTATTCGAGAGCAACCCGCCGAGCTCTTCTGCGAGAATACGATTCACCTTCTCCATCTGCCGCAACTCAAACTGCCAGCTGGAGCACTTTGTCGTCCGAAGCTCGTCAAACATATTGTCATCAGACGCCAATGCAGCATCTTGGGAACCCGGCATCAAACAACCGCCTGCCGGTTGAGATACGTGGCCAATGGGTGCGGAGGATGCGGCTGGGGTGGCAGGAGCGTAGCCTGGGTCTGATCGAGTTATCAATCCCGATCTCGCAGTCCCGGTACTGCTGGCTGGAGCAATACTTCGTGACGATGCTTTCATAAGCTTAGTCTGGCCTAAAAGGAATGACGGTTTTTGACCTTCAGTGGCATCCCCGGGGTAGAGCACTGTTTGTGCTTGGAGGACCTGCCCACGTCGGTTCTGAACCTCGTGTTTACAATTGACAATTTTGCCCCTTCTTGCCTTCTCGATAGCGTATCCAAAGTCTTGTCGGGATTCCTTGCGCATCAGATCCTGTATGCTAGTGCCCACCAATGACTCGGGTTGCAGGTCCAATAATGAACGGATGTTGGATGAGACAAAAAGAAACATCCCTGAGGTTGACATCTTCGTCCAAAGTTCGCTGTCTCCGATTCCGCCATGGAGCTCTAGATCTTGCCTGCTCAGAGCAATGACAGGTCTCTTGCGGCCTACTAAAATAATACACTTGCGGCCTTTGCCTTGCTCGACCACCAGAGATCCATGGCTCTCAAACCAGGTATATCCACTGTTCTTCCGGCGGATTCGATATACGATGTCAACCGAGCCTCCGGGGGGTGCGTCTTTCAGTTCTCGCGTAACAGGAACTATGTCGGACGGGTGGCAAACGGTAGACAGTGCGTTCCCGAGCAATTCGTTGGGATCGTATTCAAGAATTCGTTTGCATGCGGGTGACAGGTAGAGGAACAGGCCTTTCAAGGACAAAACATGGATCATATCATCCGTGTTTTCCAACAGCATCTTATCCCATGATTGTTTATGCCAGTCCGAAACCAGCCCGCTGGGGTTGAACTGCTGTAGAAGAGTAGAAACATCATCAAGGCCGAGTGTCTGGCCGTTTTCGTGTTCCATCTGGGCTAGAGAAGGAGGTTGCCAGATGTACTGGCCAATGTCGGAATGTTTGTAATTAATCTTAAGACCGCCACGCTCTTGATTTGATGTGATTGCATCCGGGCACTCGACAAGGTCAATCTGGAAGCCGATGATATATTTGATCTCGGTTGAATCCCAAGGGATTGGAATCATTGTCAAGAGATTGAGGAAAGGTTTCCCGCCCTTGCGATAGTTGATCAAGCTTTGCTGGACTTCACAGCCCTCTTGAATCGTCCGCTTAAGGTTATACACTGCTTTGTCGTCAACAAACTCTCGTTTGACACCGGCCTGCACCTTTCCATTTGGAGCCTGCAAGAACCGACAGTTTTGGCCCACAATCTCATGTCGACTGTACCCCGTTAAGTTTTGAAAATTGTCTGAAACATAAACAATAGGGCAGTCATTCATAGTGACATCGCAGACGACAAATGCGCACGACAAATCCACAGCACCGAGGTGAACTTTCGGGTCCTTGCGGGTCGATACAAGCCACAGAGCTTTCATCATATCAAATCCACTTTTCGAGTAGGTGTTTTTTCTCATGCCCGGGGGCGCCGCTGGAGCCACAACTGCGGAAGTGGCCATATCAGAGGATGAATTTGGGTGGGTTATTCCAGTAGAAGATGTGCCCTGTCCCGGGGGAATTATTGAACCGGTGGAGGATACATTATGTGATAATCCGGTATTATTACCAAAGTCGCCCAACTGAGGATCAAGGCTCATAGTCACCTGTTGATTAGTGTGATCCATGGTATTTAAAGGCTGAGAAACTGGCATCATGGTGTCCCCAGATTCAGACATGACTCCACCGGTGACATTCGTAGGGGTCATGAACTGACCGTCGACGTTCATATCCAGGGAGAAATCTTGTCTTAATCCGCCTAGCTGGCCAGATGCATACGGTCCGCCCATAGATCCTGAAAACATGTTCACATTATGGGACTCGCCTGGTATTGGGCCCATATTCATGTTGGCAAAGGTGGATGGGATCATGGAACCCATCATATCTGGAGAAAGGTTCGAATAATCGGAAGGGTCGGCCATGTAATCGCTCATGCTGCCAGGGAGCGTGTCAGGAAGGCCAAGATTGGCAGTATCCAAGGCTGATAGGGGAGTCGTCTGTTGGTTGTACTGATAGTTTCGAATTGCATCGTTTCCACCGAAATTCAACATATCGCCCGTACCAGCCGTTGACATGCGACGAGGGGCCACCTCAGCACCGTCGTCTCCAAAAGGCTGCTGCGGCATACTTCGCCGTCGGAGAATAGCGTTCTCATTCTCACGAACCATATCGTCAAGGGTATTGCCGTTCACCATGGCTTGACCGTTCATCACGTTCGATCCAGCGGTTACAGGGATCTGGATCGAGCTCGGCGGTTGCATCTGGCCTCGGGCTTGGTTATTGTTGGGCTGCTGAGCTTGCTGGTTCGGAAGCTGGCCCTGTGGGTGGTTGCGGGTGAAGTAATCCATGGCGGCAGCATCTGGCCGGATGGGCCGCAACACAAACTAACAATGTAGATGCCAGGATTCCTCAAGTCCACCCGTCAACCAGTTCTCAGGCACAAGAGACCCAGTTGCGAAAACAGCTGGGTAAATCCAGCAGTACGGGTCATGTAGCTTGGGCGGGTTGATACGGCGATGCGGTGTGAGCGATATGATTGTTGTAGCGTTTCGAGGATATATTATCCCAGCCAAAATGCGGGTCGTACAAGATGCCAACGAACCGTTCTCGAGGGATGCGTAATGAAGTCGGGAAGTGAGGAGGTGTTAATCGTCGGTTGCCGTCTGGGTAAGTGCAGTTGGAAGCAATCAAAAGTACCACCTAGATAAGCTGGTTATGCGACCGTAACTCTGCCACCGAGTTGAGGGGTTCGAAATGCAGTCCGATGCTAGGTACAGACCGATCGCTCGCTGAGGTCGGCGGTCAAAATCTCCTCGCTGGCTGGATTCCTTGGCACCGATGGATGATGGGCGGCCGGACGAGATTGTGGACAGAAATGCACTGGTGAAGATCGAAAGTTGAACTTGCCCATGGACGGACGCGACCTCCCACATTTGCTTTTGCGTGGGCTGGTACCTCGCTGCGCTACGTAATGTCTAGGCTGTAGCAAAATATGGGGATGGGTGTTGGACGTGCTTGCTTTAGCATGAGGTCAAGTACTTGCCGGTACCTTGTCATCTCAAAGGTTGCTAGTGGGGACGGGCAGGAGCCGCCAATTTCACTAATACTTATGTGGCCCAGCTTCGGTACCTCTGGGTAGAAGCGCCATCCGGCCACCACCGCCCTATGAAATCACTGCAAATCCTGCAGCCGTGGCTGGCCGACTGATGCTACGTCGTCAGCCTTCGCAAGCAGGATTTCTTTAAAAGCTTCTCCTCCTATTGCCTCTCAAGCCTATGTCTGGCCACATTCACCCTCCTCGTAATAACTCCCCGTATGCAGTGCTCGCTCCGCAACAGGCTGCCTTAAACCTGGGGACATAGTGCCAGTAGTAAAGCCGGATGAAAAGCTCCGCGCCCTGGCCCTCTAAACAAACGGATCTCCCCCAACCCACCCCATAGCGACTACATTGTTTTTTCCCATCCATTGTGACTATCTGAGGTAGAGATCTCCCGAGCTCAGTGTAAGAATGACATATTAGCTTCCAGAAAGCGTCAGACGCCCTGTTGCACATATTAATAAGTGGCTAGGCTCTGCCTGCACGATGTTGTCATCTTCTGCAACATGTTGCACATGTCATTTACCCTACATACCAGAGGGGGGCATTTCAAAGGGCAGGGGAGTAAAAAAGGAAAAAGAAAAAAACAAGGAAAGGAATCAAAAAGAAGAAAAAAAAAACTCAATAGCATCAGGCCTGTTATCAATATCCCAGGTCTTTCCATTGAGTCAGGCACTGCTTCCAAATGGCATGTATCGGCAAGTACCACCTCACATGCCCTTTCAGGCAAGGCATACCTAAGGATTCACCGTCGTACAGAACGGGCCAAAATCAGGCCAGTAGGCTGGCAGCCCGAGGACGGATGCTATGGACAAAGGATATTTCCGATGTCACGGACATGGTGTTGTTCCGTAGCAATCTACATCCTCTTGGTACGGAACGGAACTACTGGGGGTGGGATGGCGTTGGTGAGGGGTAATCTTGCTTTCCCGTGATATTCCCCCCTCCCCTGTTCCATTTTTAATTGCCAAATTCCACTCCACGGGGCACGACTTTTTTTTTTCTACCAAGGAGCGGGAAGCACCGATCCTGGTGCCTGTGCACCGAGGCTCGCATCGAAAATCAGTGCACACCAGCGGTTTATCCCCACCCAAGCCGCAACTATCCTCATCCACAACAGAAATCCAAGATGCTTGCTAGCTTGTCCGCGAAGAAAGAGCCCTGGCCCTGGCCCATCTTGGCGTGCCTCGCCAGCAAGCAAGCCAGAAGACTTAACGTGCTATGCGATCACCTTACTCGTTCTTGTTGGCAAGTACGAAGGCGTTTCCTGTTTCCATTATTGCCACTAAGACCTATACTCTTCGATTAAGGTAACCTTCTTGCTAAAGACCAAGAAACTCCTGAAGTCAATAAGTCGAATGTAAACCAGTAAACCCATAAGACAATCCGTTATCCATATCCAAACACTCTGAATAAACACACTCGATTGCTTGAAGGAAAGAAACAAGATAGCACCACTAGTAGATAAATAATTCAACCATTCACTGTGTAAAGTAAAATAAAAGTAAATCGACGCTGCGGTATGTTCAGCTGACGAAAGAATTCCTGCAAGATGCTGCTTAATGCCCAGGGACCCTCAAACTCCTTGCACACCTGTATCAACTCGATTCAATCCGTCTCCTGCCCGACGGCAATCTCCACTTGTAATTGAAGATCTAGAGCTAGGGCTCATCGTCTTACAACGATAACTCCTCCTGTGAGACGTAGCTCAAGGTCGCCTGAGCCCTGCACTATAGGGCGCTTCATGGCATCTTGATGAGAGTAAACCCTAGGTCGGTTAAGCATGTGTCCGATCGCGCTCTCCTACCACACCATTCCTTCTCCATGAGGTGCACCGACATCTATGAGAAGTACCCCATGATTGTTTGTTGAGCTTCCGGTGAAAAGTTCTGCAGCAATGGGGTAGGGTCCACATTAGTAGCCGCGAGCAAGGCCTTGGTGGCTACGGCCACGCGGCTGGCTGTTTGACCTTGTAACGCCTCGCCTTCAAGGGCCTTGGCAATAAATTCGAATATCTTTGGAGCCTGACCGAAAACAGCTGGGTGTTGCCTGGGGTAGATTTCCATGTCAGTATTGTTTCTTCATATAAACATTGCAATAGGCTTGGGCTTACTGGTTGATCAGTTCTACGAGGTAAAGGTATGCGTAGGGAGCTGCCTCCTCGTCATTGACCACAGGTAGTGTCTCCACCCACTGCGTCGTCACAGACTGAACATCGGCGACATTTCCTGCATTGAAATGGAGAATCTTGGCAATAGCTGCACAAGCATTCTCTGTGGCGTAGACGTTGTCTTCGTCTCTAGCATTGGGAACTTGGGTGGCCTGGAATAGGAACGGCACCGATCCGCCCACAAACTGGGACCAAGAAGCCCCTCCCTTGTGGGCAGCCATGCCGATGCCGTAGGCTGCGGCTTGTCGAATAGCTGGTGACGCATTTTGGCAGCCCTCAAGCAAGGGTTTGCTGATGTAGTTTGCATATCGTACACTCTCCGGGCCACAGTACTCGAGCACATCATCCATTATGCAAATAGCCCATTGTTGCTGTGTAGGGTCGGAGGAGTTGAGGAAACCCTCATACGTTGTCATGAGCTTACCCCAAGCTGGTAGGAAGGCAGCACCGTGGTGCTTGAAGATGGAGTGATACGCCTTGTTCATGTCTGAGAGCAGAGTTTGATCGTCTTCGATGGCAATCAAAAGTTCGTCAGCCTCATCTTCGACATCGTCAGCCGTGGCGCCCTCCTTATCAGCTGCCCGCTGGTTGACTCGGTCCTTGTAGTCCTCAAGAGCTGAGTTTGCCGAATCAATGAACTGAGTCATGTGGTTGGGAGTCAGGCAGTCCTTCCCTAGGACCTCGACGGACTCGTAGAAACACTGATACATCTCTGCAAGAGTGTCGATGGCGGGCTCTGCAGGAAGAACTTCGAGGACCTTCTCTACAGTTGCCGACCATAAACCGGCGAGCTCATTCGAGGGGCAGCCGTAGGCCTTCTTGTATGAACTCAGAAGCTGGGGTACCAATTTGGCGGAGGTATATCGGACTTGATCGTGGAAGTAGAAAGCAAGACCAGGCAGGGCAACCTTTTCCATCAAGTTAGCAACGTAAGGTGCAAAGGCACCCTCAAGAACTGAGGCGTAGAGAACAAGGAGTTCGATAGCCATGTGCTTATCCTCCATGGTGCTTGTGCGGATTCCGATCATCTTGCCCTTCAGAGGAACAAGCTCCCAGCCTTCCTCGGATTGAATCTGGTCCACCTGTTCGTCGTCATCCAGCAACTGAATATCGGCCTTGGCAGTTGCCAGCTTTAGCAGAGGAGGAATAACCGTGTCAAGGAATGGAAGGAAATCAGAACCAAGTACGCGGCACATTCGGCCCCAGCAGTGCATTAGGTACTGTCCCTGGGGGTCATCAGGCTCCGTGACACTGGCCTGAATATTGGCCAAAATAGTCACGAGAGTCATTGTGTCATTCTGGCCAAGTCTCTCTTTGCCGACAGCCAAGGCGATCAAGGTGGCACATTCCATAGCCTTTGCGCGCAACAGCCTGTTCTCCTTCTCGCCAGGCTGCTGAAGCACATTCAACAGCAGAGGCATCAAAGTATCGTAATACTTTGAGAATGCTGCCTCGGCTGCATCTGCAATTGTCGCAATAGTGGATAGAGCTTGCTCTTGTACATATCTCTTGTCGCTAGACAGAAGCTGGAAGAGATGTGAGAGAAGCTCGTCAAGGTATGGCTCCAAAACGGTCTTTTCTGCTTCCTCACAAAAGTTGACCAGGGCAGCAGCGGCATGCGACTTGACTCGGCCTTCAGGAGACCCAAGCACTGGGATGATTGCCTTGAGGACACGGTCGTAGTAGTCGGTTTGCATTGTAGGTGCAAAGTCGGTGCTCATTTGGCCAAGAGCATTGCAGCCAGCCCATCGCACACGAGGATGGGGATCCTGGAGGGCAGGAATAACCAGGTCAAGAACCTGGCTAAGCTCCCCGATCATCAGACTGCGACAACCTTCAGAAATGGCCGAGATTGCCATAAGGGCTGCATGTCTATCCCTCCAGGCCATCGAACTCATCATGCGGGGAAGCCAATTGAAAGTGGGTGCAAGTATGGTTTGCCCACCAAGCTTGGTGGCCAGACGATCCATAGTTTGCTCGCCGGCTACGTGGTTCTGGTCGTTCTCGTCCTGGTCGAGCTATGATACCATTTGTTAGCACAATATTCAACGGACAGAGTTGTAGAGAAAGGGTGCCGCCACATACATCGTCAGACTCTAACCATTCTGCAGCATTATCGTCGTCCTCGCCCAGATCAGTCATGAGACTCAAACATTGAGTGATCATATCATTCGTGTAAGAAGAGTCCTTTCGGCACATGGATGGTGCGAAGTCGGCAAATGTCGTCATAAGCTCGAGTGCGCTCTGCCTGCAAACATCGTCTAATTCTTTTTCCTGAATAACGGATATGCTGAACTGCACGAGGTTTGAGAAAAGGGGCTTAAACATTTTGGGTGCTGTCTCCGCAAGTTCCATGAGAGCAATGAGAGCCTGTCTGAGGTGGTCCGAATCTTGAGAGTCTTTGATTGGAGGAAGGATGTTGAGAACGGATGGTAGCAAATCGTAGTATTTCGAGAACTCCTTCTTCCCGAGCGTCCTAAAGAATGCAGCAAAGGCTTCCATTGCGGCTAGCCGGACCTGAGTAAAATTGTCAGTTGATGAACACGTAAGTGGTATATGAAACTCAGTTGTCTCATCTCATCCTCCAAGAACATACAAGGACAGCATCGTCGCTGAAGCCCTTTTGGAAGGCCTCAACAATCACGCCAGCATGTTGCTGCTCAATAATGGCCGGCGTCGTGGCGAATACACGGAAAGCCGTTTCCCGCTTCTCGGCCTCGGGGGCTTGGCTCAACTGAAAGAGGGCGACCAGCAGCTCGGGCCAGTTGCTTGCTAAGGGGGTCAAACATTAGTCCACGCTCACACAAACCATTCGACAGTCTCTAGTTGCTTGGAGTCAAGCGGTGTTCACTCACAATTCTCAGTGTACTGTCTAGCCACCTCTGCGACAGCATAGCTAATTTTATTGCGAACGTTTTTGTCGGCTTCAGAGCCGAGTGTCTCGAGGAGTTTTTGGCGGATGGCAATTGCATGGTCGTTGCCGAGAGACATGAACAGATCGATGGTGTTTCCGCCATCTGGTTTGACTGATTTGGAGGCAATTCGACGGAAGATAACGGAAGCAAAGGTTCGCGTCTAGCGGTCGGGGGTTAGTGACGCGTCGACAGAGGATAAGCAGCTGATTTTCAGTTGACACATACCGTGGTGTCTTCGGCCCCCTGGATCTGTTCAGCAAGGCCCATTAGAAGGACTTCGGGTCTGGTGTTCGTCCAGTTATTTTGAAGGTGCTCCTCCGCCTGGGAGCGAATGCCATTTTCAGGTGACTGTAAGGCTTGCAAAAGCTGGCTCAGCTCCGCATGAATTTCAGGCGAAAGGAGGGACATGGCTGCGGCGGCCGTCCAGGAGTTGCTGGACGACAGAACACAAATTATATGTAATCAAGGAGCGACTCGCGAATGTTGCCGGGAGTAAAGCTGGCGGGTGCAGCAGGCTGGGGAGTGTCGCTTTTGTGGCCGTTCGTTTCGTTGAGGGAGGTCAGGAGGTGGGGGAGGGGAAGCCTGGCCCACGGACTGGACAGCCAAGCAAGACAGATTCTAGGGTTCACACCAGGCGCAGGGCTCAGCCAATGTCAGCCCAGACAAAAACGGAGGGAGATTAGGGGTGAGCCAGGCCGAAGGTAAACAAAGGCAAGGAAAAGTATGATCAGGTTGAATATTCTACCGGGTACTGGCCGTGGTGGTGTTTTGATTGTATTTTTTTTATTGGGTAGAACTTTTTTTTTGGGTGTGGTTGAGCTCTGGTTCCCCGTCTTTATCCACTAATCGCCAATTAACCCCTCCCTTGTCTTGGCACATGAATATTTGCATAGTACTAAAGTAAGACTAGCGGCAGCCTGGCCGACTTAATTGTTCCCAGGCGATACTTAGGCTCCTCGGTATTCGATGGCAACAGTTCGATGGGGGGCGAGGCAGGCAGCCACGAGCAACAGGCGGTAGAGAGAGCATGTATGCTTGCGCCTCGAAAACTTGCCTTGGCAGGCCAACGGCAGGGCTGGTGTCCTGGTTTCCCACAGCCCTTCTTGCTGTGAACCTCAAGAGTGGATCTACGACCATGGAACCATGGAATGGGTTTCCACTTCCCATAGGCCGGCCACCAAAACACCAGTGACATGGCATAGATGTAAAGGTTGCCGTGCGACTTGTTTATATGTGAGGCGTCCCAGATTGCATGTGCTATGCGATGCCTCAAGAAGGGACAGCATCGCACCAGCAGGCACTCCTATCAGGGAATTCGCAGGGCGCAGTTGTTCCCTGTCTCCAGTCTGATTGGCGGTTGCCCCGGTGCTGTCGCTGGTACCTTCTCTACCGCCTGCACTGTACCTACCGCCAAGTACTAACACGCAGGGTGCTAACAGACTCGGTCCCGCGCTCACTGCTGAGTGCGGGGCTCTCGTCCAGTGACGTGACATGACCCCTCTCCAGCCGTTGAGGGCAACTTGGAAACCATTCAACCCGTTGATATGTTCACACTGTGAGACACAGGTAAGGTACTGGGAAGGCAATGTTTGGCTCCCAAAACACCTGAGCTGCTTCGAAAGCTACATCCGACATATCGCTTCCATTCCTAGCATCCGGTTCCTGTTTTGATCCGTTTCGCACCCACCCAAACGGGGCAGCCTGCATCCTGCAGCCTGCATCAACCCCACCGCCGTTTCTACCACGGCCTGGCAAGCAAGACTGACAAGCTCCAGAGGCACCTGAGCCCCTTATTTAAAGGTGCGGTAAGCGAGACTCTTTGATGGTCCTAGCGTGGCGATTCGTCCCTAGCCGCCGATTGCGATCTCTCCTCTGCGAAGACATACCGAGCCTCCCCATCTTATCTCATCTTCATCCTGTGCCGCGCGCATCTCGTATAAATCGAGCAATTCCCTCCCCCGCCGCCAGATACCCCCATCTGCAGTTTGTGCCATCTTCACCCCGGATTGGAATCAGCAGTGCACGCTAGCTGCACTCGCTGGCATGGCTTCTCCCCAACCGCAAAACAGCGGGTCGCTCGACGCCAAAGAGCCCAGCGACAGACCTGCGCGGTCTTCCAGCGTCGCCAGCGGCAAGTCCTCCACATCCACCGGCGAGCCACCACAAAGGTCACCGTCCGTCTCCAGCATCAATCGAACGAGTCACAGGCAGAGCTTTGTGGAGGGTCTACGAAATATCCCCGCGTCTCCACGGCAGCGACATCCATCTCTCACTCACGCTGCTGTCCAGGAGCTCCTCAACAACCCCCCTGCAGGCAATCGGTTTCACAACCCAAAATTCGCCAATCGCGAATGGCGCAACATTCAAGTCGGAGAGCTGGTCTCTCCTAGCGATGTGAAATGGGTCGAGTTGGATAGTACCGTCGAAGATGCGACAATGGTCAGTGGGAACTGGGCGAAGGATGATAATTGTGAACGGGTTTGCTGACATGTGCAATCTAGTTATTGCTCAAGAGCCAGCCTAGTGTGGTGCTCATTCGAGAGGATATAGATTCCAAAACAGCGGTTTCTACATTTGATTTCAAGGACCTCAATGCCTATCTCCTCGTCGTCGTCGGTCTCGCTAGACCGGAAGGAGACCAGGTCGAGGCGTCAAATACGGTTGTCAATAAGGCCAGGAGAGGCGAGCCGATAACGTTGCGAGAGATACAACCTCTGTGTCGAAAGGAGCCACTAGTCACACTCCCAGCACCCAGTCCACTATCTCAAGCCATTGAAATCCTTGGGAGCGGTGTCCACCGTTTGCTTATCACGAATCAGGGCGACGAGGTTATAGGAATACTAAGTCAGGTTCGCACAATGGAGTTCTTCTGGAATGAGGGTGTTAACTTCCCGACAATCGATCAACTCTACCCCGTTGTCATCCGCGACTTGAATATCGGTACGAAGGACGCTATATCTGTGAAGTATGTATGATTCGTGCTTGGTAGCAAAGCAGATTGTATGATGAGCTGACCCGCTATAAATCATAGCTCTGACGCGCCACTCTCCGAAGCACTTACTCTGATGAACGACGAAGGTCTGACGAGCGTCGCCGTGGTCGATAACGGCCATAATGTCGTGGGCAACATTTCCACAAAGGATGTCCGGCACTTGACCAACTCTTCCAGCGCACCGCTATTGAGCCAGTCTTGCATGCATTTCATTTCTGTTATTTTGAACGAGAGGGGAGTCGAAAATGGACGTGATGCTTTTCCTGTCTTCTACGTTAGCCCATATTCGACTCTTGCGCACACAGTTGCCAAGCTCGTGGCCACGAGATCGCACCGCATGTGGGTAGTAGAATCGGCATCGCCCTCGCCATCGGCGCCAGCAACTCCCTTGATGGGTCCGTCGAGTTTCACGCAAGGTCCGCCGCCACCAACGCCGCCCTCGCCGCAGCCAGCTGCTGCTGTCCCTGCGTCGGCAATGATGGGCGCGGGTTTGTCTGGGAGACTGAGCGGTGTTGTTTCGTTGACAGACGTGCTCAATACGTTTGCCAAGTCCACCGGACTGAACCCATCGGATCCAGGGGCGCAGCGAGCGCGCCGTCGGAAGAGCTCCAGCAGCTCAGTGCGAGCCAGCATCGACTCTATTCGAGCTGGTAGCATAGATATTCGGAGGTGAAGAAGGATGGACATACTCGTTGTGCCTTGATTCTGTCAACAACACACAAATGTGTAGTTTGCTTATAAATTCGACGATCATCTGAAGAATACGATACTCTTCGGAATTGCTAAGAAAAAAAATATAACATCAAACGATCAGTGTCGTCGTTCCCTTAGGGATAGCCTGTATCTGCAGAATAAGGAGTGTATTGCAGTTTGGAGGATTCTCAGTTCTTTACCCGGACACGGACATACAGTGTACCTGTTGCTTAACAAGGCCTTAAAATATGCGGCTTGCCTTTAATAAGAGAGCATCTGTGTCTAATTTAGACCTACCTAGGCGTGGCTGAATTGTAGAATCCGGTACACTCCCAACCAGGTGATAAAAGAAATGAGACATCAAACTTAAAGGTTCTTATTACGATGATTAGAATGCTATGGCAGTATAACACGATATAAATTAAGCATATCGGTGTATTATCTCCCATGGCCCCTTGGCCCCTGGTCCTTCGATCTCATCTAGTATCTAGTGGCAGCAAGTAACTAGATTAGCGAGCAGCACAGCGTTGGGTGTTTGGAGGAAATCGTATCGAAGGCGCACTTCGAGTCTCTCCCATAAAACAGAACGCACAGTGCCGCACTGCCCGCTAACAGGTAAGGAACTGTCTGGATCATTAGTGAGCCACCAGGTTACCGGAATGGAAGGGTTTGCCACCAGGAGTCTCGATGAGACCGCCGACCACTAACGAATAGCGAGGCAAAACCCGGCAGTTAGTGCTCATGGGCCTAAAGAGGGGAGCCATTGAAGATGCTCTTCCAATCTCAAAAACAATAAAGAATAAATGTCAATTTAATGACAGAATGAATATCTTATTAGGCAGGCATTCTTGAGGTTCTCATTACTCAACAAACAATCACGTCCATGACTCTGCCTGAGAACACAAGCTGAGTGCATCGCCACTGTCCCCCACTGGAACTGCCCTACGATTGGGGTCTGGCCTCTATTTTAGGCCCCTCCGCCCCTCAGTATCAATGTGGGCTCCACTCCGATCCATTGAGTCACTCGCCCAAGACTCGAGCTTCAATGGGCGCTTCTTTGTTTCATAAACCATCCCGACGTCCCGCCATCGAGCCGTCATTCATCTCCCTCTCCATTTAACTGACTGCCTTTGCTTCCAGCGCCGTGTATCAATTATCTCTACGCATTGCCTGCTTTCCCACACTCAAACACTCTGTCCCAGCGTTTGCTTAGATCTCCTCTTCCGCCTATAAAGCCAACCTTACCGCCTCCCGGATCCTTCCATTGCAGCCGCCGCCATTCATCATTGTCTATTAGGCATTTGCAGCCCAAAGGTTCCACCTGGCCAGCAAACACCCATCCACGCACTCATACATAACTGGAAGCTACTATAACAGGAACGGGCCGCTAGTTGGTTGCTGTATCCTATCTTCCTACTCATCCATTTGCCATCTGGAACGACCCTGGTCACTCTGTTCGCTTATTCGACCTCACATTCCCCAACCTATCCGGTCCTGTCTTGCGCCATACCCTCGGCCCATCAGGCTCTCATCGGGCATTTCAGCTAGGTAGTAAGTGTGAGAGCGCCTACTATTAAGCCCTCGCCTATCTTTATCATCGCCACCAAGGAAGCGGCCTTCATGGACTTTCCGGCTCCCCAGTCATCAATACAACCACCACTCAGCCATCATGGACGACACAGATCCAACACGCTCTCCGAGGCACTATGCTACTCCTCCCAGGGCCCGAAACTTCAGCCCTCCGGCGAGGCAACCGGGGAGTAGCAAGACGCCCAAACTAGGCGATTTTTCGAGGATCGGGCCATCATTCATCTCGCCTACTTCATCACCTCGCCCACATGCGGCTGGTGATCAGGCTACTTCCCCTCGTTCCCACTCGGCATTTCCCTCTCCTCAAAGGACCAGGCGAGGCAGCCAACCAGTCTTCTCACGAGACCAGACGGCTTCGCTAGGCAATTTCTCCAAGCTCCTGGCTGTTCTCCAGTCGCCATCACGGCCTGCGTCTGCCCCTAAGAATGTCTCAAAAGCTGTTCCCGAAATCGGTGAACCGAAACCATCTGCAGATACTACGCCTAGAATTACGATCTTGAAAAGAGGCGCAGCCGGCCCGAGTGATCAGGCCAGCCCTGCCTCTGGTCTCCCGCCTTCCCGTTCACCGAATGTGGTGGCGGCCATTGATGTCAAGGCCGATGATCCCATTGCGTTGCTTGCCTTGTCTCCCAACACTGAATTGTCGTCTTCTCCATCTGAATTAGACAACACTTCAGAGTCGGAAGTCTCTGATTACGATGGCACTTCGGCTACAAGCCTCGCTAGCTCTCCGAGCCAGCATCTTACGCCACAGAGGAAGGCATCCGTCTCTGACTCTTGGAACTGTCTTAACAAAAAGCGAGAGACGATCGTCTCTCCCCCTCAGCAACAGTCCTCAGCTACCAACACCCCCTTCGCCAGGAACATCACGACTCCTCCGACCGTCTACCTCACCGACACACGCACCAAGGCTCAGAAACACGAGAGCCTCTCAGTGAAACTCGCCCGTCATTTTGTTAACGATTCGCTTACACAATCGCAGTACCGCACTGCCGACTCAAACGCCGTCCACGTTTTTCTAGACCATTCCAACATCAACATCAGCTTCCGCCGCGCCCTCCAGAGTAAGTTCGCCAACGGCGACTTCAGCGCCCGTTTCAACCCGTCCCCAGAGTTCAATCTCGAGTTCTTCTCCGAGATTCTCCTACGCGGCCGCCAGGTCCGCATCCTCAACGCAGGCTGCTCCACCCGGCCTGACCACCCCCAGCCAGCCTTTGTCGACGAGCTCCGTCGTCTCGGCTACCACGTCGACGTCCGCGAGCGAAAGCCCGTCGTCGGCGACCCCAAGCCCCCCCACACAAGGACACACGCGTCGTCCAAGCATCCGCGGAAGCGGAAGGCGGCCGGCGCACCCCATGACGACACCCGATACGTCGAAGACCTGGTCGACGAGACCCTGCAGACGCGCATCGGCGAGTCCGTCATGGAGTTCTTCCAGGACCAGGGGACTCTCGTCCTCGCGACAGGCGACGGCAAGCCGGCCAAGTACTCGGACGGCTTCTTTGCCTACGCCGACAGGGCCCTCCGCATGGGCTGGAACGTCGAGCTCGTGTCCTGGAACCTGGGGCTGTCCTCCTCCTGGTCAGATCCGGAGTGGACGAGGAAATGGGGCCCGCGCTTCCGCATCATCCAGCTGGATGAGTTCCTCGACGACCTCTGGGTGCCTGCGACCTGAAAAATGGCGCAGGACACCCTGATTTTGGTCTCGTTGTGAACGCCAGCCGTGTATACCCGATGCCATTTATACCTCAAATCTTATGATTCAACTTATGACGATACTTTTCTTTCTGGCGCACTGGAAATTTTCGATATATACATGATGGAAGTTTCATACGATATGTTACATATATTTTGTTATTATTTATGTTTATTCCCTTTCAAGCAGGGGATGTGATATATCTAAGATGGTCATACTGCCATCTCTGGCATTTACGCAATGGAGGTCGGAATTAGCTGGGAAGCACAGTCGGGAAACTAGGGCTACGCCTCGACGGCGGATTGGAACAATTTTAAAATTCACATATGATGGTGCTGTATCTACTGTAGGGACGTTACTTTATGTTAAAATCCAGTACATTGAATAGCTACTTTTACTCAATGAAACTTTCTATGACTATGGCTTGCTGTCTTTCATCATTTCATGACTATGACCACCTGCTGATCCTGTTCCCCGGAACCCTGACCAGACTAGTATCAAGCTTCATCCTAAGAACTCTCTCTGTCCACGATACTAAAAAAATCATGTAATGCAAGAATGACCAAATGAGTGCTGGCCTCGGTCGTTCCTTGGCCCAGCCATTTAGTGTAGAATAGAAAAGACCTTGCCTCCCGTGCAAGGGTTCAAATGATCATAACAAACAAAGGAAAGTTGTCGATAGTGCCAAAATTGATATATGAAGTATATCTCAATAAGTGGCAGTTCAACTCAAGGGAGAAGAGGAATCCCTTAAATATAACGATCGGACTTGGAAATGGCACCGCCAATACCGTAGAACTGCTCTGCGTTGAAGGTATCCATCGACTTCGTCTTCCAGAGATCGTTGAAAGCCGAGAAGAGAACGACATCTCCAGGAGTTTTAGAGAAGGCTTTCTTGATAGATTCAATAGCTTGCTTCTGGTTTTCCAGACTAGGGATTGCCAGACCATTGGGAGAGCCATCCATTGGCCAACCGGTCTCGGTAACCACCACGTTCATCGGCTTGGAGAGGGCCAACTTGACTCGCTGGACGGTGTCATCCAACCACTTTCCGGCGTGGGATGCGCTAGTAGTGCTGTCAAAGAAGGCATGGGCATTGATAGCGCAAAAGTCAGAAGCCTCGCAGAGCTCGGGGTGCTTCTCAACGGCGTTGAAAGTATCGACGGTGACAACAGGACCCTTGAAGCCTGCTCCACGAAGCATGCTGCGAGCCTTCTTAATGGCACCGATGACCTTCTGCGGGCTGGCTTCTCCCTTGTTGACAACCTCGTTGCCCACGCTCACGGCATGGATCTTATCCCAGCCGCCTTCCACGCCTGCAATGATTTTCGACACCTCGTTCTCCACATCATTGATGTCCCAAACGCCCAACATCAGCTTGGTCTTCGTATTCTTAGCTGCCTTGTACGTCTTGGAGACTTGGTCGCAGTCCGTTCCGTAGATACGAATCACCGAATAGTCCTTCAACTGGTCAAAGTCGTTCTGGACATCACGGGCGTCCTTGCAACCGTGGTCTCCACGGTATGGGGCATAGGAGATGCCGAACTTGTCAGCCTTGCCAGGTGCGGTTGGACTAGGCGCGGCGGATCCAGGAATCCCAAGGGCCTCCAAGATCTTTGCGTCGGCGTCGTCGCTTGGGACGCTGACAGAGCGAGGAGCAGTGGGGAGGACTACAATGGTCTTGGTGTCGGTAGACACAGGGGCGCCGCCTTGAAGATAGGCAACCTCGGCAGCAACAGTGGTGGGTGCAGCGAGGGAATCATCATACGCGGTGATCTCTTCCCGGCGGTTGAGCTGAGCGGCAGCTTTGGGCCCATCTTGACAAAGAGTTAGCCCACAGATTATTTCTTGAAGATGTGATTGTATCACTCACTCTTAGTGGGAAGCGCGGCACCAGAGCTCGCCAGTGCGAGGGCACACAGTAGAACGTCTCCCAAAGCCATAGTGGGTGGAAAGAGTGTGGTTTTAGGGTGAGTTGAAAGAAAGGAACGAGGTGAGCCCAGAATCAGAAGAGAACGTGTTGTCTGAACGAACGACGCGGGGTGAGATAAGAATATAACCGTAAGAGAAACAGAAGGAGGGACGAGAATGAAAGAGGGAGAGAGTGTGTGAATCGGCCTATTCAGGGACTAAAGGGCGCGTTCGTCAATGAGAAGGGAAAGGAAAAAGTGAGATGTGAAGAAGACAAAAGGTTGACGACGGAGAAGGTAATCAAAGGAGGGGCAAGGTCAAGCCACAGGCTCGAAAGAGGGTGTTGAGGATGGTATAAAAAAGCTTGTGTGAAGAAATGAATGCGAACGGATGGGGAGAAGAAGAAGTGCGGTGTTGGCCAACGCGAGATGGAAGGTAGGCAAGTAAATAAACAGCGTGGGGAGGAATGTGGTGGCGCCTCGAGTGTGATAAGGCGGCGATTGCCTCCAGCTGCAACCGGCCTGGCCTTCAGAGCCCGTTCAACCAGCTTAGGGGCTGCATCCGGCCGGCTAGGGAGGCATCTCGAGCGGTTTAGCACCTGCCTGGCAACTGCTGCCCTCGTCTTCAAGGGAGCCCTCAATCGCTACCCATCAATGGGCAGGAGCGGTGGGTACAGGCAGCCTGCAGCGTGCCACGGAATGACACCGGCGTTAGGATAGGACAATATATCTGAGACCGGTAAGACATTTTGATCCCGAAATGTATTGCCCCTGAATCCGATCTACGCCCCAGATTGGTGGTTCACATGTCACCCGGGGGATGCGCACATGGACAAGCGAGGGCATGGCAGCAACGTCTGGTCACGAAAGGCTGGATGAATCCCAATATATTCTATTATGCTCGAGAATTAGTTATGCTATATGTCAAACCAAGGCCCAGCCTATGGGCCAGAAACCTCCGTGGTCACATCCTCATTAAACCTATGACTTTTCGCTCACTTGGAGACGTAAACCTAATGAACACTATTAAAAACACCCAACCAAATGCTGGCGGTGGATGATCAAAGATGCTAGATGCTATCCTTTTTAAGAAGATGCAGCCTTGGTGCTCGTCTTTCGTGTCATGACTTTGGTAATGGCGTGTCTGATCGTGACTCCGGCCTTCTCAATGTCCTTCTTCGACAACGCCGTCGTAAGACATACCTTGAGCGCTGGCTGGACGGCCCATTCGGACTTTCTGTCCTTCATGGCATTTGCATATCCCCGCGTCTTGAGGCGGGTAATCATAACACCGTTGGCCAGAGTCTCATCAACACATTCCATCAGGATACGTTCCTGGTCCTCGACTTCAAGGTTTCGGGCTGCGACGACCTCTGGCTTGAGCACCAGCAGCATGATTGGGTTTTCCGGGGCGCTCGTGCACTTGACCCAGTCACTGCGGGGGTCGAGTTGAGCCCTCAAGGCCTTGATGTTCTCCCGGGACTGCGTCAAGATGTCGGGGTTTGACTGTAAGAGGTTCAGTGTCTCGCTTGCCGTTACAGCCATCATCGCAGGTAGGGCGGCCGAGTACGTATAGGCTGAAGAAGTGATACGCTGGTGTTCCACAACATCCTTGGCGCCAGCACAGAAGCCACCACCGGCACACAGGGGCCCAGAGAGAGATCCGATAATCATGTCCACCTGTTGGGGGTCCACATTCTGCGCCTCAGTGAGGCCACGACCAGTTCGGCCCAGTACACCAAACGACCACGTCTCGTCGAGGATGATGCGGAACTTGTATCGCTCCTTCAGTTCCACGAGGCGGGGGAGGTTGATGGAATCTCCGAGTGTCTCAAACAATCCCTCCGTGACAATGAAGCGTCGCGTCAGTTTCTTAGTCTTGGCTTGGTCCTTGGCCACCGATTTCATAACCCTCTCCAGATCGTCCATGTCGTTGTGCTTGAACCACTTGATATTGCTCCTGGAAATCTCAAGACCCTTGCGGATAGAATAGTTGCATGCTTCATCGGCAACAATGACATCGCCACGCTTGCAGAAGGTGGGAATGACACTGGTGATTGTGGAAAACGCATGGGCATAGACAATGCAGCTCTCAGTACCAAGGTATGCAGCAATATCGGATTCTGTCTTGACGTGGACATCTTGCGTGCCGTAGAATTGGGGTGGTCCGCAGGGTCCGACACCGTAAGTTCGGAGTGTCTGGATTGCCTTCTCCTTGATCTGCTCGTTTCCATTGAAGTTGTAGAAGTTGTATGATGCGAGGTTCGTAACGGTACGGCCGTTGGCGAGTTTGGCTTTGGGGCCAGTCGGGCTAGATGTGTGTCAGCTTCTGCGCGGATGATAGTCACCAATAATGGGAGTAGCTCACCCAACAATAATAGGAACTCTCTCGCTCTCTGCCAGCTCAATAGGGGTTTGCTCCGATACCAATGGCTCCGGCGTCCACTCCTCGATCAGTTCCTCGACTTCCTATATTATCCACCACATCGGGTCAACAACGTCCTCACATGCGAACTGAAACAAGGGCAAATAGCTTGGTTTGACTCACATCCTCGCGGAGCTTGACATAGTTCTGCTTATCGGTGCGGTAGGAAGGCGACATCAAGTAACGGATGAAGAACAAGACGAGGACGAGCTCCATGGCGGATCGCACGGGATCATTTTGATAGCTGGACTGGACGTAACGCATCAAGACGGCAGACCCGGGTATCTTCTGGAATGCAACCCATGCATCTTGGCCCAGATTGCCCAATAGGGATTGAAAAGAGTCTAAATCCATGCTTGCGGCAAACGCAAAGATCGATAGTCAATTGCACGGTATTCTCGTCCAAGCAGAGAACAAATAGGGGACGGACGGGTTTAACTTCAGAAGATGTCAGAAAACATCCCGAGAAGGCTAAGTAATACTGCTGGGCTAATCTCCAAGCGAGCGTCTGTCATTGGGCGACTGACACTGACAGGAGGCTCCAGTGCTTATCTAATTCGCCGACCCTTAATTTTATTACAGCCCCTAGGTGCATACTGACCAATTACGCAGTAAGTACATCGTTTCACTACAACTTCGCGTGGTCTTCAGACACGTCACAGTGAATCTAATTGGGTACTGTACGCAAAGTTTGCGAGAATAGGTAAAATTTGAACCATACAAGTCTATCTAATGTTTTCGTTTCATAAACCTTAAAAAAAGAAGAGAAGCAAATAACAGCCCGCGCGTTCCAATGCAGTTAACATACTATTTCACCTCGTACCAAATATTTAACATGCTGCTAAAACAGTCCATATCACCTCATCAACGAACTCTTATTAGGAGCGGTCTAGTTGACCATGTCGTTCCCACCTTAGAACAGCTTGATCTTGTCCGTTGCCACACTGCTATCGGTGGTGGAAGAGCGATGCTGATACAGGTATCCAGTGTAACCAGGAGCACCAGTACCCGTTTTGACGGTTCCATTGGTGTTATCACGGTCCTGGTTGTTGGGTTGAACAAGTCTGAAGTCCGGCAAGCTTTTGTTGATGCTATCTCCTAGCGACTTGATTTGGGTCCGCACAGCCTTCTGCTGTCCTGCGACAGCAGGTCCTACGATGAGGATCAGGAACAAAACAAGCATGGCGTAGTAGAGGATAGCAAATCGAATGACACGACGACGCCTAAGCTTCGACTGCTTCATCGAATAAATTGGCGGGCGGATTTGACGACTGCATCCAGAGTTAGTAGGGTATATACACCATCAACGGGGGGGTTGAACAAACCTAGGCCTGAGCCAGAAAAGCATGATCGAGTGGATCATGTCCATCTTGGGGAATGTCACAAGAGGCATCATGATGAACAACAGCCAGTGTCCCAAGACGAAATCAGCAGCAAACATGCTGAGCTCGGTAATCTTGCAAAGGAATTCTCGGCCGGGTTGGGAAATTGAGTGCCAACCCATAGAGTACCACTTGCCCGTCCAGAAAGCGATATTGGACTGGTCCGTCTTCATCTCACGGGTGAGAGCCAGGGATACAATCAGCTTGAAGACGAATCGCTGGATAGCAATTACGCAAATCATACCCGACAGGGTACGGGCGAAGTTCAAGCTCTCCAAGACAAACATGGCCAGGAAGAAAACAAGGAGGACAATGACAGCGACAGCGTGGGCAATACCGGCCAAAACACTACCGAACTTCTTGCAGCACATACTAAGCACTGGACCCATGAAGCAAGCCATGAAGAACAGAATACCCAGAAGTCCAGCGTTGATGGCGACAGGGGCCAAAGCGACAATGAGAACACGGAGGAGAGAACCGGTAGGAGCAATAGTGCTATCGTTTTCTAAGTCGCCACTCTTCTTGCCTGCCACGACGCCAGTCTGGGCATTGATGAACAGGTAAGGGAGTAAAGTGACGGCAACGGTAAGGAGGGGCGTCAGGATCTCACCCCAGAAGATGTTGGTGATGGCAGCACGAGGAACATCGGCTGACATCTTAGCTGAGGGTTCTCCAATCACCTTGCGTTTGTAGCCCGTGATGCGAGTTCGTGAAAGTCGACAGAAAGAAATCCATGACGAAGCGTGGGAGCGGGAGTTACCTCGTGACAGCCATCGCAGGAAATCACGATAGTCAATGAAGAAATCGCTGAAAGCAAACTGGTGAGGATTGTATAAGAACGGCGAGATGGTCAGACCAAGCAGAGTGATCCAGAAATAGGTCAACGCAGCTTGCCAAGCAGTGACTGTGCCGAAAAGAAGCATGATCAACAATCTTGAACCAAAATAGATTGACGGGCCAGCAAATCGAGAATAGAGGATTCCAAATGGGATACGAGCGGTCGCAAAACCACGACCTGTTCCGATGTAACGAGCACCACCAAACGAAAGATTCTGCTGCACAGAGTTCGCGTAAATCTGACAGACGAAAACTTCGAAGAAGGGCGACAATGACATCATTTGCTTGGCAAATCTGAGAGCAGCACGACCAACACCACGCTCCATCAGCTCCTGAACAAGCAGAGGTACGAATGACAGGAAGAATGTGAAGAGAATGGAGATGATACTGCGCCAGATCCAATCGCTCACAGCGTCAGTGTTGGCGCAACCAGTGGGAGTCAAAGGATCCGTAGTAGGGACCTGTCTGTTGTAATCACACTTGATAGTCTCGTGCCTGAGGGCACCAAAGTTGATAAGAACAACCATGAACATATGGACGGAAAGCATGATGAACATGTTGTTGACGTGGAAACCGGCGTGAGCATAGTAAAATGAGAGGAAGCGATCAAGAGGTAGTTGAGTGCCCAAGTAGTAGTACTCGCGAGAAAGCATCTGTTCTCCCATACCAGTACCAATCTTGGTCGTAAAGTTAAGAATGGAGCCAAAACCCAGATCACGACCCTTGCCACACTGGTAGTATTCGCAATGCTTGATACGACCACCTCGAAGGAGTGCATTCATACCGGCGTAAATATCTTCATTGAGATGTAGACCCTTTTGGGCTTTGGAAACACCGCCACGAGTTGTCATGAAAATACCGTTGAGGAAATCAGGGTGACCGTAATGAAGCTTGCCGCCAATTTGAGACATTGTTCTAGCGAACATGGTACCGAATGTCTGTTCTTTTCCGGCAGCAATATCACCGAGGATACCAATGTTCTCTGAGAAAATGTATTCGCGAGCTCCAAGAATAGCGACAGGGTACTTGGCTTCACTCTTGATTCCGGGCGTATAAGGAGAGACCTCGTCGGCCTTCATTTCCTCGAATTCGGCAAGAACACTGCGAATCTTGAGACACTCCTCGAGGTAGTTGTCCTGGTTAGCATCAATGAGCTGGAGGTACTCTCCACGGTAGAAGATCAAGGAGTGGTTCTGGTTGTCAGATTTGCCATCACCTAAAACAGGGTTACCAGACAGTTGAACTCTGAACTTTGGCTTTCGCATTCCATTCTCCAAGATTTCCGAGTGGCCGTCAATAAGCGCCGAGTACAGACGGGGTTCTTCGCCTTCGGCTACAGGTGGCTCTTCATCCAGGTAGGCAATTTGCAAGTCGGGGTACGCACGAAGGAGGAATTCAGCATTTTCCATTTCTTCCTTCTTGAACTTGGAGTATCGCTGCATAGATACGACAATCTTGAACTTGCGGCGAGCCATACGTTCCAGCTCGCGCTCAAGCTTATCGGTGTTACCGCCGAACATTTGAACGACTTCAGGGTTCTCAACACGGTAAAGGAGCTTGATTGCACGGCTGTAGTTCATGAATCCAGAGATAGTACGGTACAGAGTCTGAGAGCGAAGTGAGGCCCAAATTCTGGTACGGAGAGTGTACTCGGGGGCAGAGGATTTGAAACCAATGCAGTAAAAAGGAAGGTCATCAATCTTGTTCTTTGCTGTCTCCTTGGCTGTCTCTTTCTCGTCCTTCTCGTATTCCCCGTTGAGCTGAGAGGTTTCGTCGGCAAGAATCTTTGTATCCTTGACAAAGCAGTCCCACTCATGGGGATGAAGCTGCTTCAGGTATTCCAAAAGGGTGACCCGAGAATAGGGTTCATCCTCACGAATAATTTCTCTCAAAGTCAACAAGATCTTTTCGCTGTAATGAGGAATCATGACGGTGAATGTCGGCATGTTGTCAACAGGGAGCGGCTCGGGAATCGGGGTTGAGAGAGATTGGGCGAAGAATGAGAGACGACGTTCGGCCTCACTGTATGTCGGGAAGAACTCGGTCTTGAAAGAGTGATCCTCCTGGGACACAAAGAAGGTTGGAGCTCTCAGTGTTCTCTTACCCTCCTGCTCGGATGGGACCTGGTGGTAAAGAAGCTTCTGGACATGATCAATGGCCAACAAATGCTCTCGGTACATGGAAATAACGATAGCATTCCAAATCTGAGAGATCAAAACCTTGGGCTTATACTTGATCTCCATATCCGTGGTGGCCAGAATCTTGGAATAGATACGCTTTGGAAGTCGAGAGAAGATGTTTCTCCAGGGGGTCCAAATAGATGAACCCAGGTAGAAAGAGCGCGCAAGCGAGAAAGCTGTGTTGATCAGAACGTACCAGAGGTAGGTATCGAGGAAGAAGAAAACAACGTCACAGAAGCCCATCATTCCCAACAAGATCTTGGGATGGTACTGGCACAACGTGTTCCCCAGCAAGAGCTTGTCACCTCTGCAGCTGCTGACATTCATGATGTAAAGGTAACGAATGGAGTCACGGAATGACAGCGTGAGATACTGGTAAGATTCTCCGAACTTGGCTCCAAAAACAACGACCCAGAGACCATAGGACATGGCCATATTGCCTCCCTTAAGTCGGGGATAACTGGCCGTGAATGTCTGGCTGGCAACATACTGCCTCGAGTTCCTCTTCATGTAACTTCCAAACAAGCCGCCTAGCGGCATGACAGAGAAGAAGATGAAAGTGAACACGGCGATGATGATGTGTACGATACTGATAATGTAATCAACAGCCACACCCTTGGTTTCAGTCGGCCACATGAACACCTTGATACCAGGTGCAAGATTGAGCGCAAATACCAGAATCACGAAGAGAAGTCGCTTTGTCAGATGCTGGGCACCAGCCCATCGCCGAGGAACGTACGCCCACTCAGCCAGAGTTGCCAGAATTTGAATGAAAGACGCAATAGCACCGCCAAAAGCAACAGCAGAAATAACCTTTTCTTTGGGCGGGTCTTGGTCAGCTTCCTGTTCGTATGTCGGGCCGACTAGGACAGAGGGAGCGTTGAGCACGGTAAAAAACCAAAACATGGTCAAGTGGATAATCCAGATACGGTTGAAGTTGGTGATCAAGTGGAACCATGAACGAGTTTCCTTGTATGTCTTGAAGAAGCACTTCTTCCAGTTGATGTCCTTGAACTTGAGATAACGCTCCGCAGCTGGTACGTCAAAGAGCTTGCTCTTATCCTCCAAGACGATACGATCAAGACCTTCCGGATACCAGAACAGCTGGTTGCAATCATCATAACCGATGATATCCTTGTGGTCACGCTCACGTCGGACATAGACCCCATCCAAAATCTCGTAGCCTTGGTCGCGACAGTATTGATACAATGGCGTGATGACGTTGTTAAGGTAGGTAAATTCGTCCACAGGTTCAACAATAGCCTGGCACGCAGGGGAATTCAAGTAATCGTCGGCGCACTTGAAAATAAAACAGAGACATTCAGGCATGAACCGAACCTGATTCGCTTCACCCCAGCAGAGGAGATAAAGTGCGATTTGTCGAACTCGGTCGTGTTGCGACATACGATTCATGCGCGTCTTCCAGCGATACTCGGCAGCCTCCAAGCTATCGTCACCTTCCAACTCTTGCAGGGTTTCAGCCTCGGTCCCCTCAGGCTCATTCTTCTTCTTCTTCTTTTTTGTCTTGCGCCGGAGACCTTTGACTTTCGAGTTTGATAGGCCTACAGCGTCGTCCAAGTCAAGATGGGCAGCGAAATACCACTTGCGGTAGTTGGCATTGTCGCCTCCGATGTAATCAGCATGCAATGAAAGCAGAGCTTGATTGGGGGTCATTCGTGATGACCGAGAATCAAGCAGCGTCATGAAATGGTCATACATGTTTCGCATACTGTCACGCTGGAATCCAAACTTCTTGGTCAGGTCCTCGAAAATGTCTTCAATCTCCTCCTTAGACAGAGGAATCTGAGCATCCGAAGTCCAAGCTGGGTAAGGCTCACGCGATCGCTGACCAGCAGGCAAGACGTTGCCGTAGTCCATACCGTAGTTGGGGGTCGAGGCGCCAGAGGATCGGTTACCACCGTAGGACATTTGAGACGAGGGAGGTCGGTATCCTCGGCTGTTGTCGCCGTAGCTATTGTATCGCTCATCCCCATGATTATAATAATCCATCTCGGCGGCCCGCGCCATGTCAGACCTCATGGTGAAATCGCTAAACGTTTCGGAGCCATGCTCAGACCCGTGACGACCGCGGTTATCACTGTATCCTTGATTATACTCGTCGTAGTAACCACCTTGTTGGTTACCGTTGTTGTAGTACTCGTCGCGATACTGGTCCTGGCCATCGTAGTAGCCGCCATCTTGATGATAAGGATTGTTGGGATCGGCATTGTAGTAACCGCTGTAAAACTCTGTCAATAATCCGGCTAGAACTCAATCGACAGTGGCTTAAAAACTTACGATTCATCGTAGTAACCATCGTGGCCTCCTTGTCCTTGTCCTTGGCCTCCGCCTTGACGATCATCATAGCCTTGGTCGTAGTACTGGTCATTTTGGTAGTAACCGTCACCGGCTGCTCCCTGATTATTATTATGGCCGTAGCCGTCGTCGTAGTGGTTTCCGCCACCACCAGCACCACCACCCGGGTAGCCCGACATGGTTGCTATAGCTTATAAAGAACCACTGTCAAAGCAGGATTAGTAGCTGTAGGGAGGATCATTGGGCTCCAGTCACCACGGGCTATACACGTACCGTGCGGCTTGCATAGACCTATAATACAGAATTTCCGTGACCTTTGGTCAATCCTAATATGAAATTTGATAATTATACGGCCGATACGGTCGAGGAGACGTCGAATGGAATTATTCGCCAATAACGAGACGGGCGAATCGATATGAACTCAGCGTCGAAGTGCAAAACTCGGGGAGCGTATTGATCACAATGGGCGAAGTGACGTGTCCGACTTTCAGCACGCTGTATTGACACCAGATCGAGGCAGGAGATGATAAACGATAGTTTGGTCTGAACGAGTGATACGGCCCAAAATGAACCTGCCTTTCTGGCGGCAATGCTGTGTTGGGTGCAAAGCGGCTAATGCGTAAGGAGCGAAACAGAAGCAACGGGTGGACAGAGAGATGGCGAAGAGAGCAGTAGCGAGTGGAAATGGCAACCCATCGACTCCCTGCGGTGCACTCTGGAGAAAAACACGGTCCTGATCTTCAAGAACCCCAAGTGTGTTTGGGAAAAGGGCAAGAAAATACAGGAAAGAGTGGTATTCAAGGGAAGAGGTGGAGGTTGGACCAGCTGGTAGGAGTACCTACTTGGTGGCTGAGGATGCGGCCCCTTTGTTGGTTGCCCCGTTTCGGTTCCTAGTGGGCGGGACCTGTTGAGTGGAAGTTACGTATGCTGTACCTTGCCGTTACATCTGCCCACCAGTGGGGACAGCCACACAGAGGCCCGGATTCGCTGTGGAAAAGATACATGGCCGAAGTACCTGGGACCAACAGAAGGATTTTAAGCTGCACCACACCTGCTCCACACGCTCACTGAGACGCACCATCTCAAGTCGCGTCGCTGAGAGGCCAGAGAGTAGGGGATAACACGGGGCTGGAGGCAAAAAAGAATCTCAGGAGTGGAAGGGATCCTCCTATCCACCACCTTGCTGATGTGCCGAAAACAAGGAAAACCCAGCGCGCGTCCTCCCCAACCTGCCGCTCTACGTCACGGTCCTACCTCGCGAGAGCTTCGATGCCGACTCGATTTTCTTGTCGTCGTGCGGGAACTGCCTAGACTGCCTATGCATATTGACATCCGCGGGAGGCGTCCAGGTCCATTCCATCCCGCCCTGCCCAGCTGCGCTTCAACCTGGGTGCTGGCACCGACCGATTACAGCGTCAGCTTGAGACCCATCTTGCCACAATTTAATTGGAGGCGAGTCGTGCCCCTGGCAGGAACAAGTGGAGATTATCCATCCAGCACAGCCATGGCACGATAACCACCGCTGCCTCTCAGGCCGCCCAGCATCGACCCGCCTGATTCATCAGCAAGTCCTATCTACGTGTTAGGCTAGGCGACCCGATCAGAGGGCATCGACGATCATTTTCATCCCCAAATCACATCCAACTCGCATGTTGCGCGCGGCGTGAATGGCGCATCGCAGGCAAACAAAGTGCTTCAAAGCAGACATGTGCCGTTGCCGGGCAGCAGCGAGAGTCCTGAGACCTTTCAGCGAAGCCCCATCTCGCTGAATGCCCGCGCCCAAACAAAGACATGCATCTCTGCTTTGAAATGCAATGCTTCGCTGTGCCAGGGCATGTCTGCACTCCCGGAGAACCCGGGTGGGCACAGGGGTGGGGACTATTCCACACTTGCTGCATTTCTCAGGGGAAACTGGGCCTGCCTCCTGAAGTCCTGCATCCACACGAAGACATCCATCCCACCGATCCGCGATTCGATCAGAGCGTTGTCAGATTCCCATGTTGCCATGCTACCGGCGTTCACGCACCTCTTCCCCTTCTCTTCAAGCTTACTGGACTGCCTTAAATCTCCCGCGCAACCACTAGGAAGGGGTTGTTGGGTCGAGTACTTCTGGAATACTTGTGTGTACTCTGATGATGCATCAGAGTGTCCGGCAAAAGATGATGGACGGATCGTGGGAGGTGCTGGGGCCAGTGTTCTAATCTTGATCTCTGACACAACCTCTCCTCCGTTCATCTCATCCGAAGCAGACTGTATTTTACATTTTGGGAAGCAGGCGTATCTCTCGGGCTGTAGTGGACCGCCGCCGCCGAGGCAAATTGGCTGTCATGCAACTCGACCATGGCAGAAGCCAGTATGGAATAGGTACAGTGTGACCCTAAACCTCCGGATATTTTTACTGTGACGTATTTGACACTTATCCTATCACAGGGAGCCAACCAGCCCCTAGCAGGTGAATTGGTTAGGAGGGTGCTCCTCTGGGCCTATCAACATGGAGCTGCAGAATTCAACTTCGGCGTATCGCGCGTGTTCACACTGTCTTTCCAGTTTCTACCACGAACACCTCGTATACTTGCTGTCCGCGGAAGCCTTATCACGGGCACCACGACAGCGCCGGATGTCCAAGCCAGTATCCAGAGGTGGTGGCGGAGCTTCGCAGTACGAGATTATCATTACTCTGTCAAATCTAATCATGGATTCCCAAAATGAAAGCCTCTTCATCACCGATGAATCTACTGGGATGCAAGCCAGTAGCTCCCACCTCAAGCCGCTCTGATGAGCTCCATGACACGCGGCGCCCTGTTGTGCATAAACTCAATTCCAGTGGTCAAAGCTCGAAACCGGTCGCCGCTTTGAGCTACGTACTGCGTTACTTACCTTATGTAATTTGTGCATGTTTGCATAATTTGGAGGTACATGGCAGGTACTTTCTGCTACCCACTAAGAATTTAGGCCTCCCTTCAATAGTGCGACGTTGGTGGAGCGATCTTGCTCACCCATCCACTCCATCAAGGAACATGTCAGGGTACGTAAGAAAGACACGACCTTATCCCAAGTCCTATCTCCGTGAAAAAGTTAGATTACTCTTCGCGGTATACTGTACTGGCTACACTATCATTAGTAATAGTCATAACTACACTGCAATTCAAGACAGTTCTATCAAGTACACCTTAGGTAATTCTGGCTTTTTTCTACTTCCAACTGTTCAAATGCCAAGCCGCTGGGCCAAAAGAGCAATCGACATCCCAAGTGGATGGTGTAACGCATCATACCCAATTTTATGGAAACGCAGCAACTTAGCTGCCAGGCTGTTGGGATACGATCGATCATCTACGGTGATCAACGTGGGAAATTTAAGCGCTTCGGATTTTCTGCAGTGTGTATGAAAAATCTCGGCAGTGAACAGCGGGCAGGCAGCCCCATTCAACTGGATTAATGGACAAAACATTGGGAAACGAAGGAAAAGGTAAACGTAAATATAAACAATTAAGACCTTTTATAGAATAAGCCAGAAATTGTTTAGGTTTGTGTTGGGTATCCAGCTGAATCATCTGGCCTGCCGGGTGAAATCAAGATACTGATATGCCTGCACTGATATAATACAAAAGCTCTCTCAGCCAACTTCAATTGTCAGAGCCCATTTGATATTATAATTTATTGTGCCGTTATTGTTGAATAGACGCTGTGTGAAGTAGTAAAGCTGGGTTCCCACTACATTTTTGGGTCAGTTTCTATGTCAGTAAATCTAGTACAGTCTACGTTAATTTTAAATTGACTTTGATAGCTTCTTTTTGTGTCTCCCAGGTATTTGAGTTCCGGGTAGGACCCTTGTTTTTTATCTTGAAAACCCAATTGCACCGTTTTCCACATGTAAGTGATGTTGGATTTACTAAGTTCACAGCAAAAGGGCACATATATGAGGTTATGTTCAAACAGTCCTGAAAGAGTAGTGAGCGATGGTATGTAACTGGGAACGTCTGCGATGAGACAAGGTGATGGTTCGTCTGTGCATGTTGACTTGATTTGTTTCGAAAGAGCCGTTTGTGAGTCAAGTTTGACATTGCAGCTAAGCTCTTTCGCCAGAATACACCCATATCGACCGCCTTCTGCTATGAGGAAAGGAGGCGCGCCATGGTCGAGATTTTTTTGGTCGAAAACCTCTACTTTGCTATTCAATGCCTCGTGTCAACTCTCAATTTCTGGAGGGGCGCATCTCAAGGCCTGTAATCCTCATGGTTGATTTGATGGACATCGAAATAAGTATGGTCAAGGCAGGCTTTTACGCTGAGTTTCTCTCATTGAGATGTCGGCATAGCATCAGACATGGCAAAACTTGCGAGGGTCTCGTTTCGATCTCTTGAATCTAAATAGTCTTCATGAGGGAATGGAAGCAGGCCACAGCTCAGTAAGCGATGTTGAAAGGAGGTTAAGACAGCTTTGCTTCAACAGGTCGTCGCACTGAGCTTCGGACACAGACCAATACGAGCAAAGCTGGAAGAAGGAAAACTAAAGCCCTTAATTCTACCGGTACAAGTATCTTTGAGCCACAAAGAAGCACACATTTAGAGCTACGCATCACCATGATCCACAGCTAAGACTGGTGGTTTTTTTTGCCAAGTTGGCGAAATCTATGTGCTGATCTGACTCGCCGAAAGGTGAAGCCTTAACTGAAATTCCCCTGGCTTTCCTCGGAGCATTTAAGGCAATATCGTTCTTTTGTGATAGTGATAACATCAAACTGATGGGATCTATCCGCATGTTTTAGCCCCCCCCCCAACTTCCGAAAACAGGCACAGTTAACCAGGCACGCTACAGGGGAAATACAGCTACCAGAATAATGTTCACAAGGATATAATGGCCGAGGTGCGCATGGAGAAATGCGATGCCGAACTCCGCAGGACAGCCAAGGCTGGTGACATACTGGTAGCAGGCTTCAACTTTGGCTATTTAGGATCTATCGCTTGTAGTCTCCTTACGGGGAGTCTCCGGTAAGCGAACCCAAGGATTTTAAGACAACAGGCTGCGACCGCCATCTTAGCAAAACAAATTCCTCTCGTCGTTGCTGGCAGTTTCAGCAATATCTTCAGCCGCAATAGCATCAGCAAAGCGCTCCTCGGGTGGTATTTCATGTTCGATCATTCTTCTTGGCGCTTTCATTTTACTTTCCCTTGTTTTCTTGGAGAGAGGTGCGCTGAACAAGAGAGGTTGTGCTTCCCTGCCTCACAAAAGTAGATGCGCATTTCGGGAGCTTCGTTGCAAATTTATAAGTTGCAGTCAACGGCAATAGAACTACTCATTCAAGGCCAATTTCATCTTCTAATCTACCACAGCCTATTGCTGGGGCTCTGTTATAAATATACTAGAAAGGATACTAGTAAGAGAAGTTCATGATTTCTACTAAGAGAGTAGATGTTGCTTTCAATAGCAGTAGCCTCATTCCTACTGACTCTATAGTAGCAATTTTCTCAATGCTCATATTGTAGCCTTAGGCACCGGTTGCTCCTGTACAGTGGGCGACTTCAATTATTTTCTTGTACTGTGGTTGGATGAGCTAAAGCTTAACTCCGCCATATGCGGATGGTGGTGACAGCATCTTATACGTAGCGCCTCCATTGGGACATGAGCTTCTTTGTTTTTTGCAACTCTTATGATTCCATCAAATTCAAGAAACGTCCTTTCTAGCTATCCGACATGCAAAACATCCTTTTCCATGTATCAATTGACCACTGAACCGGCCCAGCCAGCAGCCCACGATGAATGTGCTCAGACCTCACAACAAAGAAATCACTGTGAAATACAGAAACACGGGACCCCATAGCCTGCAGCGACAATAGGTTAGTTAATAGTTAGGTGATTTATAAAGTTTTCTGACGCTCGGAAAAGGATAAGTGGCTTCGACGCTCTCAATTGTCGAAGGTCGATCATTGGTATAGGGTAGCCACCCTCGAAAGGGGCAGGGTGGTTGCTGTGACAACAAAAGAACAATGACTTAGCGGTACCCAAGAGGACTCGGTGAACCCTCAAACAACAAAGTGCATTAATACCACTTTTCCCTACAGACCACAACCCTGTCTCACATTCCGCAAACATACCATACTGACTGATAATACTCGTTATAATATCCCTAGCACCTTCTTCTACCCTTCACAATGTCACATCTCGCCGACTGTCTATCAGACAGTGAAGGAGAGCTGCCAAGCCCAGATCTTCTCTCAAAGCGCAGTGGTTTATCGAACAGGAAAATGGTCTCAACGCGAGAATCATCACCCGCCAAATCCCCGAGCAAGATGCTCGTACCCAAGTCGGCCTCAAAGCCTCGCAGAGTTCGCCGTCTTGATGGCGGTGGCGGCCTTGCCGCCAATGCTTTGTTTCAGAAATGCGACCCAGAGCAATTACTAGGCTCACCCAAGAAGTCTCCTACCAAGAAGTCTCCTCCCAAGAAATCTCCCATCAAGAGGAAGGCTGGTTCATTATTACAACCTTCAATCTTCGATGATGAGGATATCACTCCACCCGCCACTACTCGAAGACTTCGCCTTCGAGCACCCAAGATCACTGCAGCCCGGCAACAGGATTCTGATTCCGATGATGGCAATGATTCAACATTTAATGTGGACGATTATCTTGGACAAAGTCTACTTGGAGGCAACCAAACTTTTGTTTCTCAGGGGTCTAGCTCTGGGTCTCCTGACGCCAATGTTTCTTCAGATCTCACCGTCGACGAAACTGTGGATGAAGACCAGGATCTCCTCGATGCGCAGCTTGCCCAAGATCTTTTCTCTGCTAGCGTCATGGAACAGGAACAGGAAATCGAGGATGAAGACGAGGATGAGGGTGAGGACGACACCGTTAACGCTCTGGACGATGATCAATCAAGCACTGATGAAACAATTACGGAAGCCGAATCCCCCTACAAGGAGACCTCAGATTCAGAGTTTGATGCAAGCGATGACGAGGATGTCACAGTTTCAAACTTCGCACAGTCTTCCACACGTACCAAAAAGCAAGCTTCGGGTGTGAAGGTGACAAAATATCAGAATGTTGAGACGTCGGTTCTTTCACCTAAGCAAGCAAACGTTCTGGTTGTTCCTCGGTATGGACAGCAAGACAACGCACTTAAGAAAAACACCAAAGCACCAGTTGCTTCGAAAGAGCCTTTGGACCTTGCCGACGAGCTCGGCAAGTTGAATTTAGGCATGGCTGAATGGTCTGATGAGGAGAACAAGGTGCCCTCCAAGGATGCACCAAGCACTCCCCCCGAGACGCCCACGAAGTCGTCACGAACCAAAGGCCTGGTTTCTCCCACTAGGCGAGCGCGCATCCCCCAAACCCCACACAGAGAAAGCACGGATGCCTTCTGGAATGCCGAAGTTGTCAACAGCTGGAATGACCAGTATTCTCCGCGGAAACTTGACCTGCCTTTCCGGGTCACAAGCCCGGTTAAGGCAAGCCCCACGAAAAAGGAGAAGAAGACTTTCGACGACGCGAAGCAAGCACTGGCGAGCGCTTTCCTGAAAGAACTGGACACCAAGATTACCGATGGAAAGATTGAAGAGCTTGCTGCCTCTACCGGCGGTGTGAAGTTGGTTTGGTCCAAGACACTCAACACGACAGCCGGCCAGGCCAAATGGAAACGCGAGACCATCAAGACAAAGAAGGCGGACGGTACCGTTTTAGATGTGATCTATAAGCATCACGCTTCTATCGAGCTGGCCGAGAAGGTGATCACCGATGAAGACAAGCTTCTCAACACGCTCGCCCACGAGTTCTGCCACTTGGCCAACTTCATGGTGAATGGCATCACCAACAACCCCCACGGCAAGGAGTTCAAGGTCTGGGCCGCAAAGTGCTCTCGCGTATTTAGCGACAGGGGAATCAAGGTCACCACCAAGCACACCTACGAGATTGACTTCAAGTACATCTGGGAATGCTCGAGCTGCGCCGCGACGTACAAGCGTCACTCCAAGAGCATCAACCCGTCCAAGCATCGATGCGGGACTTGCAAGAGCGAGCTGAAGCAGATCAAGCCCGTGCCCCGAGCCGCAAGCAAGCCGAGCGAGTACCAGAACTTTCTCAAGCTCAACATGAAGATTGTAAAGGAGCAGAACCCCGGTGTCCCTCAGAAGGAGATCATGAAGATGGTCGCCGAAATGTGGGCGCAAAAGTCTCGGAGCAAGCCAGAGCAGGAGGAAGAGGAGTGTAAAGCAGTTGAGGATGAGACTATCACGATGGAGGAGGATACTCAGGTGATAGAATTGACTTTGTAGACCCGTGCGTCTTCCTATCTAGTGCATTGTTGGGCGTTGGTTGGGGTATCATTTAGACTGTATTTTGAGATAGCTCAGGATCATGTTGGTTAACATGATCCTCCCCGGCGCATTGGCTGTCTATTTTAATCTTTTTAATATCATTTAGAACTTCAAATCGGACGAAGACAAGTAATTGCTCTCTGATTCATTCATTCATTCGTCACTTCATTGATCGAAACATTCTTCTCTGAGATGGCGCTTCAATTTAGCAGGCGCAAACACATGATTCCCTTCACCACCAACTAGATACCTATACGCTTCCAAAGAGGCTCCAGTCCTTGATCTTGAAGCTCTGCCAAATGCGCGCCGAGTACTCAACGGCGTCTCCGATGAGCTTACCCTGCTTACCCAGCTCGAGGTCGACGTCCTCCTCGTCGTATTCGCCCTTGATGTGGGGCACGTTGACCGTGATGAGGATGTCTGTCTTCTGTTTCTCGAGACGGATGATGGTCATGATGATCGCGGTGAAGTCGGGAGATGAGCCGCCCTCCTTGGACGCGCCGACCTTGGGCGACTGGGTTGAGATTAGGGTATAGGCGGGAATCCCCTCCCTAGAAGAAACAGAACGTGTCAGCCTAAGCGAAAAGAACGACATGCGATGCAAGTACAAGAGGTCAAAAGCTTGGATCAGAGGTTTCGACATACTCCAGGCGGGTAAACTCGGTCTCGGCCGTGTTCCAGATCTTGAGGGTATCCCTGTCGTCGCCGACGAGATCCTCAAGGTGCGTCGTCATGGCCCGGCCGTCGATCTCGGGTCCGGAACCAGGCTCGCCCACGCGCTCGGTGATGTCGAAGATGATGCTGGTGAAGCCGTCCTCGTCGATCCAGACCTCCTGGTTGTCCGGGACTTGTCGGATTTTGCTGCGCAGCAGCCCGCTGTTAGTCTAGCTCTCGCTGAAATCTGCGAAAGCGCAGGGGACGTCTTACCTCACGTCTGCGAAGTGCTCGGGCAGGTCGGCGACGATTGCGCCGCCGTACAGAGGGGTACTTCTGAACTCGGTCATTTTTCACGTTGGACGGTTGGGCTGTTGTTAAGCGGGTTGCGCGAGAGCCGAGCAAGCTTGTTCTGGCGCTGATTGAAGTCGCTTCCTCGAGGAAGGGGAAACAGGAGGGGTATAAATTGTTGGAGAAGGCAGACTGGATGTGGCGATTGCACTTTGGGGAGATGGTTGTCGCAAAAGAGGTGCATGCAGCGCCGTAGACAATGAGATGGCTGAGCCTCGTTGCGCCCGAGCTACTTGGTGGGATGTAATCATGTGGCGGGGTACGATGACGATAGTCCCCGACGCCCAACGCTCGCTCGACCAACGACTGGCATTAATTACTACCAATTTATGCATGCAAATATGCACAAGCGGAACACACTGATGCACGCCACCTTTTGTGGGACATGGTGCGAGCAGGGTAGGCTGCCATTGCAGCTGCTCGCAGGAGGAAGCAGAGAGATATCGATGGGATATGAACACTAACAAGAGGTAGATGGGAGGGGAACAATGAGGTATAGCCATGTAGAGCCCTAAATAAATAGATCTACCTGTGAACTGCTACTAGATCGGTCGAGCTTGGTTGAGCTATACCTACGAATTACTCCTAGTTGTTGTGATACCTAAAAAGCGGCGCAGCGCAGTAGGCACTTTGCACTTTTTGTTGTATCCTCCTCCTCAAGAAGAATGGAAATGAAAAGAGACATTAATGACGACATGTCATCCCACCTAGCAGCTAGCCAAGGAAATGAGAAAAAGAAAAAAGATAAAGAGAATAATGAAAAAAAAAAATCCCTAAAAAAAAAACTGCAAGAAGCAAAATCGAACACTGAGGCTAGCCTCGGCTCGTATGGTTCCAAAGATTAGGTGAATGGAGTCAATTGGGCCAATTCCACGGTCACATCTGGTAAAAGGCAAGAGGTGAGTTCGATGGAAGGTCCCACTCCTACTGAACCGAGCTCTTTTTTTAACTTATATACCCCCATTCTTGTGGGCCGCCAACAATTCGGATGCCGTCAATGTTGTCTCACAACCCCTCAGAACAGCGAGCGCAGTCCCGCTTCTTGGAGACATTGCTGCATGTTAATACCTTACCTTTTCAGGCACCAAATATTTAATCCCTTCATCGTCTACGGATCTTCTTTTACCTTTTTCTATTCCTTTCCCATCTGTCCTTCACACCAATCCATCTTTCAATTACAATTGATCACGTTGCGTCCGTCGCCATGGCCGCTTGCATTTTCTGCCGTATCATCAAGGGTACTTCACACTCATATCTTTGGCGGGCAAGAAATATCCCGTGCTGACTGGTCTACAGGAGAAATCCCATCCTTCAAGCTTTTCGAGAGTGACAAGACCTTTGCCTTCCTTGACATAGGTCCTCTTAGCAAAGGCCATGCGGTAGGTGTTGAAGCTATCCAGAGCTCCTCGCTTGGCTGCTCTCGGCTGGATCAATTGGCTGATAAAGCAACAGCTCGTTATCCCCAAGCACCATGGTGCTAAGCTGACCGATATTCCCGATGATTCTCTGACTGAGCTCCTGGTTAGTTCCCCCAATGTGGTGTTAAGTACACAGCTAAGCTAACTGGTGTTCTCGGTAGCCCGTCCTCAAGAAGATTGCGACTGCCTCTGGCGCCGTTGACTACAACGTGCTTCAGAACAATGGCAGAATCGCCCACCAGGAGGTGGACCACGTAAGTCAATGAGGACCTCCCTCCCTCGCTCATTCCCCGCTGTGATCGTCCAGAAACTAATCGCGCCGCAGGTCCACTTTCACTTGGTAAGACGGACTGGCTACGCCCCGAGCTGTGTATGTGTGACAGGCTAACTCTGTGCGAATTTCCAGATCCCCAAGCCAAACGAGAGCGAGGGTCTGGGCATTGTCTGGAACCCCCAGCAACCTGACATGGACAAGCTCAAGAGCCTTGCCGAGGAGATCAAGTCTAAGATTTAAGATGGACACAAAGTCTCCAAATCTATCTTGTTATTGTAGTCGGTGTGGGTAGCGGGTCGGTTGGTGGCAGGTAGCATTGGTTTGGAGGCGTTTGAGAGTGAATGATATGAAGATTGACGATGCAAGTCCCTTTTTTACCCTCTAAGTGCTTCTACCCAAAAATGAATTTTATCTAGTAGTTGCCCAACTCTAATCTACATCATCCGCCGAGGTCTCCTTTGCCTGGGTCTTTGTTGAGTAGAAGTCAACGCTGCCTCCAGGCTTAATCACACCCGTTCTGTCGTATAAAGAGCGCGCACGCACGTAGGGGTCCAGAATCCAATAACCCTCCCTGAGCTGTGTGGCCAACTGCTCCCTCTTAGACTTAAGAGAACTGCCATCAGTGCCGTCGTGTTTCTTAATCCACTCGAGCGTTGTTGCCTCGAACTTCTTGACAACGTCCTCTCTGCTAGCCAGGAGCTTGTCCCTAGTAGCCGTGTCCTTCATCTTGTCGTTCTCTCCAGGAATGGGCTCCTCGTACTTGTATTCCCAGTCCTCGTCTCCTTCAAGCTCTTTTAGGATACGGCTGGGTTCGATGAACTTCTCAAGATCATTCTTATTGTTAGTGAAGTGGACTTTGCCCGCAACAACCGGATCCAACCAGCCACGGATGATCTTCCAGATACCTACTAAAAGTTAGCCCATTATACTGATTTTCCTGTTCTTATAGCATTACTTACCCTGGAATACCCATGGCGAGTTGTGGACAAGCACGGCTCCCAAAGACTCTGGATAGTTTGCCTCGAAGCACTTGATCATGAACTTAACAGGGGTATAGTCCATGTTGGCCATGGAAAATCCAGTCATATCAAAAATGATGGTCTAGTCAGCTTGTGTTAGTCCCACAATATCATCTCAAGTTTCTTCAAACAGAGCCACTTACCGCGGTATCAACCGGGGGTGACAAAACCATGCGAGCAGTCTCAATGATGTAGACAGTGTACTTCTCCAGACTTTCCTCGCATTGTTCACCTTGCCTGTGCAGACGAACCCTGACAACGCAGATAGGGCGCCCGTTCTTATCGATCCCATGAAGGAAGCTCTTACCCATGCGAATCTGGGCGAGAAAGTCCGCACCGAGCTTCTTATCCTCGCCCTCGCCACTCTCCTCATTCAATTTGTTTCCAGCTTCGCCATTCTTCATGATGTCATCATCCACACGCATCTCGCTGTGCCGCCAGTTCATGGTAGACACCAACATGACCAGAGCCTTATCAACATCCCACTTGCGGGCCCTCAGAAATCGCAGGAGAAGAGCGTCAGGATGATCATGCTTTACCATGGCCCAGATGGTGCTTCGAATCGTCTCTGGACTGTGGTTCGCAAGCGTTTCATAGAACTGCTTCGTCTGGCCATACTTGTCGTCATCACCGCCGTCCTTAGCGGCTGGCTCTGGGGCAGGGGAAGACGAGCCTGACTTTGACTCCTTGCCCTTACGGAACAGGCCAAAGCGCTTCTTCTTTTCGGGTTCTGAAGCAGGGGCCGACTCTTCAGGAGCAGCGGCTTCAAGTGGAGCCGCACCACTACCCTCAGTCACACCGGTGAGTTGAAAGACAGCTGACCAGAGTTTGCGGAGCTTCTCTTCCTGCTCGGGGGTCAAGTTGCCAGGACGGCCTTCAAGGAGTTGGGGAGCCATTGTAGCTTTTGGAAGAAGAACCACCGGTTCCTCTGTGCTGTCCGGAGTGTGGTTTGTTGGGATGAAAGTAGAAAGGACTAAAACAGTCGATATGGCCACAACAGTAACAAGGATGACAGATACACTGATTCCACTTTTCAGGTGCAAATTGTGAGGTGAGATATCAAATTCTCTCGGATTATGGCGAGTATGGCCTGTTACTTGGCGACTACCTCCAGAATTGAGGTTAAGAACTGAATATCTGGGGACCGTAGACTGTAATCTGGAACCCTGGCCTAGAGACGACCTAGTTGCACGGACGCCTACGTGTTGCGCAGATGGAAATCGCGGATGCGCCGGAATGAGCTGGGCAGCCCGCCGAGCTAAAGGAAAATGATGCGAAAAGGGACGTCGAAGAGCTCGCTGTATTTGAGACTTCATAGGCGACCGCTGCGCCACTCAGGGAAGAAGGGAGACCGGGAGCTTATATCCCGCGGTTATAGATGTTCCGTGTCGGGTGGCGCTCACTGTGATGGGTTCCAATCCTGAATGCTGATGCTTGCGACTCTGACACACCTCCCTGGGGGCTTGCGACTTGAGAGAGAAAGACGGCCGACACAAATTGAGGTTGCGATCAGATATTCTGTTGAGGTGGTGACCCACTACTTTCTCTTGGAGGGGCAGGCGCAAGTCCAACGTCAGGCGGATAGAGCCTCTCTGTAGTCTCCAATGTCACAGGATACTGATGTCTGATGACACACAGGATCAACAGAGGGCGGGCGAGGCTTTTCGCGTGAATCGGGGTTTGGGCTTGGGAGTGGTGACGAGCTGACAACGGCGCTGATCCGTCTTTAATGAACGATGGGATGCGTGCTGTGTTGCCCCATTGGTCCTCGTTTAGTGGGTTAAAATTAGTACTTGGCCAGTACCTGTGCAATAATAAAGAGTCGCTGACGATGCCACGAGAGGAAGCCATGTTATCAATTCAATGCAAGATGGAGCGGGCGCTGTGAAGTTCTCATGCAGTCCCTTTATTTTGTGGGAAGATGCCAACACTTTGACATCGCATTGACTCTGCTTATTTAGGTTTCCCGGTGCGTCTACGAAAGAGGGCACAATATGCATTCATATCAAGGCGCAACTGCTCGGGCCTAGCTCTAGGTTAGGGAAAGTAGCCAAGAGGTAGCTACAACTGGTAGTAAGGAGTTTTGCGATCAATAGCATGCACTGCCACTGTCGACTGGAAATTACTCGCCTGGTATGGTAGGTAATTTGGCCTAGGGCAGGATGGTAATCGTATAGGTATAACACACCCTGTCCAATTTTGACAGGGCCGGAACGTATGCGAGTTCCCGGGATGGCGACGGATGGCCTGTTTTTATCCCATCTATCAACTCATCCTAACATGCTGCGAAACAAGGATGGTGCTCCAGATCACCGAGCAGATAACCCTGTTTTCTATCCATTTTTCCAGATTCAGGCACAAAGGTTGGGGGGTAGCTTGTTTGGTCGCTGTTAGTTGACTGCGGGGTGTGCGGTGATGCATTGGTGCCCTGCACTGACGGTGCCGTATTTTGGTGGGGTTTTTACTAGGTGCCCGTTGGAGAAGCGCGTCCGTGAATGCACATAGCAGCTTCTGCGCCGACCAGCTCGACAAGCTCCAATGCCACCAGCGCCCTGGAGCACCTTTTCAGGAATAGGATAAAGACTTCTTCATACTCGTTCCACGATGTCAACAAACTACCCCGAATCAGGCGACAAGCGCTCCAACTCCAGGAGCCGAAACTCGCGGCCTACGACGCCTCTCAGACCTACAACACCTCTCAGGCCCTCTTCCAGGTCCTCGTTTCGCGACTCTGCTCGAGGTGCAGGCAATGGCGACGCACCCTTCCCTTTGAATACGTTCGAACCGGCTTTTGCCGAACTTTCAGATGCCATGGCCGACCTCGAGGCGAACATGATGCATTTCCAGCTTATGCACGAAAGTTTAGCCCGCTTCAGCGAATCATTTGCGAGCTTCATGTATGGTCTCAATATGAATGCATTTTGTGTTGATTTTCCAGAGGTAAGTAGTGACTGATCTATGAAGACGCCTCAAAATCTGAAAACTCAGCATCTATCTATCCTTTATATCAAAGTGTGGTGCTAATGTCTCCGAAATAAATAGGCTCCTGTTCCCGAATCCTTCGCCCGAGATAGATCACGAGACGACCAGGGTGGTGCCGCACACTCTCGATCAGAAATAGACGGCGAAACTACATTCATGCAAGCCGCGCCTGTATAAACGACCCGCTAGCTTGGACTAACTGTTGACTAGAACTACCGAGACATCGTTTGTTGACAACCCTCCACCGTCGGAGAAGCCAGTAAAGAAGACCACAGGTGCAGCTAGTCGCCAATCGAGGCTGCCTTCTGCCCCAGGGCCATCCACAAGAGGGCGAGGGAATGCGCAAGGTCGTGGCCGTGGCCGTACTAGTGGGCTGGTTCGACCGCGGGCTCGTGGTTTAAGATGAGGAATAAAGTCGATAGGCAGGAAAAGAACAATGAATCGTGAATCGTACCAATCTTCGTTGGCGATCTATGCAGTTGACGTGTATCCTCGTTAGGGAGTGTCTATTAATATCGATATTTCGAGGTCGGAGTTCAGGTAGCCATGTCAACGTCGTCGGTGCTGGGGTCGTTTTCTCGTTTCCCATTATCTATTCTCAGCCCAGCAGCAGCGAGGGCTTCTTTGTGATCATATGGACCCTCCTTAAGCTGCTTAACTCTGTGACATGTATCTGTTAGCGAAGCCGCAAGGAGCGAAACGTCTCCGAGGGTATTTACCTGCGCTTGTGGGGTTTCCCACGGCGGTGTGCGACGAGACTCTTGTCGGTCTCGTACCATTTGGCACACTCTACACAATAGTGGCGACCCAGACCAGGCAGGTCCTCAGCTGCTTTGGAGTCCTTGTACTGCGACAAATGTTTGGCGGAGAGGAGATCATCTTTGATTTGATCCAGGCCTCTGAGTGTCCGCCGAGTCTTTGTGAGCGTTCTCTTGTTTCCCACACCCATTTTGCCGATGTTCCGATTCGTAAATGAAGTTGGTAACCGGTTGGTTTTGCAATATCTGGTTCTAGCAAGAAGAATACCGGTCTCCTTCTGTTGTCGTTGTGGAGGAAGATGGGAATTTGTTCGGTTTAGAAAATTTTTGTGGAGACCACTAAGTGGCACCAAGTTTGAGACTCTTAAGGTGGGGTCGGATGTTCTGAAAGGAGCCACACAACCATTCAACTTTATCAACGATGTCTGTACTTGCGGCTTATTACATGTAAGCTAGTTGCGCGTAGAAGTCAATTGAGTTGCGGTTAGTCCAATTTCATGGCATGTTACGAAGAATAACCTGGCCTCAGCCTTTTGACAATGTCGTTTATTGTTTTCTTATTTTTTATTTGAAATTATTTATTGCGCCGCTGTCCTAGTTCAGCCATCATCCACTCATACACAGCCCATTGGACTGCGTTAACAACGAAAGCCCTGGCGCAGCAGACCGAGAAGCCACGGAAGAAGAATCGAGTTCCTTGCTGTCTCCATCCCTCCTTGGCAACCTCCCAGGCTCCTGCGCGTTGACGTTCAGCGATAGATCCGATAAGGGGCCTTGATTCCGAGGTAGGCTCCCAGGCTTGAGTTTGCACCTGGGTCTTTATCACATCGAGCGGGAAAACACTTGCCCATGTTGCAACTCCGGCAAGCCCTCCACAGATCAGGACTTTGGGGGCTTCGGACTGGAGAGTTGAAGTTCTTCCCTCTAGGGATGGCCACATGTTTGTGGCCAGTTCGTAGGACCAAAAGTAAAAACCGTAGCCGATACTGTCGCGCAGCACAGTCACCAATCCGCCGAAATAGAACCCTCGTACTCCTTCTTCTCTCCATATACGGCGGGCGATGGCGCTGCTTGACAAGGCGTCATTCGATACCTGCGCACGGCATTTGATAACTTCTGTAGGGGTACTGACCACCCAGGTGGTGAGGCCACCAATAGCCCCCGCAAGCCAGGTTGTTAACAGGCTGCTCTGTACACCCAATGCCTGGTTCAGGGCAGCCTCGCTGCGATTGTATGAGAGGAATAGGAGGGCGTTGAGGGCTCCGTATCCAAGAATTGGTGCCGCAGTCCCAGTTGTGAGATTCTTGAATGTGCTTCCCGTAGCCGTGGATTCATTTCGGGCTTGCATTCGAACTTTGATCAAATCAAGAGGGTTTCCAACAACGATCCCTACGGCACCACTGACGTACCCCGACCAGAAATCTGCGGACATTGTATCTGAATCGCCAATGGTAATTGAAGTTTGGATATCGAGGGAGCGAGGTGCAACTCCTTTTATAGTTTGCTCTTCTCACGCCTGGGCCGATGGTTTCTAGTGAATGTGGTAGTTGAGGAGATGAGTAGCAAGATGTGGTCTTTAAGCTCTTTTGATAAGACCTCCCGTGATCAGGATCAAAGGCCAATGTCTCCGTGACAGCAAAGCTGGACGATCTGGTCTAGTATTCATAAATACCGTTGCGCACTGGACCAATTGACCAAGCGCAAAGCGTCATGAGGCTACAATCAACCCTCTATCACCACATCTATGGCCATAGTTTGAAGAGTCAAGTTCCCCTCCCATTTCGCTTGCTCGGTTGCCCAGAAGCGACCAGTTTCGAAGTGGGCAAGTGGGCAAACAGGTGACATTAAATTTGACGCACTCATACTTTCTACTGGTTATTTTCGAGTCCGCTACAAGCATTAGCAGATGATTTGGGGCTAAGAAGAGATACTTGAGAGACTGTATACTGAATATGCCAACTTTGTATCAAGTTACAGTGGCGTATAAGTCTCATCATCGTGGAAAGCGGCCTGCTTAAAACCGCTTTTCATTATCTGATGTGTCATTTCTTTTGTCGCCCAGTTGGTGGGATAACTACTTAGGTTGGTCTCCATAGTTGGGTGGGGGTTAATGGCGGGGCTCGATCTTCTGTGGGGGGGACTTCTGCCTGGAGGAGCGGATCAAGGGATAAGTCAACTAATTCATCACGTGAACGCGTGTCAAGGATGCGACACGGTCAGTCGCGCCTGCCACGCTTGCATCCGAACAACCACTCTTTCTTCCCAAACCAAAGTCTGCATTATCATTTGGACTTGGCCTGGAGAAGACCATTGTCTTGAAATTTCAGCATGGCAGTAAAGTGAGTCCTTTCCCTCGTTTCCCCTCTGATGTACTTGTTTCGGTGTTGACTTTGGCGCGTTCGGTAGACCTGAGGTCGCCACCCCGCTGGCTGGTAAAAACAAGCCTCCGGGACCGCGTATGACGAGCATGCAGTCCATCGACAGACTCCATAAGCCGTTTAAATGTCCTGGTGCTGCACGAGCATCTCCGCTTGCTGACAGACCTGCTCGGAAGCGGCGGAAGGTTAATTACAAAGGCGCCGATGGCGATGCCGATGTTGACAAGCCATACACCAACGATGATAGATTGGCTCTTGCAACCCGAGACGCAAACCGCTTCCCGGTTTTCCAACCTAAAAGCAAGGATTTTGTATTCCGAAAAGCCTTTTCTATACCGATGAAAGACAAGGAAAATGTGCTTCTTAACTCCAATCGACCACCTCCCACTCTGGGGCTCAGACAGGGCGCTGTCTTCGTGGCAAAACCACTTCATGATCCAAGTGGCGAGTTTGCCATTGTGCTCTACGATCCGACCATCGACGATAAACCGATATCACCCCCGAAAGAGGCAGAGCCTAAAAAGATTGAAGAGGAGAAGAAGATCGATGCCCCATTAGTGCACAAGAGCTTGGCCGAGATTTTGGGAATCCGAAAGCAGGTGGATAAGGAGCATCCCAAGGTTCCCGTCGTTCTTGATCCAAAGCTAGCCAAGATTCTTCGTCCTCATCAGGTGGAGGGAGTGAAGTTCATGTACCAGTGTGTGACTGGTAAAGTGGACGAGAATGCCAATGGGTGCATTATGGCAGACGAGATGGGTCTCGGAAAGACACTGCAATGCATCACTCTCTTATGGACATTGCTCAAGCAATCACCGGAAGCCGGCAAGTCCACTGTTCAGAAAGCCATTGTGGTCTGCCCTGCAAGTCTGGTAAAGAATTGGGCAAACGAATTGACAAAGTGGTTGGGTGCTAATGCCATTACGCCCTTTGCAATCGACGGAAAAGCTTCAAAAGAGGAGTTGACCAGACAGCTCCGGCAGTGGGCAATTGCGAGTGGTCGCGCCGTCACGCGACCTGTCATCATTGTATCATACGAAACACTTCGCCTGAATGTGGAAGAGTTGAAGCACACTAAAATCGGGCTGCTCTTCTGTGACGAAGGTCATCGTTTAAAGAATGGAGACAGCAACACCTTTTCGAGTCTGAATAGTCTCAATGTCACGCGACGAGTTATCCTGACAGGAACTCCGATTCAAAATGACCTGACAGAGTATTTTTCTCTGATCAGCTTCGCCAATCCTGGACTTCTTGGTTCACGCCTTGAGTTCCGGAAGCGATATGAGCTGCCTATCTTGCGAGGTCGCGACGCAGATGCCTCCGAAGCCGATCGCAAGCGTGGTGATGAGTGTACTACAGAGCTCTTGAGCACTGTTAATAAGTTCCTGATCAGGCGGACAAATGACATTCTCTCGAAATACCTGCCTGTCAAGTATGAGCATGTTGTGTTCTGTGGCTTGGCCCCGTTTCAGCTCGACCTATACAACTATTTTATTAAAAGTCCAGACATCCAAGCACTCCTGCGAGGGAAAGGCAGTCAGCCCCTCAAAGCCATCAATATTCTGAAGAAACTGTGCAATCATCCAGATTTGCTTAATCCTTCCGAGGATCTTCCAGGCTCAGAAAAATGCTTCCCGGACGATTATGTACCGAAAGACGCTCGTGGTCGAGACCGAGAAGTAAAGTCCTGGTACTCGGGGAAGATGCAAGTTCTTGACAGGATGCTGGCTCGGATCCACCAGGACACCAACGACAAGATCGTTCTCATCAGTAATTATACTTCCACTCTCGATCTCTTTGAACGTTTATGTCGGTGCCGAGGATATGGAAATCTTCGTCTTGATGGATCGATGAATGTGAACAAGCGACAAAAGCTTGTGGATAAGTTCAATGATCCCGAAGGCTCGGAATTTGTTTTTCTTCTGAGTAGCAAGGCTGGTGGCTGTGGTATCAACCTCATTGGTGCAAACCGTCTGGTGCTGTTCGATCCTGATTGGAACCCTGCTGCTGATCAACAGGCTCTGGCCCGTGTCTGGCGTGATGGACAGAAAAAGGATTGCTTCGTTTACCGCTTCATCGCCACTGGGACGATTGAAGAAAAGATCTTCCAGCGCCAATCGCACAAACAAAGTCTGTCAACTTGTCTTGTCGACTCTATGGAGGATGTCGAGCGGCATTTCTCCCTCGATAGTCTCCGTGAACTGTTTCAATACAGGCCGAACACGACTAGCGACACCCATGACACTTTCAAGTGCAAGCGATGCAAGCCTGACGGGAAACAATACATCAAGGCACCAGCAATGCTGTACGGAGATACTAGCACGTGGAACCACTTCGTCAACGACGGACTCAAAAATATCCAAGATTTGTTGCTCAGACAGGAGCATGACGACGCAATTGTCTCAGCGGTTTTCCAATACATATCGCACTAAGTTTTGTTAGGAATTCATGAAGACACGACCAAAGATCATTGTTATAAATAGAAGGCGTTCCCAACACTCTCTTGTTATTATTTACATGTCGCGGATTTCTTTTTAGGTCAATGGAGGGCATAGAAGAATAGTCATTGAACATTCATAGTGGGATGGTTGGGCACAGCGCACTCTGCAACTTGATTTTGACAGCCTCCGCAAGAAACGGTCTGCTTTACTCTGTAATTGTGAGCCCCTGGGAAATTCACCTTGGTCTGGAACTCTTAATAAGCGATAGATTGCACACTCAATAATAAGTATACGTGCTATGTTCCAGAGCACCGAGTTTGAAATACAGTGTTTAAAGTTTAGATATCAGATATCCGCACTGTGTCATTACCATCTATGAGATTTTCTAGTCCACCGGGATTTCAACCAGACATTCAACTGCATATAGCCCTTGAAATTCCATTGTTTCAAAGCCAAACCTCATATTTCTTTTCAAATATTCATTGATACAGCGGTACATCACCCTCACCTTGAGCATGTCTTCTCAACAGCAAACAGCCGACAAGGCGACCGAGGCCGAGTTCGCCTCGTACTACCTCCAGCGCACCACGCAGGAACTGGCCGAGGACCTGGACAAGGTGCGCAACGCGGACGACTTCAAGGCCGAATCCGTCCCGTTCCTCGTCCGGGCGCTCCAGCAAGGAGCCGTGCAGTTCTCCCCCGACGAGCAAAAACGAACCGTCTCTGCTGTGAAGCAGAAGGAGACCTGAGCGATGGGTGCTGCTTTCACCTGGTGTGGGAGACCCTTTAAGAGTTCTTCACGAAGGCGTTCAATTCGAGGGGCTTCTCGAACGGAATTCCTGGACGTCATACCTGCCTTTCAGAGAATCTTCATCACAACCTCCTGGGTCGGCTTTCCCGTCGGCGCTTTTTTCTTGCGATGCTGTCACTCGCTTACGCAGTTTACGTATCCAACTTTGAAGGGAAATTATGCGGAGGTTGTTGCATGTTAAACAAGCACTGGCCGAACTGGACGTGAAAATATTCCGATCTGAACGATGGCTGAGATGAGAATGGATATGAGTTACACATTCACGAGAGACTGAGGATATGTTTGAGTCGGTAACTGATTCGTACAGAAAAATCGCAACATTTCTTATTAATATTATTCTCGTTCATAAACAACTCCCTATGCATGCCCTCCTCATTTCTATTTGCTTTGAGAGGAGGCGTGGTATGAAGGCATTGGTCTAAGGCATGTTGTGGGTATCTCGAAATATCAAAAAGTGTCAGGGCCGTTCAGGTCGTTTCAAAAGCAACAAAAAAAAAAAAACATCAAAATCATCTCCAAAAACCAAGCGAAGTAAAGCGGTGCCCAACGTCGCTTTGTGAATCATGTTGTTTTTGTATGGGTGTGTGTTGGTCGGTTCGGGGATCAAGGAATCAGTAGAAAGCTGAGCGTCGCTCCTTGCGCTGGGCCCAACCCTTGAGCGCGAGGACGAAGATCTCCCAGGCCATTAAGACTCCCACAAGACCCATAGTCACCGTGTACATGAACATCTCCTCCATCTTGTAGTGTATCATTCCTGCGACAGTATCGCTGCTCTGTTATAGACATATTAGCACCATGCGGTCATGATGGCCACGGCAGAGGAAAATCAAACTTACACTCGCCATGAAAATAATACCTCCGGCCATCAAGCCAAACGACGCCAACAGTTCAGTTGGAGGTCGAGATGGGTAGATGGAGGTTGGGGGTCGCAAATAGATCAGGACATATGTGAGACCACGAGCAAGCGAGGCACCGAAAAGCAGGTCTCCCCATTGCTTGTGGACCATGCTGGAGAGCATGGAGGGCTGCTGGTGGGAGCTCATCATGATCCCAAGAAGCATGATAACCAGCGCCGGGATAGGATTTAGGGAGAACTTGTAAGTGGCAGGCTCGAAACTCTGTTCCCGCTCCTCATCCGATAGAGGCATAGGCTCAACTTCAATCATGGAAGTGTTGAGAAGATTGCGAATCCACGCTGATTCGATAAGCATTCCACACTAAATACCAACGATTAGCTCTACGTCGCTCCTGGAGGCCTCAATGGCTCAATGACGGAATTGAAACTTACCAGACCGCCACCAATGAACAGAACAGTAATGGCAAGATGCTCTAGGTCTTGAGCACTCCAGGCCCCGCCAGCGCCACCCAGATGCTCCATGAAGATATTTGTCGAGCCATAAAAGAAGATGAGAAAGCTTTCCGTGAACTCTGCGGTCGGTCGCCACTTCTGATGCTGCGTCCTGGGTCGGATGTTCCACGCCCATCCTACCTCAGCAAACGCCCCAGACCATCGCCCAAGCGTAAATAGGCCAAGCCAGAAGAAGATGCCTCCCTTGATCCAGTGAGCCAAACCGCTATAAACGCCGTGTCCCTCCTAGGGTTTCAGTTAGCTCGGATTCACGCACGGCGAAGAACAAGAAGAACTGGAGCAAAGGTGGGCTTACAAAGAATCTGGCGTACGCAATCATTCCAGTTGCGAAAGCGATGAAACCAAACGGAAGAATAATGCGGTCGATAATCTTGTAGACCACCTCAAAATAGGTCCAAATCCTTGTTGAAGCCATTAGCTTTGCCAGCTTCCCAAACTTTGTAGCCTTGGGAGCAGCTGGCGATGTTAAGGGCATTTCCTCAAAGTCCGCATCTTCCTCGTACTCCTTGTGGAGGTTGTCGAGGTCGTGGTCTCCGTGAATAGTTGACACAGAGTTGCTACGGAGGGACTCGGTTCCAGGTTCAGTACCTTGACCGCTGTCGTTGGAATGGCGAAATTCTCGATAGTCCTCCTCGGACACCGGGAGGAATGTAGGCTTGTGAGCTTCAGAATCAGCCCTATGGTGCGAGCCTCGTACGACTCTCGCGATACGCCCGACCAGGCCGATGAGAACCTGGGCGGATACCACCCAAGTGATGATCCAACCAATAGAATGGTGTGCATTTCCAGGATACAGATCAGGCGTGGAGGCGTTGTAGATGGTGCTCAGAAGAACACCGACGGCATTTGTAGCCAAGAATACAAATTGCGTGTAAATGGTATATCGTGATGATACCAGAGAAAACATGACGGCTGCTCCTAGTCAGCATGAAATGTGTCTACATTTTTTATTCCTCCTTCTCTCGCAAGGAAGTTAAATAGGAATAGAGCTCTCTGGACTTACCGACTGGCAGTATAAAGACCCAGCCAATGGTCATTAAAGCAATATGGCCCACGATGAGACCGCGATGCTCAGGATGAGCAAAGTATGTTGGGGGATACTCCGATTCATCTTTGGGCATATCCGCTTCCACCATACTGCCATTTCCGTGCATGCCGTGACCTCCATCACCTCCATGGGCCAGAACCAAAGGGAGCGCTGCCGCTACAGCCAGCACCAGGGCTGTGCGGGAAACCAAAGGAGCGCGCATCATTTGCACGCTCGGCCTTTTATCGAGTCTATTTTATGAATATTCACCGAGGTGTAAGACGGGCAGTCAGAGTAAGTGCTGCTCACTTTGCAGAGAGAGTGGGGGAGGACAACTGGTTTCTGAGGAAGTGTCCTTGATTTGTGAAAGGAAACAAAGACAAACACCACAGGCCAAGGTCAGTCAAACTCTGGCCCACGGCAGTTGGATATCTTCCTCGTTTGGAGTTGCATTCAGCATAACAGCAGAGTCACAAGTACTCCCTGTAGGCGGCGGCAGCCGGCCTCTCTTATACGTTTACATACACTGACACATCTTGGCAGACATACATTACGCATACCAGGCCAGGGCCGGGTTGCATTAGTTCTCTTCGAGGCTAATGGGGAAAAACTGCACCCGGGAACCAGAGCGCCACCACTTGCACGGCGACTTATGTGCCGGGATCGCCCTAAGGCTGTCTCGCTCAAATCATCTCGCTCTCCGGAGCGGACCTAAATGGCAACTGGGGCTGCGGGAGCCAGGATGAGATGAGCTGAATAAGGCAGCAGCAGGCTCTGGTGTATGATGTGGTGGCCATGTCAGAAAAGAGTCACACAGTGTAGAGTAGTGAGGTGGGGAATGTTCCGAAGATTCCGGATCACAACCGCAAGATGCGGTCAAGTTGGACGAAGCAGGTGGGGATGCCTGGCCAGCCGCATGATCCCAACGAGCTGGCGGAGGGTCCGGCAATGATTCGCTAATAAGTGATGACCAGGGGTGACAAAGCTCACATTAATAATGATGGGCTCGGTAGTTGGCGGAGTCCAGCTGCCTCCTCATCATCCACACCTGGATGGAAATGTTTGGCTTGAGTTCCAACCACCAACATGCGCCCGATGCAATCCAAGGCCCCGCAAACGGCCGGCGAGGCGGCTGAGTTAGCGAGCGTCTCCGTAGGGGAAAAGCAAACATTCCTCAACTCTGGGGTGCCGGCGCGCGTACGGACATTCTGTGATGCCCGGAGCCCGCCCAGCATCATCTGATCACTCATCGGATCCCCAGCGGATCAGATTTGTTCTTGATCTCCAACAATGGGTGGGTCGGGCTGCTTGTGGGCGGGGGATGGAGGGGTGCAATTGTCTCTTTCCATCGTCTGATTCTGCTCTTCGCAGCCGTGTATAAGGCGGAACGAGATGGGCAAGGCGCAAAGCGAAAAGTACGATGGCACCATGCTCGGCCCAGGCAGGCGCGACCGTCTCGTCTAGGTAATCACGACCAGAGGTGGATAGCGGCGGCTTACCAAGGACGTCATACCTCGAGTGCGCCAGGAAGGAGCCATCATGTGTTTGTGTGCATGCGCTTTGCGCCTGGCCTGTGCAGTGGGGCCGCCTTCACAACCTAAATTGCACGATGCCGAAGCCTCCGAAACCCTCGATCAAACAGACGCAAAGGGCTTGGGGCAGGGCTCTAGCACCGCGCTGGCATTTGTGACTGTGGTGCAAGACAATCCTACCTGGAAGGGATGTTGAGGGGATACCGGGGTCCCTAGCTGAGTCTTGCCCTTCGCCGTTGCGTGCGCCGCCTACCAACGTATACGCCGTGTTGGCAGCTTGGCCGTAAAAGGCGGTCGGCCTTGGCGCCTGTGATGGAGGCACATCGACTAGTCAGGCCGGGTTCTCCCAAACTCCCATCCTCTGGATCGACTTTTGGTTCCCTCACCTCGAAGAACTGTGTGGTTGCATCCCTGTTGATGGCACACCTGTCACCCTCCCGGCCCGCAGATCACCTACTTACGTAAATCCGGAGCGGCGCAGATCCAACCACCGAAGAGCCGGGAATTGTAGCATTTTGATTTTGATTGCAGCACCTGAGCTCACCGAGCGAGAACTGTGTCTGAGCCAACCGATCTCTGCTTACGTAGCTATACTAGCTTTCATAGCCTTATTATCACCTACAATATAGATTAGCACACCTCATGTTATGCTCCCAGGCATGGCTTCACGCAGGCCCCACAGAGATCGGGATCGGTATGACTCCATGGATTCTCAGCAGCTTTTGACCCACTCAAATTCATGCCCCTCCCAGCTCCAACATACTCGGACAGCGGTCGCGGGAGCACTCTCAAGATGTGGGAATCCCTTCAAAAAAGATTCAAAGCCTGGGTATTCATCGCCGACCCAACGCGCACTTAGCTGCTTGGCAAAGTCCGAACGTTCCGGACTTAAAACAGGAAGGAATAGCTGTCTCACGAACCCGATCCTTGCAGTTGATATAAAGAATATTCTCGCCTTGTGTTTCATCTAAGCCGAGTAAAGGGCGTACCCCGACCGGCCATGGGGCTTCATAGTAGAAGAAGAAAGCTGTGGCAACGGCCAGGTGAAGCCGAGTCTCGGTGGGGCGGAGGGGAGGGTATCCAGGTGAAAGCAACCTCACCTGCGCAAGGAGTAAACATGGGTAGGGAACTCGGTCACCATGAGGCCGCCATCACCCGTAGTTCTCCGGCTCCAAGGAAACTGTCGTACGATTCACAGCTTGGGGCATAACTAACATCTACCAACCGTGTAAGTTGGCCCTCTGGTACACTGTAACTTGCTATCCTGTTGGCCGCTGTCATTGGTCTTATAGACTTGGGGAGTGTCTTGTAAGCTGCCATTGACTCTCTCCTCCCTGTTCCACCTTTCCTTCCACCTTAAGCTTCTCCAAAATCTGAACTACTCCTCCGCAGGCGGCGGGGTGGAGATCCTCCCTGACATCAGCGTAAACGACTTTGACTATTTCCATCGCAGTCCAAGCAACGCCTCCCTCATCCTTCTGCGTCCGGAGAGTCCGTACAACCTGTTCCTCTCTCTGTTTTCGATGCTCGATATACTCGACAATTTTCGAAAGACCGTCCTCCAACACGGGTCCATGACCGGGATATGCCCTCCCCTTTGTTTTGAAGATACTCCGCATCTTGTCCAAGCTTGAAAGATATACTCCCAGATTCTCAAATACAGCCGTGCCCTGACCGAGCACGTTGTCCGCCGTGAACATGGAACCTTCCTCGGCCAGCCAGAACGTCATGTGGTCGGTAGTGTGACCCGGTGTATGCGAAGCCGTCAAAGTGGCCCCTTCTGTCTCAAAGGTTTGGCCATCCTCAATGGCCAACTGATCTTTGCCCGGTTCATTCTTATAGATGCGAACACCCGGCGAGAGACCCCGGAGGTCTTCAATCCCGTTGACATGGTCATAGTGCCAGTGAGAGATAAGGGCACTCTCAACAATCGCATTCTCTTTCTCGAGTGTGGCCTTGAGGTCGTCCAGCCAGGCCCTCCGGCCCTCGCCAGTGTCAATAAGGATGCGGCGGCGGCCAGTGCCAATCAGATAGGTGTTTGTGCCTTGTAACGTAAATTTGCCCGGATTGCCCCCCAAGATGCGAATGACTCTGGGGCTGAGACGTTCAATCGCCGGTAAGGCGACTAATTGGGCGGCCATGATCTCTCGGCTGTCTTGAATACGATGAACCGGGCTATTCCCCGATCAGATTGAATCTTCCGCGACAAAGACAGTCACTTTCAAAGTAAAGGCCTTATGAATCGAGGATACAGGTATTAGTTATCAGGTCGTGGTGATTGGAAGGTGCAACAGAAAGTGGGGAGAATGTAATCAAGAAGCTGCGTGAAACATGTATGTGATTTTCTTCAATGGACCAAACTGCGCTCGAACAATTATCAAAGGGCGTTGATCAAGGATGACGGTTGGAGCCGCGACACACGGGGAGGAGAAGACGATGTCGCAATGCCTCGGCTTTTGGAGAATGATGGACTCCTCATCCTGCTAGGCTTCAGCCGTAAACGGAGGGACGATTACTACTATTCGGTACACAGCGAGTGCCACAAGCCAAATGGTACCAACCTCTGGAAATACAGAGGCCAAAATGTGCCCAGCCAGCTTTTACTCGCAGTGTGATACTGGTCCGCCTGCCCTGAGTATTCCTCTAGAGATACTTAGAAATCAACACCATGCCTACCTATGGAAATTTCATCAGTGAACCCATCAAGTACTTCCGAGGCTTGACTGCTGGGCGTCGCCTAAAAGGCTAAGACACAGGGTGCACCTTCTCGTCGGCTTACCTAACATGCATCCACTGAAACCGGACCCTTTGCGCATGCCGCGATAAGCTTTTTAGGGAGCGCAAAAGGTCAGATAAGAGCCTCTAGCGGCGGCGGATGGGTCTTATCGCGTCTTATCCAGGAGGCCAAACCAATTTATTGGCGATTAATTACGGTGTTACTGACCTGCGAAATCGAGCATCACCAACACCGTCATCGCATCATTCCCTGCGACTTGCTCCCCGACCAGCCGTTGGTCTCACCTTCGCTTCACCAGGCCCAATTGCTCTACAGAGTCCGCCGTTTGAGCTCACTTTTGGCTATTCTGCAAACTTCCATTGTCGCTGCAGCTCTTTCGCTTCTTTCATATTATTTTTGTCCCTTTCCCGATTCGCGCTATTGTCTGTCTGCGTGTTGCACTTTAAACCCCCTCCACCCCCCAAGGTGAGCTGACCCAAGATCGACATGATCAATCCCAGAGCTTGGTTTACAGATACAATCCGCAGACCAGTTAAGATTTATATCTACAAGACAATAACCGTTCTTGGTTCGTCGAGATTTCCATTGCCGTGGTGCTTACCCAATCCAGTGCCAGTATTTACTAACAGTGTCACATTGATCGCAGTTCGACGCACGAGACCTGCCAAGTGCCCAAACTTTATTACTCAGGCCGGAGGAGAGTCTACGGTACTCTTGCCTTTTTACGATCCCATTTAAACTCGGACATCAAGATTGACAGACCGCCGACACGACTTGAGACGGAGAACCAACCGATTTACAGCCCTACATCGCCTTCATTCAGCAAGGCTCTAATCTTAACTCACCAAGCTACTTCCGCGACATACCATATCAAGACAGGCGCTTGTGTACATACTTTCCGAAGAGAAGCGGCGTCTCTATTATACAATTCAAATAATACCGGCGGAATCGTAATTAATAGACGGCCTCAAAGACCGCAATCATGGCTGCGCGACCCGTTACTCCGGCTTCACCTAAGAATGTTAAGGTCAAAACGCCAGCCCCGGGTACGCCCATGTACGGCTGCGGTATGCGGATTCCAGTCTACGTCTTGGATAGCTCGATTTCTTTTGCTGACCCAACTGGTCTGCACTTCAGAGCATGTGCAGCGCCTGTTAACACAGGGCCAAGAAGTGATGAACAGCTCTATCTCTCACTACAAAATGATCCTACGAGGGATCTTCGATACGAGTCCCGTCGTCGCGCAGACAACGAGCAAAGATGGTCGTCCCGTTACCTCAATAACCTCAAATTTTCTCTGCCTCCAGTGTCCGACTACCCTCGATGAGAGCGAACGATTGAATCATGGGTCGAAGAAGCAGCATAGATTCTGTGTGTTTTGCCTTTATGGGACTCATTTTTCCTGCAGTTGAGAACTAACTAGGATTCTCTCTCTCCAGATGTCGACTCTCGAAGCGGTTCCCTATACTGCCAAATGTGCGACGACCTCGTCTGGGATCCCACTTTTGAAGATCTGCGAATACGAAAGATGGGAACTGGTTCCTTCTCTGGTATGTTACTGAGCGGAGGCGTCGTTACTTTCTTTTCGTTGTGCAACCATGAGCTAACTGGGGCCCTGCACTCACTTTCAGGACGAAAACGAAAGCACGAAGATCTCTTCAGTGAAAATGACCTACGGCTTATTACCACAAACACCACGACGGCCTCATGTAGGGCAAATGGCCTTCGGGGCATCTATAACGCAGGCGCAACTTGCTACCAAAATGTTGTGCTGCAGAGCTTTATCCACAATCCACTTCTTCGCAATTTTTACCTGGGCGATGGGCATCATGATTGCAGCACACAGAACTGCCTTAGCTGTGCAATGGACGACATGTTCCAGGATTTCTATGCCCATGAGACTACTAACGGGTTCACGGCAGCCAGTATCCTATCAGCGTTTTGGATCTCAGAGAAAAAAGCATTCGAAAATCTCGTGACCACAAAGGAGCAGGATGCTCATGAGTTCTTCCAGTTCCTTGCAGAGGAACTTCATGAGCGCAACGGCGATGGGAAGAAGCCAGAAGATGGCAGTGAGCATAACTGTGAATGTGTTATTCATCAGACGTTCTATGGCAAAATGCAAACAGCCACTACCTGCCAGAACTGCTTAAGTACCTCAAATGCCGTACAGTCATTCTTAGACTTGAGCTTAGGCCTGGATAACATGAACCAAAAGCGAAAGAAGAAGAGTCAACTCCCACGGCCAATCAATCTCATGGATTGTTTAGATGAGGAGTACCTCAACTCAGACAAATGCGAATATCGCTGCCATGGCTGCAACTCAACTCAGCAGGCACGGCGACAGACCAGCATTAAGCGCCTGCCCAATGTCTTGTCTATTCAACTCAAGGTGAAGACCCTTGCTTGTAATATCCTCCATAGCCCCTCGCTAACCCAGCAGTAAATAGCGGTTTGAGTTCAAACAGGGCGGACGCGACCGAGCCGCCTCAAAGATTGATGACCACGTCCAGTTCCCTCTACAGCTCAATATGCTTCCCTACACCCATCAATCCCGTGGTCGTGAGGGCAAGGAGAGCAAAGAGCTCGAGCGGTCCTGCATATATGACCTACTGAGTGTGGTCGTACATGTTGGAGAACTTGACACCGGCCATTACATGTCATACTGTCGGGTTGGGGACCAGGTAAGGCTACACCCAAAGTGCCAGGTCCAGTTTGAGGCACCTCGCTAATATATTCCCCCGGTAGTGGTTTCGATTCAATGACCACAAGGTCGAGATGGCCACCATATCTGATGTGCTAGGTGCCAAAGCATACATCCTCTTCTATATCATTCGAACCATCAGTTGATTCTCAGCAACCAAGTCGGCTACCAATGTAGTCGCGGACGGTGGCCAGCACTATCCACAATATTTCAAGGCAAGGAGACCTGGGAATGGCGATTGGATGCTTGCCTCGACGGTGAACCCTCAAAAAGAATAATTGCTTTCCGCGCTCCTAACCCATATACTTCCTCTGTACACGCGCCCAGCGAATATGAATAAAACAACCAGATAGTAACTCACGAAAACTAGAGGACGGCTGGATAGCGATCAATTACAAAAACCAACCTAACGAACAAAATTCAATCATCATGGGGCCAACTGGGTCGTGTCCTTGTTAAATGTAAAACTTGCTTGAACCATCTTGAGTACAAGATATAACTCAACTTTTTGCGCAACGTGTAATGTGATAGGCTTTTTTTTTATTCGCACCCCCTTCGCATTCTACGAGATAAAAGGAAAGGGAAAAATAAAAGGACTGTACAATTGCCTCTGAACACGCAGATTCTAATCTATGCGGCTCAATATACACGCCGACTCGCCCGATTGGTGAGCAAGAACCAAACCTCTTTCCAACCCCACCAGTTTACAGCTCATCAAGAACGTGGATATACTTCTTGTCTTCTCTCTTCTCCTTCTCCGTTGCCGGTGGCAGGTCGTAGTAGTTCTGACTACGGTATCCTTGCTGTTTGGGATATTAGTATGCGAATTAGAGAATAAGAGTTTTCGATGGGGCTTACCAGGTAATGGTAGGTGAAGTTGGCAATGTCACCGGGCTCAATGCCCAGATCCTTGAAGGTCTTGGCCTCCGGGTCGATGTGCTGATCCAGGAACTCACGCTCCACCTCATCGGCGGTGATGGTTCTGAAGTAGAGGAACTGGTTGAGCAGCTTGGCGATGGGTTTCAGGACAGCCTTGGGGACGTTGATGTGGCGACGTTGCTTGTAGATTTCCTTGTCAACCATCTCGGCGATCTCACCCATGCTGTACTTCTTGGGGCCGTAGAGCTCGAAGGTCTGACCAGCGGTTGAGTCATCATAGAGGATCTTCTCCAGAGCAATACCAACATCAATGGACTGGAACGCAAATTAGCTAGTGATTGAGACAGTTGGAGATCCGGGTCCTCTTCAACATACGTGAACTGGCCAGAACTGCTCCTGCAGGTGGTTTGAGGTGACAAGGTTGAGAGCGGAAGCAAGCTTCAGGAGAAGGTTGTCCTCAAAACCGAAGATTGGCGCAGGTCGCACGAGTGTGGTTTCTGGGAAGATGCTCCTGGCAACTTGCTCTCCACGTCCCTATTACAGAATTCAGCACACGTTTATCCCAATAAACACCACTCAGATATACCTTGGTGGCGAAGAATTCGCTGGGTGAATTAGGGTCGGCATTGTGAGACGATACGTGGATGTAACGGTCGACATCGTACTTGGCGACAGCCTCGGCAATTCTCTCGGTACCCTCAACGTGGACGTCCTCCAAGGTGAAGTTCCTAGCCCGCTATTAGCCCAATCCATGCCCTTCGATGCCCAGGTAAAACTCACTTGGTCGGGTAGTCTCGGCCAACCAAGTTATAAACGACGTCGGAGTGCCTCACGCTGGCTTCGATAGAGGGGGTATTTCGGAGGTCGTATTCCTAGTTGGTGTGAGCATCAGGTGTCCAGGCGCGGGAGAACACGGGGAGCAACGAACGATGAAGTTCACACGACCAAGATCACCGGTGACCTTGAGGTGACGCTTCGTCATTTCCTCACGGAAGGGGACAATGACGGTGCATCCTTGGCGAGCTACATCCTCCGTATCAGCCTCAATCCTCATATTCCTCCTTGAATTCGGCAGAACACACCCAGTCTGTTGACAATGTATCGACCCAGTTGTCCGGTTGCGCCAAATACTGTCGCAGTGTGGCCTAGGAAGGGTGTCAGCGGCGTCATGGGAGAAAAAATCGCGATATCGAACCTCCGAGCGAGTGTCTAAATGCATTGATACGTCAGCAATTGAGTCATTCCATCAATTGGTGAGAGAGCTGCCTACCGTCCACCCTCAGTTCGCAGAATGGGCTTGCCGGTCCGGGTAATGGTGATATCGGACAGGAATCGCTTTCCCGCGACGCTACGGGTTGCCTGGCAGGCTCTCCGCGTCGCAGTGAGAGAGGTAGCCATTCTTGTTATACGGATTGAGCACAGCCAAGAACGGTGTTTGGTCCTCCCAATTGGGGTTCGTCGTGATGATGGATCCTATCCTTGAAGCCGAGCTTCAACTTGGAATCTACAGATCACGTGACGCTCATCTGCACCACTGAGCAGCTCTCGATTGCCAATGGAGCTCCAGGCCAAAAATCGCTGGACACCTCCCAGATAAATTGCATTACGTAAGCAGAAAATATACAAGATACTTGGGTACGTACCGTGTTTGGCGAAAATGTCCGTGCTCGGATCGAAGAGCAAGCTGCATCAGCACCAGGCTGCCTTGTGTGATGGACCTGCCTGTACGTATCTTCCAATCGCGGCTGCAAGCTTCCATTTCGACGGATTGCCCAACGAACCAACAACTTCGACCTCAACGCCGCTGACTTGTCTTCTCCGCCCCAGCATACAACTTCTCAGCTTGCTATCTTTCTAATTAGACCAAGAGGGGGAATAATACAGCGGCAAACCGCTGGCAACAGCTTCCAGCTAATACGGACTCCATCCCACCAACCTCCAATCTAACCTCACAATGAACGTCGAAACCATCTCCGATTTCCTCGCCGATGAGCGATCAGAGGCTCCCGAGGAGCTCCAGCCCCTCATCCTCGACTTCGAGAACTTCTGGGAGCGTAAGCTCTGGCACCAGCTCACCGATGCCCTCGTTAAGTTCTTCAGCCACCCGGGCAGTGCTCCGCAGCGCCTATCCTTCTACAAGGTCTTCATCTTGAAGTTCGCCGATAAGATCAACCAGCTCAAGCTAGTAGAGCTTGCGCTCAAGGCCGCCACTCAGTGCCAAAACGACGAGGAGCGCCTCACCTTCCTCCAGTCCGTCGTCAAGAAGGTGGATACCGAAGACTCACAAGATGCTTTCGTCTACGCATCCGTAGCTGTGGCCCGGGTTAAGCTGAGCTTGGGAGACCTGGATGGTGCCAGAAAGGACTTGGATGTATCAGAGAGGAAACTCGACTCGTTCGACTCGGTTGAGGCGATCGTGCATGCCGCCTTTTATGATGCTAGTGCAAGCTATTATCAGGTACGTCATTTCATTGCCCTTGTCTTGCGAACGTGTAATCCGGAAGCTAACCCATGATCCCCCCTGGCAGCGTAAGATGGACTTTTCCAACTACTACCGCACAGCTCTGCTCTACCTCGCGTGCATCGACCTCGACTCCATCTCTGAGAGTGAACGCGGTAAGAGGGCGTACTTCCTCAGCGTGGCGGCGCTGGCCTCCACCAGCATCTACAACTTTGGAGAGCTGCTGCTGCACCCCATCCTTGATATCCTCAAGGAAAACGAAGACGTGTCGTGGCTGCGCGACCTCCTCTTTGCCTTTAACCGGGGCGATTTGGCTGCCTTTGACGTACTGTCCGACCACATCTCTGAAAACCGTCTCCTCGCCGAGCACTCTGACCACCTCCGCCAAAAGCTTTACCTTTCTGCCCTTACAGAGGCCATCTTCCGCCGGCCACCCCATGACCGCACTATGTCCTTTGCCACAATTTCCCGAGAGACCAAGGTCCGTCCACAAGAGATTGAGCATCTCATCATGAAGGCTCTCAGCCTCGGACTGGTCCGTGGCACAATCGACCAGGTAGACGAGGTTGCTCACATCACATGGGTCCAGCCCAAGGTTCTGGACATGAAGCAAGTCGGCGCCCTGCGCCAGCGACTGCTTGACTGGGATTCGAGCGTCAACCAGCTCGGCAACTGGATCGAGGGAGCAGGAAAGGACGTCTGGGCAGCATAGAAATAGAATTTTATGTCATGGATAGAGCCATACACGCACCAAGCCACACCAGAATCAGGTGTGATGCGTGCTCGGCTGTACAAGTTAAAGTAATGACGGGGAAAATAGAGTTCCCCGCGTTTACGACACAAGGAAATAAAAAAATAAACGAATCACGCTGAATACGGAATTCCAGTTTGTGGTTGGATGTGCGCACACAGTGACCTATTGAATATGATTTTTCTTCCAATTAACTACCTAAACCCTCACTAAGATTACCATGAACGCTCGCTTCTATGCGGCCGCAAACCCCAGAACGTTGACCGTCCCTACAGTCCAGGCCGGCCACCACACGCCCCAGATGGCGACGGGGGTGTACACTCCGAGGACGTTCCACCCAAAGCTGGCGTCCCTAAGCAGGTCCCCGACGTCGGCGCCAGCGGTCATCGCGGCCGTGTACGCGATGGTCGGGGGAGCAATGAGGCTCAGCAAGGCGGCGAAGGCCCACCTCAGGGGCTGGGACTTGGTCGGCTGGACGAAGGACAGGGGGGTGGCGAGGAGGCCGATGATGAAGGAGAGGGAGAAGTTGAGCGTGGCCAGCGTGGAGAGGGACAGGCCGAGGACGAGGAGGGAGAAGGACTTGGTGAGCTGGGATTGCTGCACGGTCGGCTTGTAGAAGGATGTCAGGAGGTGGGAGACTATCAGGGGGAGTACGATGGAGATGCCGGAGAAGATGGCAAATGCATGTGGGAGGGCCTGTATATTCAGCAAGTTAGTCGGGACATGGCTCGAGGAGAGGTTGTGGGATGTTAAGACTTACGTCGCCTGGCAGACGGCTGAAGATGAAGAGGGGGATCATGCCAAGAGCATGGCTCCCCGCGACGATGGCCGCAGGAAGGAGCATGTCCCTCTCCACAGTGTTGGAGGTGTCGAGTGCGGTGGTCTTCTCCTTGGAGTTGGCGCCCTCACTTTCAGGAGCTTGGCCGCTCTTCACCCACAGGAATATTGCCATGATGGTGAAGTTGGCGGCCAACAGCATGGCACTCGGGAGATAGGTTCCAATGCTGACAAACCGATCTCTGCTCATCAGTAGATAGAAGAAGAAACTCTGGTGCAAGTGTTCAAGCAGGTTGTTCAAACTTCGGAACGATCCCTCAATGACGCGGCCCATTGCCATCTCATCCTGGTGGCCCATTCCCCAGGGCTGCAAGGTGACGGCGTCGACGTGGTATGGGATGAAGGAGCTGTGTGCACCGGCGACATTGCCGAGTCCCTGGCTGAGCATACCACGGAACATGGTCTTGAGGCGGTCCTGGTATGAGTTTTGGTGGTTATACTGGCCCTGGATGAAGCTGGGAATGCCCATCTGGTTGCCAGCAATCCAGCCAACCGCATTGATAAGATCCAGGTTGGGCAGCTGGCCATTGACGCCATCGTAGATGATGTGCAGGGTTGAGAAATGATGGTCCGAGGGGTAGTCGATGGCCAAGGCGCCCTGCAAAGCTCCAGACTTGAGAGGCAAGGGAGACACGTGCCTCGGGTCATGAGCGTCGTGGTACGCATCAACCCAAGCCTGTGTACCGACCTTTGGCTCCGGAGGGAAGAGAAGGATGATATCCTTGGACCATAGTGACCAGCCTAGACGACGGGTTAGTCAATGGCTGAGAGCTCCCTGAGTAAGGAATGAGGAGGGTCGTGGATTCAACTCACGTTTGAAATACCGAGCCAGTGTCAGCGAAAGAGCCACGCCCACGCGGTTCTCGCTGCCGTCAATAGTCTTCCAGGGACAGACGAGAACAATGGCCTCGGTCGCATCACCCCGAGGAGCTTGCAGGATACCATATACGTTCTCGCCCGAGTGAGCCCCCCCAGCCGCGCCGTACGTGTAGCTCTGGCGGCCAACCTTGACACCAAAACCCTTGAGAATCTCCTCGATGCTGTTGTTTATCCTGCAACCTTGGTCAGAGACAACCCATGTAAATTGATTAAGCAACCCAAGCATCTGCCACTCACTCGTGGGTATCCTTGCCGCTAAGGGCTGCCACCTCTTCCTTGTAAGCCCGGAAGACATGCTGTTCGCTACCTCCAAAGTACGTGTGGACCTGGCCAGGGAGCAGAGCATTTTCGGATATGTAGGTTCGTCGGGAATATTCGTCGAGCGGGAGGACCAGGAGCCAGATGAGGCCGATGAGGATGCAGGCAAAGGACAGGTAAGGGGGGGCTTTGAGCATGCGAGGATCGCGACGCAGCGACAAGGCCGAGGCTGCGTAGTAGAGAAATTGTCAGTCCGAGAAAAAAGGGAAATTGAAATATTCACAGTCAATCGTGTGGGAAACACTCACAAAGTAACCGCGACATGTTGGCAGGGAGTGCGCCGCTGGGTTGATTGCTCCTGGACCGTTGGTGCTGTGGCAGCTGTCAGACTCTGGGTAACGTAGCTGTTGCTCTATCCGCGTTGGAGCGTGTTAATCAGGTACATTCCCCTGCTCCACCTTAAGAGAGCTGCCCCACCATATGACGCTCTGAGAGAGAACTATAGAATCAATAGACACTGTTTGCTATCGGCAATATTTGAATATTCACAGTAATTGCGGTGGAAATAATAAAGATTGGCCACACGGAGATATGCAATTGGTGTTTCTGCCAATACTCAGCAGCGTTCATATTCAATCCTCCATCATCAACGACACCACAGAGCTATTACAGGGATACCGAGGCCGTCCTCGTATACAACAGACAGAGTATGCTTGCCTATTCATCCTCCATATTACATCCTCGAATATTGCCTGGCTCCATTATCGATTAAAAACAGACGCCACATAAATCTTCCTCTTAAAGGCGGTAAATACATCAACCAAGCCAGCATAACCTTCTACCCTCGTGGAAACCATGTAGACAGCCAGATCGTAATTTTCGCCATGCCCTCGAGGTTAGCTGTGCGCCCAAAACTCCAAATCATATGCAAAAATCGGCCTTGTCCCCACCCCGAAATGCAGCACTGCCGCTCACTCTATCGTACATGCTTCCTGCGCTTCGTGAATCGCTTGCTGGTACGGAATTTAAAATGGGCCATGGGGAGTTACTGCGACGAGGCGTTCATGGACCAAGGCGCTGGGTGCTTCCAACAAGCTCTGTTGCGGGGCTTCCGCCAGGACGGCTGTTGGATGGCAAAACACCAAAACGCCCATATGTCTTCTGGTCAACGCTCACATAGTGTGGCAGGATGGCGAGGAGGTTGAGGCGGGACTCCACTGCTCGTAGGATACCTTCAGGAGGGGTCAGGTACTTAACATACCCCAATCCAGCTGCCAGGGAGGGATAAGTGGTTAGTCAAAAGTTCATGAGCCGGCCGGTCAGAAATTGGATAATGCTTACCGAAGTAGCCAATGGCAATGCCGCACAGATGGCCAAGAAGACTCGTGCTGGGCATCAACACAGCAATGACAAAAACCATCAACAACGGAGTCGTCCAGGTGGGAATATGGTGTGTCCCGATCACCAGATAGGGGTTGGTTTTATAAGTCTTGATCGCCTCCATTCCCAACAGCAAAAACACCCAGATACTGTTCCCGCCTAGTTAGCACCAACACAACACCTGCGGGGACTTCCGGAATATCCCATACCTTGCTCCCATGACAGCATTGTTCGATCGGAGAATCAATGATTCGAAAAAGAGGTAGAGCAGCCCAGGGAACGATGTCAGTGCTGGATTCATGTAAGCAAATGGCCCTCCAATGTAAATATCAACGAGCTCTTCTTACGTCCAAAGAACAGCGCGACGGTGTTCAGCGTTCCATATTCGTATTCGAACCTCTCCAACAGAGGGGCGAGTGCAATGACATTCAGCGCCGCATGGAAGACATTAAGATGGATCAACGGATAGGTCGTGAGCCGGTGAGCTAGATAAAGCATGGAAATGTTAGCTATTTCGACTCGAACCGAAACATCCTGGGCGAACATCGCGCTGCGTTCCACACATACCAGCCAACAAGGACACCTCAGAGGGTATCAGAGACCCCCATTTTCGCAGATCCCATACTGTCTGCAACCCCAGCGCCCACAAGAGCACAATGAGGATAAGAGCAAACCTTGTGAAGAGCGGGAGGCGAAATAGGTAAGATCGAATGCGAACCGTGTTGATGGTCCGGATATTGGGCATTGCTGCTCGTGAATGCGCGCGCCTGGCTCGGGCCTGCCGGGAACGTCGCTATAGAACCCCTGAGGTGGCCTCGGGAAATGGGAAGGAAATCCTGCGATTTCTAGTTGATGTCGACACAGAACTAGGCGCCTCTCCTATATCATGGCGAGGTCAAAAATTATATGTTTGCGACAGGTAGAGTCTTGCTGGAGTCGTTAAACACGACTTTCTTGACTCTTGATCTCCATAAGAACTGGACAGGTAGTCAACCTATCAAGACAAAGTTTGGTTGGGATCAGAACCAGGGGGTCTTATCACCACGTGACTTTGCTCATGCAGGTACAGCCCACTGCTCCTCATTGCGATGATGTAACTTGGCCAAAGCCGATTAGTAATCGGGGGTCTTTGGTGGTTTCGGGCCCTTTTCTGGAAGAGTTGAAGGTAGAAATTCATATGAATCAATGAATAAAGAGGTTGGATGGAGATAATGTCTACGGAATGAAGTGTTCATGCATTCTACGTGAGTTGCACTTACCGCCGATGAAATTACCCAGAGAAAAACAGTATGGGGAGACAATGACCACACATTGGTGCGTCAATAATTCAGATACCTACCTCACATTTCACTCACGCACAACGATAAGGCCAGGTTATGTAATTTTAAAAATGTTTAACGTGTTTTTGAAATTTTGTACAGACTAGGAAATCATAGCGCCTACCAAGAACCATGGAGCCATAAGAATAGCCAAGCTCAAACCAAATACAGGCAACCGCTTTCCCCATCTTCTCAATAAAACCCAAAGCATGTAGGATATAGTTGCGCCATTCCACCACCATCACCACCACCACTATGCCATACGACCTCACATTTTCATCAATCGTATCTAACTTTTATATTTATGATCGGGAGGCCTTGGCCATGGTGTTGAGGGCACTGCCGTTCTTGAACCACTCAAGTTGGGGCTCGTTGAAGGTGTGGGACAGCTTGACCTCGAAAGGAGCGCTGCCGTCGGCGGGGTGAACGATCATGGGGAGAGGCTTGCCAACTTCGAGCTGGGTGGCGAGGATGTCGACCTAGTTCCAAATGTTAGTCTTCAATGCCTCACTTTGTTCTTCAGATATGGGCGCAAACTTACCCTGTCCTCAGGTCGGATCTTGTCGTAGTCAGCGGGGTCGGAGAAGGTGAGAGGAAGCATACCCTGCTTCTTCAGGTTGGTCTCGTGGATACGAGCGAAAGATCGGGTAATGATAGCGAGACCACCAAGGTGACGGGGTTCGAGAGCAGCGTGCTCACGAGAAGAACCCTCACCGTAGTTCCAGTCACCAATGACAACCCACTTGATGCCCTTGGCCTTGTAGTCACGGGCGACAGCGGGAACAGCACCCCACTCGCCAGTGCTGTAGTTCTTGATCTCGTTGGCCTTGCCGTTGGCCTCGTTAGTGGCACCGATCAACATGTTGTTGGAGATGTTGTCCAGGTGACCACGGTACTTCAACCAGGGACCAGCCATGGAGATGTGATCAGTGGTGGTCTTGCCCTGGGCCTTGATGAGGATAGGCAGGTTCTTGGCGTCCTTGCCATCCCAAGCATCGAAGGGGGAGAGGATCTGAAGACGGTCGGAGGTGGGCGAGACAGCAACGGTGACAGCAGAGCGGTCCTTGGGGGGAGCCTGGTAGGTGTCATTGCCAGGGTCGTAACCCCTGCTGGGGAGACCATCGCCAGTGGGAGGCTTGAGCATGAACTCGTTGCCATCCTTGTCCTTAAGCTTGTCGGTCAAGGGGTTGAAGTGCAGGGAGCCGGCAATGGTGAGGGCAACGACCATGTCAGGGGAGGCGACGAAAGAGTGGGTGGCGGGGTTGCCATCATTTCGGCCGGTGAAGTTACGGTTGTAGGACGAGATGATAGAGTTAGCGGTGCCCTTGGGGACATCGCGACGGTCCCACTGACCAATGCAGGGACCGCAGGCGTTGGCAAGAACCATACCGCCGAACTCCTCGAAGGTCTTGAGCTGACCGTCACGCTCAACGGTGGCACGAATCTGCTCAGAGCCGGGGGTGACAGTGAAGCCAGACTTGGCCTTGAGACCGTGGTCGAGAGCGTCACGGGCAATGGAGGCAGCACGGGACATGTCCTCGTAAGAGGAGTTGGTGCAGGATCCGATCAGACCAACCTTGAGCTCCTCAGGCCAGCCATTGTCCTTGACGGCTTGGCTGAACTTGGAGATGGGAGTACCCAGATCGGGGGTGAAGGGACCGTTGATATGAGGCTCGAGCTCAGACAAGTTGATCTCGATCAGCTGGTCGTACTCAGCACCCTCGTCGGCGCGGAGCTCCTTGGAGTAAGCGCGAGCAAAGTCACCAATGTCCTTGCGCTTGGTAGCGGCAAGGTAGTCATACATTCCCTGGTTGAAGTTGAACAGAGAGGTGGTGGCACCAATCTCAGCACCCATGTTGCAAATGGTAGCCTGACCAGTTGCGCTCAGGGTCTCAGTTCCGGGACCGTGGTACTCAACAATGGCGCCAGTACCACCCTTGACAGTGAGGATATCAGCGACCTTGAGAATAATATCCTTGGGAGTAGTCCAACCAGACATCTGGCCAGTCAGCTTGACACCGATGACCTTGGGGGCCTTCAGCTCCCAGGGCAGGTTGGCCATGACGTCAACGGCATCAGCACCACCGACACCAATGGCAGCCATACCGAGACCACCACCGTTGGGGGTGTGGGAGTCAGTACCGATGAGAAGACCACCGGGGAAAGCATAGTTCTCAAGGATAATCTGGTGGATGATACCAGAGCCGGGGCGCCAGAAACCAATGTTGTACTTGGCACAAGCAGTAGCCAGGAAGTCGTAGACCTCCTTGTTGATGTCGATAGCACGGGCAAGATCCTTCTCACCACCAACCTGGGCCTCAATCAAGTGGTCACAGTGGACAGTGGAGGGGTTAGCGACGGCATCCATACCAGCAGACATGAACTGCAGGATAGCCATCTGGGCAGTGGCATCCTGGCAAGCGACACGATCAGGTCGCAGCTTGAGGTATGAGGTACCTCGCTGAATGTCCTGGCCATGAGGATCATCCAAGTGAGAGTAGAGGATCTTCTCGGCATAGGTCAGAGGGGTGTTGAGGCGGGACCGGACGATGGCGAGGTTCTCGGACATCTTCTTGTAGTTGATGTAGTTGTTATCCTCCCAGATGTTCTGGCGGACCTGCATGCGACAGTCAGACTATGTCCATGATGCTACCGGATTGTACGGCCACGAGGCAGCCGTGCAGAGCAGACGGGTCTTCTTACCTTCTTGTCCAGAGGAGAGTCGGAGACGGTGGCCATGCGTCGGATGGAGCTGGCAGCACCAACGAGGCCCCGGGCGCGGAGAGATCCGCCCAGAACCTGTCTGGTGGCAAGCATGATGGCGGTTGTCTGTGGTGCGAGGTCAATTGAGGAGGGGAGGGGAGATGGTCTGGCCAAGGGGTATCACAGAAAGAAAAGACAACTCGACATCCGCAGTGAAGAGGATGAGGACAAAGAGGGAAAAAATAAAGAGGGCAGAGGATCGAGGCACAGAGTTGTTTTTGGCCGACAAGATCCTGGGGTGGAGCCCACCAAGCTCCAGGCCGTCTGCCAAGTACGTACCGCGGTGGCTCTCCAGAAACTGGAGCACTTTGGGGTGGCCACCGTGGCTCCAGCCAACCACAGGCCTTGAGAAAATAAGCCGCAGTACCGTTTCGTCATTGTAGCCGAACCTCCTCTGAACCGGGGCCCATCGAGATCAAATGCCCTCTCTGCTCGCATCCAGGTCGAGACACCCAGACCCAGAGCCGAGGACCATGTGCACGCAGCCTGCTCGAGTTGGCCACCTTGACTCACCTGGGTCGTCTTGACTTGCCTCAGCATTCCGTCATCTGAGGAGGAGCATGCACCACCACCACCACCACCACACACAGCCCAAAGGTGGCTCCAAACCCTGCCCTGCCCTTGCGGAGTGCCCCCAATTCCACAGGCCCGAAGCACCCTGCTGCTCCCGCCCAGATGCTGCTAAATTTGCGCTACGCTGTTTGGGCAGGTTCTCTATGCGGGCAAGTTCTAGGCGGATAAGAGGTTCCACAGCCCACTGGCATGTTTCTGCTAGCGACGCACGACTCCTGCACGGCTGCTACATGACCTGTGTGCTCCTCCTTGGCCTGGTAGGTTGCGGCAGCATGTGGGGACTCCTGTTGCCGGCAAGTAAATAGCCACGGCTACATTACCAACCAAGGTACAGCCAGCATGTGAAGCCAGTCACGATGCAAAATCGTCCCTACATCCCATGACGGTTCGGCAGAGTACAGTTTATCCAGATTGGCCAATTGGGCGAGAGCATCTTGGTATCAGAGGCCCCAATTAGAATCACCTGCCGTGAAGTATTTTGTGAATGGCTACAGACCTGAACCTGCGGTTTCGGTACGCGACGGCGACCGAACCTCAACGGCGAGTTTCCGGGGTTATGGCAGTTTCTCCACGAACAGCCCGCCTTGGGGCGCCTTGTAATATTTCCCAGCTGCATATGTCCACTGAAACCCCCTGGGAAATACGATTTTGCCGCACATTCTGCAAATTTTTGCGCATTGCACCGAGCTTTGGCCTCGGTTCATCGGCGTCCGGTCGATGTTCGAGGTTGGCCCGAGTCGGCGGGGAGCCTTCGGATTCCGCTAGGAGTTACGATACGGCCTAGAAGCGGCGATACCGCCACTGCCGAACCTTGTCGGCCGAGTCAATTTGGTGCTTATTATAAGCTTACCCTGCAGCATCCGATGATCCTCAAGCTCGCATCGCAATATTGAATTCCGATGGGTAAGAAAATCGACTTTGATCACTTTCTCGGAATTTCCGCTTGTGGGCCTCTTGGTTATTGGTTTTCCTTTCCGCTTAAAAATATTGTGAAAATGGTGTATCCTCGGCCCTGGGACTCGTTCTACAACCAAGCCCTTCCATTTCACTCCCACTCCTTTTAGCTGCACGCACCAGCTATGCACTATCTCCATGAACTCCCCAATCGTGAACTCCCCTCACCTGAAGGCTGACCAACCAAGAACCTAGACTAAGTAGCGTGCAGGTGGCCTCGGAACACCCATTCCCTCCAGGGTGAGCCTTTCCCGGGAAATAATAATTCGGGTATACCCTTTTCCTGTCGCTGAGAATATATCCATGTGGGCCCGCTCGACTAGAACTTCCCTTGAATCTCTTCATTCCGGATCATCAAGCAGCCAAAGTTCCCCACTTGATGCCCAAGCAGGCCATGAGACTGCTGTGGGTTGTACCCCTGGCTAGTCCTTCGCCATTGATTCCAAGAAAGCATGAGGTTATTATTGACCGGGTGATAGGCAAATGGAGCACATGGACCCCCACTCGATCACCAAGACCAGGAATCTGGTGTACAATATTGCATTGACCAATGGCCGTCAATTGATTACAGTTGCTGATAATATACAATCTGCGATTGCCCACATCGAAGTTGATACTTGCTGAACGGCGCTACCGGAGGACAACGTCAACTAAAATACACGACTCATCAGATGTCACAAGATGCGAAGCAAGTAGACGAAAGAAGAGCAAATTGATATTGAATCTTAGCTGCCGTAACCCAACATGCGCAGGCAGCATACCTTGTGGCTGATCCTGAGCTGAACAACTCCCCGGACCTGATTATTTCCTAGATCACCTAGGGCGTACATCTTTCAACGCCGAAACCCCCAAAAACGCCCGTCCCATACCTGGGTCCCATTATCGCCGGGAATGTAAAAAGCATAAAATATGATAGTCCTTCTTACCCCTGGATAGGCTGGCGCCACCCATCCAACCCTGTCGACTTCTCCCAAACTTGGGTGTTCCTGTCAAAATCCTGGAACCACTTTTCCATTGCGCTAGTGGCCTGCGAGGAGACAGACTCTTCCGGTGGAGATCGGCTGTCATCTTCAAGAGATAGTCTCTTGTTGGCCTCGGTGTCTTTCTCATCACGCTCCTTGCGTTTCTTTTCGCGCTCAGCGAGCCATTCTTTACGGCCGGCAAGATACCTAGCACTGTGGTCCAGCTTGGCACTCTCGGGCGACAGTCCCTTGCTGGGGCGGTCAAGAGGCGGCGCGGTGAAGAACAGGACGCGGCCATTGTCATCGTGCAAAAACTGCTTTCGCAGCTCTACAGGCAGCGCATCATTGACAGGATCCAGCAGAGTGTAGACCTCTGGCGGCCGTGGAGGGTTGTACATGTTGGCGTTGGGCATAACGTTGTTGGGTGCTTGAGCCATTGGAGGTCTTTGTACTGCTGGCGGCGGTCCTTGCTGGTATTGAGGCACCATCTGATTTTGCATCACTTGGTGGTTCATGTGAGGAGATTGGACGAAACTGGGTGCCGCCTGAGGATATGTGGGCGGTGGTTGCTGGTAGTGTATGGGTCTCATGTTTACTGGTGGAGACGGCGCGGCATGATGCGGCTGGGGGATAGGCACGGGCGTTTGCTGGATGTGAGCCATGCCGGCCCCAGCAGGCGTGGCAGGCCGGAATTGAGACGTCATGTGTACTGGAAACTGGTGATGTGACGATGGTGATGGAACTGCATGAGCGAACGCCTGATGATGGCCACGGAATCCTTGGTAATCACCAGGGAAGGGTACTGCAGAAAACGTGGCAGATTGCCGCCTGGCAGCGTCAATAGGATTCTCTGTTACGAGAGGTGCAGGCACAGCAGAGGGTATAGGCTCAGGTGGCGGCGAATCCTGTTTATGGCCCTATTAGTATTTTGGGTTACGACGTTGAGATGCTGAGGCGTTGTAGACACGGGTGTTGGGTGAGATAAGGCGAGGAAGAGAAGTTTGCGTGTTCTTGGCCTGAGGCCCCAAAAAATGCGACAAGGGGGTGTTGTGGCTGGGTGAATATAGGGTGGCTGAACTATGTTGGCAGTCGCATCTCCTGCTAATGCAGAAAAATGCTGGACGTGATAACCATGTTGCACACAGGGGAACGAGGATTTGAAGAATATTGGTTCGATGGGAGGATTTGAGTTCACTTACATTGGGCTCTCGTGGTCGGCGGTGGACGGCCCCGACGATCGGTGGTGCGTTGGGGCTTCCCCACGTTGGCTTCGGCAGGTCATCAGTCTCCTTCGCGTCTTCCCGCAGTAGGTGTTTGATTGGGCTCGGCAGTTTGCGCATTCGATATGGCGCGTCAAACAGATCCATCTCGTAATCTTTCTCTCGGACTTCATCTGGCACGCAGCTCGCCCAGGTTTTGATCTTGTTGAAGGAAAATCGCTCCTCGTTGTACCGCGACTCACACACATATACCGCCTTATCAGGAGGGAATCCCCGTGGACGACCGCGGCCAAAGCGGGTGATGAACATGACAAAGCATCGGTCGAGGACATCCTCGATCCGGTGATCTCGATATTGTCCGGTTTTGACCACTTCATGCTCAAAGAAGAACTTGTCCACTCGGTGCACGGTTTGTTCTGGTCGATAGTACCAGCATGCATTGATCCATCGCTGCCCCTCGCGATCCTGCCAGGTTCTATAGATCTGTGCAACGATAGGCTTGCCGAGATCATTGGCGTTTCGGATATGGACCCAGTCACCTGCAAGCTTATGTCAGTGATCATGCATTCAATCTGGCTGGGGTTGCCAAACTCACCAACTCTCCATTGTTCGCCGTTGTATACTATCTCAGAAAGAGGAAGCTTCCCATCTTCATCTCTAAAGTCATCATCTGGCCTAGCCTTTTCCTGCAGAGCGAGGACACGTGCTTGTAGCTGCAGCTCAACAGCTGCCTTGAAAAGTGGGCTGTCGTCTTCGTTATACAACTTGGCGTTCTCAAACATGCGCTCGATATCAACCATGGCGTGGTCAACATGCTGATACTTCTTCCGTTTCGCCTTCTTCTTGATGTGATCCATAGCAATTGGATTTAGGATTGTTTGATAATAGTCCGGTAGTGCAGTCCTGTCAGGAAGCTTTTCAAAAGGCAAGATAAGTAGAGAACCATCTTCATCCTTTGACTTTCTCAAGCCGCGCAGAATTGAAGAAATCCGGGCCTCAGTAGGGGTTAGAACTGAGGGTGGACGTCCACGCGCCTTGTGTGCGTCGTCGTCGAAGTCTTGGCGACTTGAAAATGGGCGGCCCCTACGACCCCGCCGACGCCGTCCACCATCATGATCCGAGTCATCGTCATCGTCGTCATCTTCCTCTTCATCCTCTTCCTCATCCTCGTCGTCCTCGTCTTCCTCCTCGTCGGTTTCGCCTGTGGGCGGGGGTGAATCCTCCACGGGTGGCAGCTCTCCCAGATCCGGCAGTTCTGCCTCTTCGGCCGTAATCTTGCCCTTGGCAACAAGCTCATTGAGCCTCTGTTTGAAGAGATCTCTCAGACGGACGGCGGCGCCAAAGATGGGAGCAGAGGGTCGATTGTAAACTTGCGCATTGTGGCAAATTTGAGCAACATCTCTGACAAATTCAGGGAAGGACGTGTACTGTTTTCGTAGGATTTTGCTCTATTTCCGAGACATGATTAGCTTGGTGCTCTGTTTAGACCAATGCAATGTGGTGAGATGTGATGCGCCACAAAAACCTACCCGAATTGTGCTGAAGGCAATTGGCTCCGATATCACTTCGAAGTAGTCGGGAAGCACGCGACGATTGGGGATGCGTTGGAAACCGGCTGCAAGCTCTTCGCCACTGCAAACTTGAGGTCAGAATGGAACCTGATATTCGCGATTCGTGGATGCTGCCTTACTCTTCTTCAAAGCTGCACAGGTATGTGGACACATCTTGAATCATTCGCAGGAGACCGCGACTGGGATCCTCATCCTCGTCCTCCTCTTCGTCACCTTCGTCATTGCTGTCTCCCTCAGAATCTACATCAGACGCGGGGTCGGCGCCATCGCGCATCTCCACGTCTCCATTGGCGTTGTCAGGGTCCTGGACCTTGGAAGCCTCGGCAGCTGCAGCTCGTCGTGTGGACATGATGGGCGTCGCAGTGGGAAAAGGCAGCTAAACACGGTCGCACCCAGTTTGCGCTTGCAACAGGCTGGAGCCGCCCCCTGCTAGACAATATTTGCGGGTTGGAATTGGAGTTGAACAATCGTTTGCGGATCTCGACGCGTCTGGGACAGCCGATTTGCGACTGGACGGGGGGGATGGTGGATGGTGGACGGATATGACAAGAAAGCTGGGGATCACGATGACTAAGCATCTCTGGCCCCGTAACTGGATGTGGGTGTGGGGGGAATTGAGACTCAGATCAGTGCCTCTGGTAGCTTGTGCGTCCGGCTTGAGCCTTTATTAGCATGAGCATGATGCGCAGGCGGTGGACACTCGCAGATCGAATGGTACTACAGCTGGGTATCAGACAAGCCACGCCTGCTGGTGGTAGTACTTTCTGCTCCTCTCCTATTGTATCATGTGGACACAACACCTGGGAAGGCCAAGGAATGTGATAGAAGCCAGCGCATCTGGACTTTGTGCTCTTTTTCTGCCCCTTCATTAGTCATAGATCTCAACCTGATGAAGTCGAAACTCCATTTACTTTCTCTAGATGGTTACACAAGTTGCTAGCACCGTTTTCCATTTATGCATGTCCACTGAAGTCTGGAGCACAACCTCTTACTTCCTTCCTTCCTAAACCTCAACTCTAAGGTTATTTGCCCGACCAAATCGCAGCTCCTCCCCACCTCAGAGGAAGTCACGCACCCCGGAGATTAGCGCCCTATCTGCTGGGATAGCATTCATCGCATCTTTCAATAGCTTGATTCACATCATTGTTGTTGCCTTTGCCCAGTGACAGCGTAACTCGCGCTGGCTTCTCCACTCACCCTCATTTCGGAGCCTGGGGCACAGCGTGGCAGGATCATAAGAAATTCGCCATGAGAGCTAGATATAGAGGCCCGGCAGGGAGTGGTACGCTCGAGCTTGGCGACGATGCCACTGTCCAGGCGCTATTCGACGAGCTTCGCTCAAAGTCCGGAATCACTAGCTTCTCCGTCAAGTATGGGCCTCCCATGGCAATGAAACTGCTCAACTTGGAGGAAGATGGGGACAAGCCAGCAAGGTCACTTGGGCTACACGGAGAGACATTTACGATTGTCCCAGACGAGGCGAGACCGATCTCGCCGGTGTATTCTGCAACTTCTGCGCCTTCTGCACCTGCAACCAGCAAGAAAAGCCGTCCTCCTGCTTCTAACCCTGAGGCGAGCGAGAAGCCAGAGGATATCAATGTGCCGTGGGTTGAAAAGGAAGGTACTCTATGTAGGTTTCAGGCGCACCAGGTGCATATCGGTCCACTCCTTGAAGAAGTTTGCTGACTATCTGGCTCCTATTTGCTCTGATAGTACTACGTGTCATGCCTAGCGATAACAGTTGTTTGTTCACGGCTTTTGGTGGTGCACTACCGAACCAACTGCCCGCTCACCAGCTACGGCGCATGATGGCAGAGTACATTCTAGAGCACCCGGATACCTACACCGAGGCCGTTTTGGGCTCCCCTCCTTCGCAGTACTGTCGTAGCATCCAGGATCCTGATAGATGGGGCGGTGGAATCGAGTTGAGTATTCTGTCTTCGATATTTGAGATCCAGATCTGCACATTTGATGTCCAGGTATGTGCAATGAACTTTCGGCACATGTTGGATCATTCGCTGACACGGAACATAGGCCCAGAACTTGATAAACTTTGGAGAGGACAAGCAAGAACGTTGTATTCTTTGCTTCTCCGGAGTGCACTACGACCGGGTGGCATTGTCGGTCTCGGACTATCCTCACACCAGCACATCCTACCCGCCTGAGATGGACCGGACAATATGGCCGACGACCGACGATGAGGTTCTCGAGAAAACGAAGGAACTGGTCCGAAAGCTCAACGAAGCACATTACTACACCGACACCGATGGCCTGGTGCTGAAGTGTGATGTTCCTGGGTGTAACTGGATTGGCAGCGGTCAGGCGGCTGGCAGTCAGCATGCCTCGGAGACAGGGCACTTGGAGCTTAGTGAAATCAAGGATTCGGAAGAAAATGTGCTCCGCCGTTGTGATACGAGCACCTGCGATTTCATGGGTCAAGGGGAAAAGGCAATCCGGCAGCACCGCCTTGATACTGGGCACAAGAAGTTCTCAATAATTCCCGATCGGTGATTATAGATCCATGTTTTTTTACCACCATCACGAATTTATGTAATGAAGTCTACATAATAATTCTATGAAACCTTACCATACATCAATCATCTTGACTTTTCTTCCCGTCTCTGCTAAATCACCACCTCACTATATGATGGTATCCTTTTCTTTATTATACAAGTTGACCATACCACCAACATATTTTGAATCGCACTTATCAAAGTAGTGCCCTGAGGGCCACATGAATTTTGTATGTTTGAATGCAGATGAACGATGGTTATTTCTGTTCGTCCTCGGACACTTACTCTAGCAGGCGGAGAGGTGGTAGCAACTCAACAATCCACCCTTTGCCTGCTATTAGCCAACCTGATCTAGGTCGAAGGGCTACTCTGGCTATTCTTGCGGTGTATGTGATCGATCTGAGCTAGATCCATGCTCAAGAACTCATGCTTGTTTGTCCAAATTTGTTGACTTTCAGTGAACTCATCCATCTTGTCAGGGTTGGGCGGGGGATCGGTGATCTTCGTGATCAGGTATGCCGTCGAGGCCTCAGCGATGCCGTAAATAAGCACACCGACAAGGGGGACTTTGACTAGGATATAGAAACCCAGGCCGAAACCGAAGAGAACTCCCTCGCGATTGCGGAACCACTTCTTTTTCTGCTGCTTGGTGAAGTGGATGCGTGCAAAGTAGGGCTCCAAAAGCTCGCGCATCAAGCTTCTGGAAGAGAAGTATGACTGAAGAAAGACGACTAGATAGCGCTTTGGGAGGAAAATGCCAGTTCCGAATATGACAGAAGCAGGACCGAGGCCGACAGCTTTGTTGAAGGTGTAAAAACTGGCAGCGGGGAGAACAAAGCGGCCAACGTATGGAACGTATGATAGGAGAAAGACAGCCAGAGATATCAGGCCTCTCTTGGCAAATCGAAGAACAAAATTTGTAATAGCCTCAGCTGTACTGTCAGAATGCGTGCTCCCATCTTTCACTTTGTAAGTCTTGAGATTCGGGTAGTAGAGGTCCCGTAGTTTGTCGGGCTTTTCATGCTCATGCTTCTTGACGTATGTCATATCAACCCATCTCAAAGACTTCATGAACCTTTTCAATAATACGTTAGATATTGTTTGGGGGACGAGAAAAATCTCTGAGTGAGGGAGACGTACAGATTATCCAGTGTAGGAACCATGTAACGCATGAGAGTCATGAGAAAGAAAGGAACCTGGAGGACGGATTCTTCGATAAAGTTGAAACCATGTATGACTGATTCATACCACTGGACGGATTCCGGGTTAAGGAATCGCGATAAAACCCAGAGAGATATTTTCAGGAAGAAAAACTAAATGTACATGTCAGTCATACTGTCAAGTATAATAGGTTTGATAAGCTGTGCCAGGTTACTCACAGGTAGCGACACCAGAACTCGAATTCCAATACCGACGGCAACTGCCATCGCAGCCTGTTTGTAATGATCATTTGAGAAAAGCTCTGGATTTTGTAACGCTCTATGGGCTATAATGTGAGGTTACAATATTAGTTATTGGTTGTGCGTTCTCACGAGCTTGTACTTATACATACCCCCAACTAGAGTGAGCTGCATTCCACGTAGAACGGCATTGAGATCAAAATGTGACAAATCAAAAGCTTTCTTGAGTTTTTCCTTGTCGATGTTGTCGTCAACCACTTTTTTCAACTTTTCGGTCTGCTCGTGGAGCTTGTCGCCCGAATCCCCCGCCATGATGAAGCTAGGGCGAAGCTGCTAGGTGTAAAATTGATGGTCGTTCGAAGGGAGCGGGATGTGAAGGTAGCAGTGACTCTGTGGAACAGCAGCTCAGGGATTGCTTCCCTAAAGAGCACAATGATATGCAGCGATTTACCGGGTGATGTATCCGGGATCTGTACCAGAATATATTGACGTTTGAATATGTAGGTACGAGGCGAGGTGGGTTGACAGCCACTGGTTGACGTCAGCACCTGCTGGGGACTTGCAGGCAACTAGGTAACTAGGGCGGGAGATGGGCCGACAGTTCGGGAGGGTAGTTATCTTATCGCCAAGGAAGGTCACGCGCCACAGTGGTCTGGTCTCAGCCCCTCGCTCTTTCGCCCTCAGCCACCCCTGTGCCGCGACTGTCCCCAGCTACCTATCACCGACTTGCGTGGTGCCGTCAAGCTACACGAACCTGACATCGACCGGTTCGTTTGCTCTCTCCGGACTTGGAGGCACCTGGAGTATTCAAAGCGGAAAGAAACATCCATTCATTGCCGGTGATGGAAAGGCCCACATTGACATTCTAGCCCTGTCACGATGCGCCTGCATGACTGGACTCGGCTCGCATTGCGCCCTTACCAGTCCTAAACATCCTCCGCCTCGACCATCATGGATTCCCCGGAGGTTCGACCCCCAGGATTCCGGGCTCCTCGTCGGGTCGCCAGCGCCCCGGTGACACCACGACCGCATACCGCCGAGCACCCTCCCGCCGACGACCCCGTAGAGACGCTCTACTACCACCCCAACGTTAAGATAGTAGCTTTTACTAGCTCGGGCAAGGCCCTGCTTCAGAATACGGACGCCGCTCGCGAGGAAGCGGGCACTCTGTTGGCTAGTTCCCCAGTGGAGAGGACACTCGCTGTCGGTAAGCCGCTTCCCCTTTCTCCGATTGCGCGACACAGTTGAGCACTGCTGAGACGGATTATCAGCTTCTCTACGCATATACCGAGCACCCGGATCGGTCGCATTCTTGAGCTGTGGCTCTGCCCTACAGCCTATACTGCCAAAAAGCCAATGTTGGTGTATAGACGAAGAGAACACGGTGTTTGTCTTGCAGATCCGACGCCCGAATTATTGGAGAATAGAACTGCAGGAGTCTTGGGATTCGGGCGACAGGAGCACACCCGACGCCTTGAGAGAAGTGTTGGGCATGATCTTGCAATTTGAGAAAACATACTGTCCTTTCAAACGTTCATTCACCGTGGAGGTTGAGGAGCCCACGACCCCTACGATAAAGAAAGCATGGACGCCGAAACATACACCGAATTCAGGACCTATGATGGGTATTGTGACCCCCGAGCTGGGTTCCCCCGCCTCCCCCCAGATAGCGAGAACATTGTTCGATTCTAGTGGGCGCCGCCGCTCTCAAGGCTACGATTTGGGCACCTGTAACATCAGGGGCCTCGGGTTACGATCGATGTTGTCGGATGATCATCCGCTCTCAATGGCAGGATCGCGTCGCTCCTTAGATTTACTACTGGGCGTGGAAGGTTCTGCGGCACATGGATCACTAATGTCGGGAATCACTGGCGAAACTGACTCCAAACTCGAAGAGTCTCCAGTGGTTTCGAGAATAGTCGAGGATATACAGTCTCGCTCTGTGACAGATACTGTGCCAATTGCGCCAAGGGATCCCTTCACCGACAATACAGCAGCCTCGATCTGGAACGACTCAATTGTAGGAAGCCCAGAACACTTTCATGGACTAATGGAACATCATGCGATTGACGGCGTGAAACCCTTGGAGCGTGCGCTTAGTGCTCCCCTCTTCCCCACACATTCAACGTCTCAACCCCGCCGAGCGGTTCCTGAAACTATCCTGGAAAATGGTGACGACAACCTCGTGGAACTTGATGACAGTGAGGCCTCTGGCCGTATTTCGCCCTCCCCCTCTCAAGACTCGTTCCATAGTGTCAAATCTTGGGAATCCATTGACAATTCAAGCCCCATCCCTCTTGGGCAGAATTTCAGTGCCAATTCAGGGGTATCCTCATCAACCGCGTTGGAAATTAGACAGTCTTTTGTCAGGCGACGGGCCAGACATCGCTCGAAAAAATCAGAGTCGGATATTCCAACTAACGGAAACGGGCATGCTTCTGTTCCTGCACCGAACAATAATGCTGACCAGTATCAAGCTGTTCTGGGCATGGGCTTCCTAGAACAGGCAAGGAGCCTGCCGCTGTTTATCCTGGCCAAGACAGTCGAAATTCTACTGGGCCCGCCGGCCTACCTTATTAAACTCATGCTCAGAATTGCTGCCAGGATCATTGCAGGAGAGTGGAGAGGGCAGGATGTCGGGTATGATGAAGATGGCGAACAGATCCCCGTGCACTGGGATCTCTCAGACGACGACGAGCAAATCGACTAGCAGGGGCCTGCCCGCTGTTGTTGTACCTGAACTTAGCCCACTATCAGATGCGACTCAAACCTCCGCCCATCTCATTTCTGTAACAACTCCAAGGCCAATCATGAAGCAGAGCTCTAGGCAGGTTGTACCGATGTGGACGGCTGGTGTAAGTTGACCATGTGCGCTGGCCGTGCTTGTGTATTTGATGGGTGGACCCTAATATCGCACTTTGCCATTTTCGAGCGGCGATTAGCATTTCTTGAGGCTTGGTTTCATTAGCCTCCAGTGCATGATACGAGATACGGAGTAAAGGGAAATATGGCTTTATAGTTTAATGTATGGAGGATTGGGTTAATATTGCATAGCAATTTCACGATGGGCTGCACGATTTCGCATTTTGTGTATAATGGTAGGATGCACAAACTATCCAACTCACTTTATATGACACATAGAGAGTACCTACTCCAACTTCATGTAGTGATGCCGAAATGGGATGGTTGAGTGTAAGAGTGTGTGACCTCTTAAGTCGCTGAGATGACAACGGAATCACATTGCAGGTCGGGCGTATTTACCTCGAGCTCTTCTCAAACAAACGTTTGATTCGGCCCTAGGCGGCCGTCAAAATCAAGCAGAGCCCCATGCTAGATCAGACCGAAGCGAAATATCAGACCCTGGGCGCACCTGATCCCTGGGCCGTACTGCCCGGGTTTGTTGGGCGCCGCTACGGCAAGGAGGCAGCAGCGAATCAGAAAGCAGCTGGAGGTCGGTCTGGAAAACGATACGACGAGTACGGATGGGAGAGATGGAGCCATCGCACGGCCTCGCGATATGCACTAGCCTTCGTATCGGATTGCAACAATGCGATTGGCTGCCGCTTGGATAGAGCACAGAGCTAGCTGTTAGCCACGGAGATCAGGGTGGTCAGCCACTGCCGTTGGTTAGGGCAGAGTAGGCAGACGAGATATTCGAGACTGGATGAGAACATGATATATAAGTGTCGTCGCACTTCGCGGTGTTAGTAGATGAGGAGTGGATAGGAATCAGGACGCTCAAATCATTTGCTACGAGCCTACGATTATTACCACAACGGCATTTTGGCATAGTCGAGACTAGGCCAATTCGTCTATAAGGACGTCAGTGCCAATTTGGGTGACAGTGCTATCAAAACACCAAAGACCCTTAAAGCCGGTCGACGATAGTTCTCGGGTTTTTTCAAATATTGTCCTGACTGGGACTTTGTTCTATTATTGGACAGTGGCCAACCGGCCTGGTAATTTTCAGATAAGCAATATGTCTGAGGGAACTTATGGTGAGTTGCATCGACACACTGCCCTTTATTATGCCGTATCAGTTTGGGACCTGCTTAAATGCCCAACTAACACGCTTGGTGCCCATCCAGTGGAGGGAAGCTGGTACTTCTACGCCCCAAATAAGGGGGCGGCCATCTTCTTCACCGTTGCTTTCTGTGCAACCGGGGTCGTCCACGCCTGGCAGTCCACGTAAGTACCGACCCCGAAGACTAAACTTGTATGCAACAAAGTGGCAGTTCGTTGTAAAACCTCCCTGAATGTGTATTCTTGGGCTGACACGGGATGGTCTCAAACGAGCAGGCATTACAAGTGCTGGATCCTGACGCCACTCTTCCCGTTCTGCGCCCTTTTGTTCACTGTGGGTTTCGTCCTCCGCTCCATTGGCGGCTGGCACTATGACATTCTGAATGTGTATATTGCGAGCCTTTGCATCACATATGCTGCACCGTGCGTTGTCACCCCTCCTTCCCGTCACCCCCCGTCCGCCTCCCCTTTCCCAGTTTCTCGTCACTGTAATCACATGTTTCTGTGATAGTGTCATTGACACGGGTCCAGTCCCCTCCTCGAGCTCCAAAACTACCATGTCCTCGGCCGCATCCTATATTATGTCCCATACCACTCACCGTTGCACCCGGGTCGAGTGCTGACGACCTTTGGTTTCATCTCGGCCATCATTGAGGCGCTTAACGGGTGGGGGGCATCGTACTCTGTCAACCAGAGCCTGCCTGACAGCCAGCGGGCCATTGGCCACGGCCTCATCAAGACCGCGCTGCTCCTGCAGCTGGTGGTGGCAGCGTGCTTCCTGCTCCTCGCGGGGACGTTCCACCACCGCTGCAGGAGGCATGGGTCCATCAACGGCCGCCTGTCGAGCACGCTGTTGACGCTGTACGTTAGCGTGGTGCTCATCGTCGTGCGCACCATCTTCCGCACGGTCGAGTACTTTGGTGTGGCCGCCGTCAACCTCAGCAAGATCGAGGACCCCATGACCCTGTCGCCCTTGCTCCGCTACGAGGCCTACTTTTATGTCTTTGAGGGGGCCACCATGATCATCAACAGCGCTCTCTTCAACGTTCGCCACCCCCGCCGGTATCTTCCCGAGAGCAACAAGATCTATCTCGCCGAGGACGGGGTCACGGAGGTCGAGGGGCCCGGCTTTCAGGATGGGCGGCCCTTCTGGCAGACTCTCCTGGATCCCTTTGGCCTGTGGACGAAGGACAAGGCGTCCCAGGCGAAATTCTGGGAGAAGCAGCCGACCCAGGTCGAGGTGAATGCAGCCGATCAAGGAAAGGAAAAGCCCCAACTATCATAAATGACGAACCCTTTCCATTGGCTGGTTTGGGCGGCATGCGCCGTAGTAGTGGCTCGTTGCTTCCCAAGGTCGTCTTCTTCTTCCCCTCCCCTCCCCCCAGTCACCAGTCATCATCAGCTCGCAACTGGCATTCCGGGGGTTCAGGGGTGGAAAGAGATGATATAGATATCCTACCTCTTTCCTTCTTCTGTTTTCCTCTTTTTGGGATGTCTACCGAAAGAAGCAATGCATTGACCATCGAAGGATGAGCGGGATGGAGAGGTAAGAGCGACTCTTTACCCCAAAGAGGTTTGATTAGGGCTCGCCAAGCGGCCAATTGTTTCCTCCCGATCAGCGGATTCGCTCTGGCGGGACAGTAGCGTGTACACACAGACAGACAAGCAGAGCGGACGATTTTACATAGAACAATAGTTAGTAAACCAATAAATTGCTTAATTAATCGATTCTCGTTGCCGCATTATTGTGAAACGACTGGGGTCAGGGTTGGTCTCTCGGAGCTTCTATGTTCAGCATGGTCGAAGCCGGGAAGCGCCATCGCCGAGCCTGGCAAAGCACGCTCGAGCCTCATGTGTGCAAATGTGAGGAAAAGGGAAGAACTCGGTGGAAATTAATTGGGAGGAGGAGAGATAGATCCAAGAGAGGGAAGACGACCTGTTGCTCAAGACCGCCCTTTCTGCTCCCCTCTTCATGGCGTCTTGGCGTGTGGCAGGGTCGGATGCTGCCGGTTTGGGAGAGGATGGATATGGCGATGGAAGAAGCTTGATATCAATACTAGGTGAGGGTCTTTTAATAAATCCGGTCTATTTGATTCCCCTGTGAGCCGCTGCGGTGGGATGGAGGAGCGAGGTTAGTGGCAATGATCGAAGGAGCTCATGAAAATACCCGCGAACGCCAGGCACAACAATCAGTGAGAGTTGAGCACGGTGGAGATTCACAGCTATAAATAAAGCAGATGCTCCTTTTGTCGTGATCCAGTTCCTCTTTGGGGATAGAAGGAGGCTCCTCTCTCAGACAAGGGTCCAGGGTCCAGGAACCACAGATTCTGGGTCAGCGGCCGCTTGGACCAAGCCTTTGGGCATTGCGGACGGCACAGCAAACAAATGACAGTAGAAATTCTCCCGGTCTCATGATGCAGTTGGGTGTCCGGATGCATGGTGAGGAATGCACATTCGTGGTGGTAAAATGCGAGCAACCGTGCACAGCTTATTATAGCTGTTGGTCGAAGGTTGGGCGCTGCAGGACGTGTTGCTATGGAAGAAGAAAGATGTTGGCTTACCCTGCTTGAGCCCGTCCGATAACCGGCTCAGTTGCATGCTTTTTTGGGAGCCAATTCATTAATAGGTTATTAATGAATTAAGTAAGTGTAGAAGAATAGACTGCCCTCTCCCGCTAGGCATGGCAGCTTTGCAGCGGAGGAGGGACCTTGCTCTTACCACAGCTTACATTGAAAGTTCATACAGCAGTATCAAAATAGCCAGGCGCATTGCGTTTAATGAAGGCAATGCTAGGAATGGAACTGCAGATGGCTAAGCCGAGGGGGAAATGGCGGGTTGGTTGCCAATCCTCTTAGTGTGATGCGGTTGGTTGCAGTGGCACGCAGCTGTCTCGTCTCGCTGTCGCCGGTGGTGTAGGGCAGTGTAGCAGGTGGTGCACAGTGGGCTGCAGTGTGGGTGCAGCAGATCGTGGCGGTGACGGCCACCAGGCGCTGATCTCCAAATGTAAGTCCCCTCGGAATATTTCTGACGAGCGTATCCGACGTTGCTCTCGGACCGACCAGCTCACCTAAGGACACCGCAGTGGTCTCCATGCATCGGCAAGTATAAGCACATCCATGAACTGGCATCTTGGAGCTAGAGCTGCTATTCAGAGAGACACTCTGGTGGGAGTCCCTGCATTGACGGGAGTCTGACCGCTGCTGTCAGTTGGTTTCCATCCAACAAGGCCCCCGCGCGCTCTGGGCAATAGATGACTTTTGCTTCGGCTAGCTGCAAGGTGTGCGCGAATGTACCGCGACCGAGGACTGTGGAACCGATTGTCAGGCCAGGCCAAGCCAAGTCAATGCTCAGTGTATTTCTACTTGGCACCTACGGTGCGTGAGTATTCCCCCTTTACGCTACGCTTGTGCAAGCTCTGAGTGAGCAGTGCTATTGCTGGCACAAGCCCACAAGCCTCCACCCGGTCGGCCATGGCCACACCGATGGTCCGGGGTTGCTCGTCAGCTAACGCCTGTTGGATCTTGGATTCAGCGGAGCTAAGAGCTATGAACAGGCCATGCCTTTAATTAGCAAAAGTCGGAGGCTTCGAGCATTGGAAGAATAATAAAGAAAGAGAGGAAAAATAGAATAGAATAGATTGAACAATAAACCAATGCCAATAGACCACAGATAGTGGCTCACCTATCCGGGTGCTGGGCCGCTCTAGTGCTACCAAGCCGCTGCTACCTCCCGGAATTAATTCCTATGTCCCTTCCCCTCTGTTAGGCCGGCGTGTTGGTACAGCCCGCTTGTTGGCTGCGAGGTGCTGTTGTGCACTGCAGCGTTGTGCCAGTCACAATCACAGTCGCAGGCGCGGTGCAGGTACTTGTACATGCCCGTAGTGGCGACTTTCAGAAACAGGTGCGGGGCGCTGAAAATACACGTTTCGTCACTTTGCCATGACGCTTGACGGGCATGGACTGTCTTGCATCCATGTAGCGTCCAGTGGTGGGTTGTGCCCCACAAAAGTACTGGGTACTTTGGCCCTTAGTACTTCTAATTTTCGCCATGATGGCTGCTGCCCTTCCAAAGCAGTAAATTGCTCTGCCATGGATACTGCGGCTGCAAGTAGCTCTTTCGCCGTTTCTCCCCCTCCCTGTACCTGTGCCTGTGCCACTATCGACTGCGCTCCCTCCGCACTCTTAATCTTCCCACTACGCCCTTGTAGCCCGCCGCCGACGCAATCCTTCTTCTCGTCTTCTTTAATTGACACCAGGTAGCCCACTTTGCTCTCATCAACAAAGCTTTCTGGATATACAGGGAGGTTTGCCGCGCGCTTGCAGATACTGAGTTTCATATCTCCTACCTTTTCCCGCCCGACGAATACCCCAGCAGGCAGGACGACACAGCTCTACACGCAGATCTTACGCCAGCATTATCTTCGACACCACTTCCACTAATCATTAATCCTCTCCTTTTCTCCCAGTCATCAGTTTTCCTCTTATTAGTCCTTCTCCCCTCACCAGGAGCCTGGAGAATCACATTTGGATCCCCGCCAAAGGAGGAAACCTCGACATCACTCAGGGATCGACTGGAACCCGCATTTGAACTGAGGGGGTGTCTCAGTTCAAGACATTCATCCGCCTTCAGCATCTTGATAGACTACTCTCAGCCGTTTAGGAGCTCATCAGTCGTCAAGATGGCTGATACTACGATAGACAGACCAGCTATTTATCTCCATGTGGAGATGGGTGTTTCCTGGCGCCCTCGAAAACGGTCACCCAAAAACCACACCATCACTTATGCTTCCAAGGCTGCTCGTGAACATCTTGCGAGTGTCTCACAGCAAAACCTCCCGCTTCCACCTGCGGGTCTGCAGCACCAGCCGGCACAATATCAAAACAATTATCAGACCAACTTTGAGCAGTTCCAGGCCGTTCCCTATCTACCCTTCGCTGCTGCACCAGGGCAGCACCTCAGCCTCCCTCCCGCGGTACCCTATGGCCAATACCATCAGCCTGAGAGACAGCACGACCATCTACCTCTGAGACGCACTCGAAGCGGCTCCTTCCATGAACGTGGCCACTCAGCACCCCCATTTAACTCAGCGCCTTGGCTGGACGAGCCAGAGCCTATGACTGCCACCGCTCTTCCCCAGCGAAACGCGAACCCCCAGAAGATGAAGGCCCTTCCACCCACACCTGACAACTTCCGCCTAGGTGAAGACGACATGCCCTGGACCCCTACTGGACCTTACGCCATGGAATACTACCGGGACGAGGAGGAGGAGCAGCCTGTCAGCTCAATGGGTAGCGAAAACCGCCGTGGTTCTGTCCGACCTCGCAATGAGCGTGACAGGGGAAGGACTTCTGAGATGGAGGGTCTGGCAGCTGCCATGTTGACGGTCGACAACGGATTTGAAGACCAGTGGTGGTACCAAGGCTCACGACTGGTTAATGTGGCTGGAGATTTGATTACGCCCTCGGCCGTGGCTACTCGATGTGCACCCGGAGGTACAATCAGATGGCCTGTGGCCGATGACGATGATAGGAGTGCGTTCCGTGAGCGAGAGCCATTCCACTCAATGGAGCCATTCCAACCAATGGAGGGCCCTGTTCCATCGACGATTCACTCTCCTCCCCCTAGCGTCCTGGAGCTTGTATCACCGCTAAGCGACTTTTCCAGTGATACGCTGAACTCCTTGAACATCCTGGCTCTGAAGAGGTCCTTAAATTACAACTCGGACGAACTTCACATCTAAAACAAACGAGTCTTTCTACTCGGTTCTTATTTTCTAATACTTGGATTGCGACGATTACCATTGGGAGGCGCGGACATAAATTCGGCATAAGCGGCGTACATTACTCGGGGCATGAAGCCAGGAACCATCCGACCAAAACATATACCCATTGCATTACATGGTTCGAGGTGAGGAGCTAGAAAGCATTAGCTCTATGTATCAGGGACATATTCGATTACAGGCGTTTATTGGAATGAAAGGATAGGAATTTTGGTTTCTCATTATTAGGTGGAATGTTTGATTTTGGTTTATGGGGATGAGTTGAGGGTGTAATTCTTAGTTTCTAGGAGTCTCGATAAGCAGACTTCGTATCATAGGCATTCAAGTCAATCTAAGGCATCTGAAGCCTCGCACTCATGTTCTTGTTTCTTCTTGTCCACCCCGGGATCCTTGCCTGTGGATGGGTCACGACAACCAAACCGACTCGAGATAATTGCCAGGGAGCGGCACAGCAGATTTATTTCACTACGCCCCCAAAACTCTTCGCGTCTATATAGGCGATGTGCGCGCTAGTCTTACACGCCCAATTGGAACCACGGCGAACCCGGCGCTAATCTTGACCTCGGGAAAAATCTCTTCTCGCAGTTCAGATGACGGATGGGCGAAGGATTCTGGTGTCTCTGGGTCCTTTCTGAGAACTATCTCCCATTCAGCCTGACCTGAGAAAGCTACTTGGCCTTGGCGCGTTCTTCCCACCAGGGAGACCCTCAGGGATGCTCAATGGCTCGAATGCGTCCCGGGACTAAGGTCGCGTTCACATGTGATGCACTATTGGCTACCTACCTATAGCAAGGTCTTCTCATCGGAAGGATGGCCGCTAAAAGAGGAGCCATCTAATCTATGCAGCCTCTCTTCTTTATAAACGGAGACCGCTGTATTGTTATGATTGAGACTTCAGCTTAGAGAGAAACATTAAGCAATAAGTTTTGGAATGATTTCAGTCGGACTGAATCAAAGGTGTTGCATCAATTGATGTAATGTTGGGCAACAAGGTTGTTAAGCTCCCATTGAGACCTTTCGTACGATTGCCAATGCGACTCCAAACTGAGAAATAAGTGATGAATACTTTGGGGATCGCAAGAATTTTGAAGCGCGAAAAGATCTTTGTTTAACCTAGAATCGCGAAACATTGGTTTACAAAAAAAAAACGGAGCAGAGCAGGAAAGAGAGAAGAGGAAGAAAGTGATGTGGTGGCCAGGGCGCTGCAAACTTCAAACCTCACGGCTGGGAATAGTATAAGGGATAGCGCATACGCTACATAGGCTGCTCAACGGTATGGAGATCCAGCTTCGTCATATAGGTATTCGAGAAAAGCCTTTGATGTAAACCATCACCATCAGTTCAACTTTTAGAATAGGTACTTGGGTACATACAATCACGTGACTTGGTCCGAAAGGGGAGACGGATTGTCGCGATCTGAGAGAGAATAGTCTCCAATCCAAATTTTATCATCCCGCCCCGATATCGTATCAAATTTACTTCACATCACGCCGCCGATATAATACGAAAATCTAAACGATCGCACGTCCATTTACTCAGTTTCGGCTAGAATATTTTCTTCTGCGTTCACATAACGCCCCAACACACTACCACCACAACACAGTTCCCCGACAGACAAGATGGCTATGGATCATGGCAGAGACCCTTGCCCTTGGGTCGTTTTGAACGATTTCGGCGGTGCTTTCGCTATGGGATGTATTGGAGGTGCCCTCTGGCACGGCGTGAAGGGATTCCGAAACAGTCCTTATGGCGAGCGGCGAGTAGGTGCCATCACAGCTGTTAAGTTGCGAGCTCCCGTCTTGGGCGGCAAGTGAGTATTTCCCACAACTCCGGCTATTCACGAGAGGAGGATAAGCGAGCTGACATGTATTCGCAATTCAGTTTCAGTGTGTGGGGAGGATTATTCTCGATTTTCGACTGCGGACTCAAAGGTTTACGAAAGAAGGAGGACCCGTGGAATGCGATCGGAGCAGGTTTCTTCACCGGAGGGTCTCTGGCCATTCGTGGCGGTTTCAAGGCGGCAAGAAACGGAGCCATCGGGTGTGCCATCCTGCTGGCAGTTATTGAGGGTGTCGGTATCGGTTTCTCAAAGATGATGGCTGGTGGCACAAAATTAGAAGTGAGTTTCCCTCTTGGACATGTTGCTCCGATTTTGGGATCGCATTATACTAACAGGTCTACTCCTACAGGCGCCTTTGCCACCCGCTTCCCAACCAAACGAAGGGCACGCTCTTGCTTAAACGAATTTTTTTTAGCCGCAGGTCAATCTCCACCTTGTAATAATCTTGTATATTACTGTCCTTCGCAAAGCAGAAGTACGCCCGAATTAGTTGATGATATGAAATGGACAAAAGCATAGGGTTCTTTCGATGTTCCGGAGCATGGCAGGCAACGTTTCCTCTGGTTCCCCCCTCATTTTACTTAGCAAAAACCTCAACAACTAGAGGAGTGCTAGATACTCTTCGTCTCGTGACGCTCAATACATCAACTCCTATGGTTGTTAAGGCGGGCTCGCGGAAGGCAGTGATGGCCATCCCACGTCGGTGACAAACGTCCAATGCAATCCGAAGCAAGTATAGTTAAAAAAGCAACCCTGCTCTCAATTCTGGCCCGTCAAGATCAAAATTTACAGCAAGCCATGTCGATCGTGGATTGCCCAAATGCTTATTCGGTGGGTCGTCGACGGCACTCTGGTGTTCTGGAGGTCAAGAAATCCTCTTGAACATTAACAAATGGAAGGCTTCTCTGTGGTTAGTTCATCAAACTGTTTCAATAGCAAATTGAATCGAGATGCAGCTTCTTCCTCGTTAAAACAGGCCAAAACCTGTCGCAGTTCCAGGAATGGCCCAACTGTGTGGCCGAAGCATTGCGTTTATAACTCTACGGCCTACCTTTTTTTTTATTCACTCAGTCGTCCACGCAGGCTCTGGAACGTTTCGGCTCTGTCAACTGCGAGTCCTTTTTGAAACGGAGAGAGTGTTTGTAGAGAGCAAGCTGATTATGCGTTGGGATCTCACAGTATGTCCCAGTTTCCTCTCAACAGCTCGAGTTCTTGGTAGCTACTGGATCCAGTGTAAGATTCCAGCTTGAAAGCTGTTATATTCTCAAACCTATCGTTCCCAGATGGACCTAAATCTTTGTCAAATAGAGAAACTGTTGGAAAATATATGGCGGTGAAACGAACATATATGATTCAACTCAGAGGCGGCCATTCTGTTTTTTTTTGTTTATGATACGACTTTTGTTAGTGATACGATTTTCATTTATTACTGTTGAGGCATCCTTCCCAGACAACTCATCCATCCAAGGGCCGGCACTGATGCATCTTTCGTCGATCGCAATTCCCGGTTCCAAAGGGGCGCTCAGTAATGCTAGCCACGGCGATGGGCTAAGAAAGCGAGTTGAAATGGTAAATAAATGGAAGTTAATTTCTTCCATTCTCGACCTGAATCAATGTCAGGGTAATGAATGGGAGAAAGTAACGATTTTCCTTCCATGGTCATCCTTGCTCTATCCTCATGTGCACCTTGATGAGAAACTGGGGGACGTTTTATGTAGATTGGATTCTGGCAGACTAGCTTCCTCACAACTCTTGATGTTCAGGGGTTGATGCAAGTGAATTATGTATCGAGGCTATTTTAGATGCTTCTATCAATGGACGCACAAAGGACGAACTAACGAGCGATCGGCAATGCAGAAATAAACCGGAACACATTTGCTTCCAGCATGGAGAAATGCTTCCAGGCAATGTAGTAGTAACACCAACACAGAGTTGCAGTGCACACCAGTGTGCCATGCTCACTCGCTCTCACAGCAATTGATAATCCCCACCACGGCACAAGTCCTTTTTTGAACTTAAGCGGCAGATAAAGATAAGCAAGATTGACTCTCCTTACTCCCAGATGATTCAGGCAGTGGTGATTGGTCCGACGCGGGATATGTCAGATGCCAAGAGATGCAACCTAAGCTTGACCTTCCCCTCCGGGAGCAGGATCCATGCTTCCCCATACTCTTAACCGTATTGTGATGACCTTCACAATCTTCCTTGTACTGGAAGCCTTGTATGAATTGGGGAGCCCATCGAATACGCTCACTTGGCGTGCATGGATAAATGGATAAGCTCCGGCCGGTTTCAGCGAGAACTTTTGCTCGATACAATATACAGAGGCCGAGCCTCCCATGTCGCGCCGGTGATGTTGCGAGGCTTTTCGGGAACCCCGCCCTTGCCCTTCCATTCTTGATAGGAACCATTGTGTCCTTGGGCCTGTCGCGCATAGATTGTTGGTGCAACTAGTAACCCAAGTGCCAAGGAGGAGGAGGGTAGGGGTCGGGGGAGTAGAGTATATAAACGAGACTTGTTCCCACGGGAAAGCTGCCTCGCTCCAGTCAAGTTGCCATCCCTTGACCCAGGGCCAACCTTTCCCGTTCATCTCCATTCGTTGGTGTTTTCATCAGGGTTGTCTTGGTCCATTTCCAACAACGTACCTTCTCTTCTGTATACCTCTCGCCCTCGTAGGCTCTGTTGGTTGCTCCGTAAACAACCATGCGTTTGGTCACTCTCTCAGGTGCGGCACTGAGCCTTGCCTCGGTGGTCGCTGGAAGAGAACTCCCCAAAGATGAGTTCAGAGCTGCCCGTAAGACCTTTCCTCCCTTCTCATAGGTTGTATCACCGAAGACGGTAGTTCTAACAGTCCACATAGAGCTGTATGACAGTGGAGCTGTCCATATGGAGAGCATGGAGAGAAAGAAGGCCTTGTGGATGGCTGAGTTCGATGCTGGTCTGCTAAACTCGACTAAATGGCCACGCCTCAACTACACCCCGTGTGTCAATGGCAAGGCCGAGGCCGTCAAGGGTGATCCTCTCCTCACCTTCAGCTGCAGGAACATTGACCTCTACGACTTCATCAACCATGCCACCCTTGGGTCGCCCGACGGCTGGGACGAGCTAGGGGATGGTCTGCTATTAACCGGCAGTTCGTCATGGGGTTGGACCGACCCGGAGTCGAAGCGTGAGTTTGTTGCCAGTGGCATGTATGAGGGCACCGCTTTCATTGAGATTCTGCCCGAAGGCCGAATGCTTCACCTCGGATTCCTGTAAGGAGCCACTGCTTCATCTTTGGTTGGGAATTATTTACTGATGCTCTCATAGGCCTTGCCCTGCTCCCACAGACCCGAACGCCTTCTGGAAGGAGATCCGTAGTTATAACAACTACATGCTGATTGGATCTGAGCTGAAAGACCATGGTATCCAAATCTTCGACATGACAAAGGTATTATTGATCTCGCTCGCCGCTGAAGATTCTCTTTGCAGATTGTTAACACAGCCATGACAGCTTCTTAACCTCGATCAAAGCAAGCTACCCGTCACTTTTGACATTGTGAAGGATGTCGCCAGTCACTTCAAGGATCTCCCCATAGGCGCCAGCCACAACGTTGTTTCCAACCCAGAGGGCCAGTACGCTGTCGCAGTGGGTTCACGTCCTCGCAACGACTCGTGCCGTGCTGGCCTCATCTTCATCGATATGAAGGACCCGACCAAGCCTACCAGAATAGGCTGCAACGGGGAGGATGGCTATGTCCACGACGCTCAGTGCCTCACATATCGTGGTCCTGATAAGAAATACGTCGGCAAAGACATCTGTTACGGATACAACGAAGATACCCTCACCATATATGATGTGACGGACAAGACCAAGTCTTCCATCATCTCCATTACTTCTTACGAGGGCGCAACTTATACTCACCAAGGATGGGTGCTTGATCCTGAGTGGCAACAGTATCTGTTGATGGATGATGAGCTTGATGAAGTTGACGCTGTTGGCCCAGCTGCAGAGTAAGCTCTACCAAACTTTCATCCCTTTCCGAACTAAAAAGCATTCTAACGTGGGCTTTAGTGGCTATCCCGTTACTTACATCTGGGACGTAAGTTCATTGGAGGCTCCCAAGCAGACAGGCCTCTACAAGGGTAAGTGTTCTCTCATGATGGTTTCCATCCTCGGCAGTGACAGGCATCTAACAAGCGGCCAGGTACCGTCAAGACAGTCGACCACAACCAGTACATCAAGGACGGCCTCTCTTACCAGTCTAGCTACGTCGCTGGTCTCCGCGTCTACGACATCTCCTCCATCCCCGAGGATCCCACGGGCCGCAGCACCTGCGAAGTCGCCTACTTCGACATCCACCCCGAGGACGACGCCCTCCCCGGCGGCGGAGAGGTCTCCATGTACGGCTCGTGGTCCTCGTACGCCATGTTCGAGTCCGGCTTCATCTTCATCAACACCATCGAGCGCGGCGGCTACCTGGTCAAGATGACCAAGCGCGACGGCTGCCCCAAGAAGAGCTGCAACGCGGACAACTGCCTCCGCGCCATGCGGGCGTCGTCCATCGAGGGCCGGCTCGGGGAGAGCCAGCAGTTCTGCTCCGGGTTCACCCAGGGATTCAAGGCCGACGTGAACATCGTTCCCAAGTATGCCTCGGAGGCCTGCGGAGACAACGTGATCGCTCGTGTTAGTTCTGCTTGCGCGTGCCTGCCAGCAGCCACTCCAGCTCCGTAAGTAGGAGTGCGGCGACAGAGAGGTAATAGTTTGGTTATGAGCCTGTCTATATCTTGGATCAAAGTTCAAATAAACGAGTTATATATGAACTAGAATGAAAGGGTTCCATCGAGAATGGTGTGACACCACATGTAGACATCTAAAAGTACGTGACTGCAGAGGAGAATAAATTATACCAATTGTAAAATGCTGAATGAGTGCCGAGTAAATAGATACCTACTCATTATCCCTCGTAGATGACTATTATGCAATTGAGCCGTTGCCAGTATGCCAACTCATCCCGGAGGTGTTGGGAGGAGCTCCAGGCATGCAGTTGATATGCAAGTCTCATGAATCAGAGTCAATTCATCTTACCATTAGTCTTAACGCAGTGTTCATCGACCACTGTTTTGTGTCAATTGGGAAATGTTCAGTTTCGACATGGGATGTTGCAGCCAACCAGAGTCAGCACATATCCATCCAATCCTTTCAGCAGTGGCCAGGAACCAAGTCACCGATGTCGCTGGCAGCCGCTGTACACATACCCACCACCGCACTGGCACACTATAGCCATGCAGGTACTGGATACTTGCCGCCCACTTGGCGTGCAACCCTCCCTGACTCCCAGGGCCCGATCGGCGGTGACCCCTCCAAACGGTGACTGTGTGGTCAATTGGCGGCGAAGGCTTCAGCTAGAGGCCGGGAAAAAAACCAATTCTTCCTCCAAACCAGCCTCAGAGCATCCAATTGCTGTAGCACCGCATGCTTGGCCTCAAAGCAGACGCCAGCTGTCGACTGTTACAATGACGCAGCCCTCTGGAGCCGGGCCAACCCGCCTCTCTATTCTCGGCGAGCCCAACATCGTCGTCGACCACGACCTCTGGCTGAACTTCGTCACCCAGGATCTTCTCGACAACATCTCCTCCTCCACCTACGTCCTCATCACCGACACCAACCTCTTCGACAGATATGTCCCCGCCTTCCAGCAACGATTCGAGGCCGCCGCCGCCGAGAAGTCCGCCCGCCTGCTGACCTATGCCATCGCCCCCGGTGAGGCGTCCAAGTCCAGAGAGACCAAGGCTGAGCTCGAGGACTGGATGCTCTCCCACCAATGCACCCGCGATACCGTCATCATCGCCCTCGGCGGCGGTGTCATTGGTGACATGATTGGGTATGTGGCAGCGACATTCATGCGAGGTGTGCGCTTCGTCCAGGTTCCCACCACCCTGCTCGCCATGGTCGACTCTTCCATTGGCGGCAAAACCGCCATTGACACCCCCATGGGCAAGAATCTTGTCGGATCCTTCTGGCAGCCTCGCCGCATCTACATCGATCTCACCTTTCTTGAGACCCTGCCACCCCGCGAGTTCATCAATGGCATGGCAGAGGTTGTCAAGACCGCCGCCATCTGGGATGAGGCAGAGTTCACCACTCTGGAGCAGTCTGCCCCTCAGATTCTGTCTGCCGTCCGCTCCAAGGGGGCTGATCGCCTCAAGCCAATCCGCGATGCCCTCAAGCGCATCGTGCTCGGCTCGGCGCGAGTCAAGGCAGAGGTCGTCTCAAGCGACGAGCGTGAGGGTGGCCTCCGTAACTTGCTCAACTTCGGTCATTCAATTGGCCACGCTATCGAGGCCATCCTAACTCCACAGCTCCTCCACGGTGAAGCTGTAGCGATTGGAATGGTCAAAGAGGCAGAGCTTGCCCGGTTTCTCGGCGTGTTGAAGCCTGGCGCCGTGTCCAGACTCACCAAGTGCATCGCCAGCTACGACCTGCCAACCTCACTCAATGACAAGCGCGTCATCAAACTCACTGCCGGCAAGCAATGCCCCGTTGATGTCATGCTCGAGAAGATGGCAGTCGACAAGAAGAACGACGGAAAGAAGAAGAAAATTGTCCTGCTTTCCGAGATCGGAAAGACTTATGAGCCCAAGGCCAGTGTGGTCGAGGACCGAAATATCAGGATTGTTCTATCATCCTGTGTTCGTGTCAACCCAGGAGTCCCATCAGGGCTGAAGGTTACCGTCACTCCCCCTGGCTCAAAGAGTATCTCCAACCGAGCTCTAATTCTCGCTGCTCTTGGTTCTGGGCCATGCCGCATCAAGAACTTGCTTCACTCCGACGACACAGAGTTCATGCTGTCGGCCATTGGTCAGCTTCAAGGAGCTACCTACTCATGGGAGGAAGCAGGCGACGTTCTTGTCGTTGATGGTAAGGGCGGAAAGCTCCAGGCAAGCAAAGACGAGCTCTACATTGGAAACGCCGGTACAGCCTCTCGCTTCCTCACCACAGTCGTTGCTCTGTGCCAGGCCACTGAGGAAACTAAATCTTCCATTTTGACCGGAAACGCTCGAATGAAGTTGCGACCTATCGGCCCCCTGGTGGATGCTCTTCGTCGCAATGGGCTCGACATTGAATATCTAGAGAAGGAGAACAGTCTGCCACTTAAAATTGATGCCGCTGGTGGTCTCAAGGGTGGTACGATTGAACTTGCAGCGACCATCTCTTCCCAATACGTGTCATCAATCCTCATGGCTGCCCCATATGCCAAGGAGCCTGTTACCTTGAAGCTTGTCGGCGGAAAGCCTATTTCGAAGCTGTACATTGACATGACTATTGCCATGATGCAGTCTTTTGGCATCACCGTAACAAAGTCCGCCGAGGAGGAGAACACCTACCACATTCCTCAGGGCTCCTACAAGAACCCACCTGAGTACACGATTGAGAGCGACGCAAGTTCAGCCACCTACCCTCTGGCAATTGCGGCCATCACCGGCACCACTTGCACCATCCCCAACATTGGTTCCAAGTCCCTGCAGGGTGACGCCCGTTTCGCAGTCGATGTCCTGCGCCCCATGGGCTGCACTGTCGAGCAGACAGACTATTCAACTACTGTCACTGGACCCGCGCTCGGTGGTCTCAAGGGCATCCCTCAGGTCGATATGGAACCCATGACCGATGCTTTCCTAACTGCTTCTGTCCTCGGTGCAGTTGCCCAAGGCAAGACGCAGATCACAGGCATTGCCAATCAGCGAGTCAAGGAGTGCAACCGAATTCTGGCTATGCACGACCAGCTGGCCAAGTTTGGCGTTCAGTGCAACGAGCTCGATGATGGTATCGAGATCCTTGGCCGCGGTCTTGAGGCACTGCAACCCGCAAATGACGAAATCTTCTGCTACGACGATCACAGAGTTGCAATGAGTTTCAGCGTCCTGTCCGTCGTCGCACCACAGACGACAATCATTACCGAGCGTGAGTGTGTTGGAAAGACATGGCCCGGATGGTGGGACGAGCTGTCTACATCATTCCAGGTTGTTCTCGATGGTGCAGATCCTAAAGTTACCCATCTGCCGACAGCAGCTTCCGACAGCAAGCCCAGTGGCTCTGTATTCATCGTTGGAATGAGGGGCGCCGGCAAGACCACGGCTGGCAAGCAGATGGCTAAGTTGTTGGACTGGACCTTTATCGACCTCGATGACGAGCTGGAGAGACGTGTTGGTATGACCATCCCAGAGATGATCAATGGTGAGCATGGCTGGGAGGGTTTCCGTAAAGCCGAGCTAGACCTCCTTCGTGATGTCATGGAGAAACAGTCCAGCGGGCATATTTTCTCCTGTGGTGGTGGCATCGTCGAGTCCCCCGTGGGACGAGAGCTCCTCAAAACATATGGTCAGAAAGGTGGCCTCGTGCTTCAGGTCCACCGTAACACCGACCAGGTTATCGACTACCTCATGCAGGACAAGTCCCGGCCAGCCTACACCAGTGAGATCCGCCAGGTTTACTTGCGTCGCAAGGACTGGTATGCTGATGTGAGCACACATCTCTACTACAGCCCGCACGCCGATAACTCCGGAAGCCGCGCCGATATCCCTCAAGACTTCCGCCAGTTTGTCAAGTTCATTACTGGTAACAGCCGACAGAAGGCGGCGCTCGCGAAGAAGAAGCACAGCTTCTTTGTATCATTGACTCTTCCCAACCTGAATGATGCCCGGGACATCATTCCCCGTGTTATGGTGGGTTCGGATGCTGTTGAGTTACGTGTTGATCTCCTTGCGGATCGAAGCCACGAGGCCGTCACTGAGACGGTGTCTGTTCTGCGATCCCTTGCCAATAAGCCTATCATCTACACAGTCCGAACTGTCTCCCAGGGAGGCGCATTCCCCGATGACGCACAGGATGAGCTCTCGGCCCTTTATACCCTTGGTCTACGGATCGGCGTCGAATATCTGGACGTGGAGGTTACTTCGCGCGAGGACATTATTCAGACCGTGTCAGATAATCGTGGTCAGACTCAGCTTATTGCTTCGCATCACGATCCCAAGGGCCAACTGTCCTGGAAGAATGCTTCTTGGATTGCCTTTTACAACCGTGCCCTCCAGTTTGGAGATGTCATCAAGCTTGTTGGCACTGCCAAGACCATCGAGGACAACTTTGACCTGCACCGGTTCAAGGCCAGGATGGAGGCGGCCCATAAGACGCCAATGATCACCCTCAACATGGGCTCCGCTGGTCAGCTCAGCCGTATCCTCAACGGATATCTCACCCCAGTGTCCCACCCTGATCTTCCGTTCAAGGCAGCCCCAGGCCAGCTATCCGCTGCGGAGATCCGACAAGGCCTGTCCCTGGTTGGAGATATTGTCCCCAAGAAATTCTATCTCTTCGGCAAGCCCATCTCCGCCTCGCGATCGCCAGCCCTACACAACTCTCTCTTCAAGCAGGCGGGCTTGCCCCACCACTACAGCAGGCTCGAGACTGATAACGTCGCAGATGTCGATGAGGTGCTACGCAGTCCCGATTTTGGAGGTGCCTCGGTGACGATTCCCCTCAAGCTTGATATCATGGACCGCCTGGACGACTTGACAGAGGCTGCGCGCGTCATCGGTGCCGTAAATACGGTGATCCCCACTGGTGAGACGAACAAGGACGGCCGCCAATTCTTGCTCGGTGACAACACAGACTGGAAGGGCATGGTCTCCACGTTGAAACGAGGAGGTGTCACTGCCCAGGAGGCCAGTGGTGTCTCT